CAGCAGAAAACCTTCCATCCCAAGTCGAGGACGATTACTCCAAGAAGCTAGGAGAGGCACAGTTAAACTCTCTAACTGCTTGACTGCTTGTGTTATGCTCGGAGCATGCCATGTGCCATGCCTTGCACCAGGCTGGTGCATCGACATATGTTCAGTTAAACCCTTCATGCCACAAAATGCACAGCTAGACAAAGGCCTATGCCACCAATAGCATCAGGAAGAACCCATGCCGTAAGCCGTATCCCGGCCTTGAGCCTCCTAGGCATACTTTGTCTGATCTTGCGACTGATGGTGGCAACGCCTCTGCTACAGCGGTTTCTTCCCAGCAGGCCGGACGAAATCTCTTCGGCAACTTGGGTTGCTTGCCGAAGCGCGGTTCTTCTGAAAGCCTTTTATAGGAAGTTCTGGCCTTCCACAGCGTTTCATCGACTCGTCCGTGCAAAACCCAGTGCTCTCATGTGTTGACGAACTAGCCAGACCACCCTCAGCCCTAAACACCCCTGAACCATACACGTGTTAATGGGTCGGTGCAGTCTGCGACGTGTCTCACCTCAACCAACCTCGAACCAATAACCTCGCCTGGCTTGTCCGAGCTGTGGGCGCCAAAACCGTCCACGAAACCTTTCTTCCAGATCCCTCAGCTCATTTGCGCAGATCGGGCCCTCGGCTGCTGGTTGCAATGGGCTGCAGCTTAGCCTGCTTCCTGGCACCGATTGCGAAGAAGGTTTACAGCACCCTAATCACCAAGCGTCACAAAGATGGACAAAGCATGTTTTTTTCAGCATTCTTACGACCCCCCGAACAAGCCGGTTTACGGCTCGACGCTCGGGAAAGCAAAAAGCGACCCGCAGCTTCAAGTCTAGGGTAGGGTCGTGTACTTGTACAACCGCTACCTTGACTATCAGATCTAGCATAAGCTTTTCATAAGCACCAACTGCGTCGCTCAGCTGGCATTTCGAAAAGCACGCCCTTTTGAATCCTGAGTTCTGAGCCCTAAATCCGAAACCTTCCACCCATACTCAAAAGCGGCGTCCTAAACCCTCAAGCTCAATCCTCCACGAGATTCCTATGGTGACCCCAGAAAGTTAGAACATGGATTAAGGAGGATTAGTGCTAGGATTCTCTGTACTTTACCTTAAGGGCATGAGGATAATGAGTTTCCAACTTTCTGGCTTCCAGTGTAACACTACCTATAGACCTACAACATATATGGGATTTATAGGGACCCTACAAAAAAGTAGGTTCTGGTAGGTTAAGGTAAGCTCAGGCTATGCAGCCTCTGTGGCTGTAGCCATCCTCGGGTTCCAGCCCGACGTGCAGCCGCTGGAGGTTTGGGACTTTGGGGTTTGGGGCTTGGGGTCTAGGGTTTAGGGTTCAGAAGTTTAGGGGGTTCAGGTTTATAGCGTTTAGGGTTTAGGGCCGGTTTAGGGTTTAGATTTACGCAGGATTTTGGGATTGATTAGGGTTGAGAGCTTCTACCACTTGTGGTTTAAGCTGGTTACAGTACGGTTTCGTGTTTTTGGGGACACTCCGTTGATGAATGATTTTTTCCGGTGAGCCCTGCATCAGGTTTAGGCTTCATGCTCCTGGTCTGGATTCAGGGTTCATACTGTTGATGATATAAATCCTGCATTACGCATAATAAGGAATATGCCATAATTCCCATATATCATCAACCGTAGGTTTGGGGGGCAAGGGAAATACTGCGCTCGCGGGGTGAATATCTGAGAACGAGACGACGCAACATACAGCAAAGCCGGCCGTAAGTGTCGTACAATACGGCCATCAGGCCCTGTACGAAATGTAACCCACAGTGCGAATGCAAATTCAAAGACAGCTATGTAAACGCTCTTTCATATCACGCGCATCCCACTCCAGACTCACGTGTCTGTAGGTGGTTGGAGCGGTGGCCATCGGTGGCTGGTTGTGCGAGTTTGCGGCCGAGAATTGTCGTTTCTCAAGGCTTTAGGTTGAAAGATTTAGGGGCGATTCGTTCATGTGTTTGTAGGGTTTCTGCAGTTTCCTTGTGCGGCTGACGCATTCCGAGCCCCAAGCCCTAGCTCAAGACCACACTGAGAGCCCGACAGCCCTTGCATGCGGAGGTTAGATAAAGATAGGTGACGAACACCATGCCTGCCGGCACCGTCTCCTCCAACCCCCCCACCCTCATGACCTCTTTTCGTGGCTCCATCTTCTGGCCCTTGGACTTCCGGGGCATCGGCCGGACTAATCGGTGGCGCCTGCCAGCACAACACTTCTGCTGCAAAACGTGCATTGCTGCCCAGAGCTCAGCCTCATAGAAATCGCTCTGCCTGCGCCCAAGACGAAAGCACCTGAAGGCTCCTGATCGGACTAGCCCTCTGGCGGCTGCCAACAACTACCTCCACAGGTCGCTGATGTTTGGGGCTTAGGGTTTATAGGTTTTAGGGCTTAAGCATGTTTGGGAGTTCGGGTTTAGGGTGTGGGGTTAAGGTTTCAGGGTTTTGAGGACTTTGGGGTTTAAGATTTATAGGATGTTGGAACCCTTGAAAATGTAACTCCGTTCTGGGGTTGCCTTGTACCACAGGGTCTTTACTGCAAAAGAAGCCCTCCCACAAGGAGGCGCTACCTTCTCGGGTGTGGGCCGGGTTGCTAAGCCAAACCTGCTCCATAAACCCACACACACACACACACACACACAGAGTTTCCAGAACTTATAGTTTAGATTTAGTTGTCAGAAACCATCCATATTTTCCTCTTTCATGTCTTTCACTTAAAGTCACACACACACACACACACACTGTAAATCTGTCCACTGGGCGCACCTCACCTGACAAGGGTTAGAGCGTGAATCATGAGCCAAACCCAACAAAGCCGCTAAACAAGCAGTCGTTCAAGCTCCTTGAATGTGGACCCCAAACTAACACAGGGGCTTAGATACTATTTGGGGGGTTGCTTATTATGCTTATACTATAATATAATACCTCCAAACCCTATTCTACATTATTCATTCACTTTCCGTGAACACACAAGCGAGCTCCACAGCCGCTGAGTCCCCATAAGACCTTGACAGCAAGGCCTCGGCTTGACAGCGGTGAAGCAGGTACACGTCTTGTTCCTGTTAGTCCTGTTTTGCCTGAAGACCTCGCCTGGTGTTGCCTAGTGTGACCGTCAACAAACCCTGACCTCCCTGAATTTGGACCCAAGAACCGAAGTCCTAGCTCCAACTTTGTACTCTTAGTCCCAAGTGCTGCCAGCCGGTCTGTAGATGTTTTGAAAGATAGGGTCGGCACCGCATGAGTACTAGTGATCCTAACGGTTGCAGACTCGTTTACGTCCGGACAGCAATAGGAGGACGATGGAGGGAAAGGGGTCAGACAAATGTACTACAGTCATGGACTACGCCCTCAAACCCACTCCAAGCCCCCCTGACCCAACCCTACATCTCACAGTCGAGTTTTCACGCTGCCAGGACAGAGGCCCAGAAGCGGCAGTGCTGTACTGGCTGGCCGGGGTGCTGCAACATTCTGCGCCTGGGACTTCGTATGCGGATTGCATCCTGATGACCTTGCCTCTCCATCCTGAGTCTTGAGGTGTGCCTTCAAGCTCCACGAAACGTAACCCCTTCCATTCCCTTGCATATTAAATCCTGAGCCTTTGTGCCCTATCGTTTTTCCCTCTCGACTTCAGGTGTGTTCTTGTCCGCCATGCTGCTGGCAGACTCGGTGCCGGCACTGGCGGGCATCCTCGCGAACTTACCTATCGTGTGTGGCCCTAAGCCAGTGGTTGAAGCATGTATGCCCACAGCCTTAATTGGTATGGGGTCTGCTGAGGTGTCGTGGGTCCAATGTTTCCGTTCACGACCTGCACTGGTTCACTTGATTCGGATCTTGATTCGACTCTCGCGGGATTTCTGTGAATCACAAGACAAACGCGAACATGGTGCCACAGTTTTTGATCTCTGCATACTCGCAGTGTTGTGAGATTAAGCTGTGGATGGAGGCTTGGGGCTGAGGCTGTAGACCCATTGTTTCTGACATCCGATCCTGATCCTTCTCTCGCATCTCTAGGTCCTAAGCACTAGGTCGAAGGAAGAAGCAGCTCTTCGACGATGTTTGTCGATGCTGACTGCGAGCCATGAACGTCGTGTAGCCGGGTCAAGCGTGAGAGCATAGTCTCCGCCCCTGACAACCCAACCTCAATGCACACTTGGTCGGGTGTTGATGCTGCTTCAAGCTCGAAGGAATCCACGCTCGAGGTTTTATAGTTCTAATGTTGCTTCATCGCAGAAACCACTCTCAAGCTGAGACCTTCAGGGTCTTGGAAATCGTGCAAGATTTGCGGTTTAGGGCTGCGGCTGTTGAGGTCAGTGGCTGTCATCATGATCCTTTGGATGTCTCAGGGGGAGGCGGGAGAGCGGGAGGGTCTGGGCTCGTGGCTTTCAGCGCACAAAGGGTTTGTTCCGAGTCACAAACCCTACGGCTGGCAAGTTGCCTGGAGACTCCTTACATTCGCTTTCCAGAATTCTTGAATCTCAACTTGCGAGCCTCCCAACGACACCAAACAGGCTTGAAAGCCACGCCCGGACTCGTTGTTTCCAGCTTAGGAGGTTTTGCGATTTTGGCATTTTGTTTGCACGTACTCGTGCAGCTATAGACACATGCTCCTGTCGAGGCCAGTGCGCAGTGGGGTTGATTGTAAGGCTCTTTTGCGCAACGAGGTATGTCTCAAACGGCTCGCAATGTCACAAAGTGAATGCTCATGAGTACCTAGCTGCTAAGCTGTGCAAAGCATTACTTTGCGAGCACGCTAGGAACACAAGGACACCGATGCGCACACAGTTAGTCGTGTATATCACCTACACCCTTTTCCTCCGATTCTGTGCTAGTTTCAAGGCCCTCGGGATGAACTCCAAGATCCAGGCCCGAAATCCTTGGGAGCCCCCGACATTTCGGCTGACCGAAACCAATCTGTTTAACCAAAGTCACAACTACAACCTAAACTAAAGCCAGGATGTGGCCATGGCCTGCTTAGCACCGATGGTGCTCGGCATGCTCTCACCATCTGCCTATGCGATGTCCCTTGGCCTCAAGCAAGGAGATCGTGCATTCAGGAGTTGTGAGGGTTCAGAGTGGGGGCCGAGGCTTCACGAGAAGTAGCCCAGACCACAGCCATCCGAAACTCGTTATGTTTGGGGTTGGTTGGGTTTCCACAGATCTTACTTCCCAATTTCCTGATTACCCCGGACGAGCCCTTCCTAATCTCTGATTGATGGCACAATCTCATTGTCAATTTACAGCCAGAAGCTCAGAAACCATGAACTGCTAACACATAGCTTGGAACCGTTTGAGCTTACTCGAACATGTAGCCTAGCACCTCCTGCCAACCAGTCGCTTCAACGCCCCGTTTCCCCCAAGTGCGGAACCCCTATCAACTGTATAATATACGTGTCATCAGTTTAGGCAGCTTTTAGTACATTGGCCCTGTGCGTTTCTGAAGCTCTAGCTGCTCTAGATTGTTGCATTCGAGCTCCGAACCGAAAGACCCAGAAACTCGACCCCATGAACCAAGCCCACGATGACTCCATACTGAAACCTCAAACTCTCATCCCCGGAAGTCCTAAACCCCAAGTACATAAACGTGAAGGTTAACAAGCCAGCTGATGTTGCTGTGGCATCCGGCAGCCGGTGCTGCCACTTGTCGCCAGCACCTGACAGTGCATGGTGAGGGCTTCCTACTTTGATTTCAGTATTCACCCCGTTTAAAAGCAGAGGCTCTTTGCGATTCAGGTATCTACTGAGTGTTCAAAAGCAGAGGTCGCGGCATGGTAATTGGAAGTAGTGTAAAGGATTCCGAGCTTGCGGCGATGAGATCTTTTCGGCCGTCATGGAAACAAGCCCGGAAACCGAAGTCGCGCTGTGGTTGCCCTGAAACCCGTAAAGGCAGAACCTTGTCTCGAAAAGCAGCCAGCCTAGCAAACAACGCTTAAGCCCGACCTCCAGACCTTGGGCGTGCTTTTGCCCATGACCCCAGTCACACAGTTTCTTGTGGACAAGCTACAGAAAGTTACTTGTAATGAAACGGCATGTAGCGTTTAGGGTCTAGGGCTTTACCAAGTTGAAATTTCAAAACTCAAAGCCTGCGCCTCGAAATGCGGAGCTGGAGGTCATCAGCTGGATCCTGTCTGTTGGCGTGGGCAGCCGAGGGCAGTGTTTCAGGGCTAAGGCTTAAGGGCTAAGGGCCCTAAACCCTAAAAACTAAACCCTAAACCGTAAGGGTTCCAGACTTGCAGGGTTTTTGGGGGATGTAGCGCTCAGGCCTGGAGGACTTGGGGTCGGCGCCCAGGCATGTGGTAGTTTCCGAAAATTTGGGGTACCTTATTTTGGGCCCTTATAATAAGGATCCTACTTATTCATTTAGGGTACTAGATTAGGGTCCCCTATTTTCGGAAACCTCCGGGGTGTACTCTGAAAGGCTTTGCAACACACGCCATGGTTCCACCAAAACCTGATTCCCAAACCATGCTGTGGTGCGACTTGGTCAGATAGGCGGGTCGGAAAACCATCCAACCATCAGGTCTGAATCATCAGGAAGCACCTCCTGCATGGACCCTTACTGTAAAGATAAAGTGTACTCCCCAAAAACCCTTTCCTAACGCTCGTGGCCCCAAGACTATTATCTTTATCTCCATAGATTCTTACACCATTACCTTAACCCTGAAAAACCTACCTTTTTAGGGTTCCTTATTATGATTTCCTTATATAAGTCCTTAAAAAATGTGGGTTCTTCCGGATTAAGGTTTAATTGTTAAAGGACAAAGCCGCGAGGCCATCACCTTTCCAACCCTGGCGGTCATGCGCCGGCGCGCCCCTGGAAACGAGAAGGAAGCCGAAACCAAGGCTGATGCCCGGGATTCCTTTAAAAGGGATCTATAAGGGCTACTAAATAAAAAGGGATCTGTAAGGGCTGTTATATAAAAAGGGATCTATATAAGGGCTACTATAAGGATTTAGTATAGGGCCTTTATAATTAGAATACGGTTTTGAAGTGTCGTTCCATACGGGGCTTAAAGGATGATGTTTGCATGTCTGCGGCATTTGCTGAGACGAGGTTCTTGTGCTGGGGTTGTATTTAGCTGTTCAGAGATGGGGCTTGAGGGGGGTCTTGGTTGCTGGTTTTGGGGTTTGGGCTGTGGGAAGGTGGCTCGGGTTTGCTCTTGGACAGGCCGATAACTGACAGAGTGGACAGTATCCTTAAGCATCTAGACTTGTATGTAAACCTGGCCTGGAGAGACCCGGCATTTGTGATTTAGAGGTTGCGACGTCGTTGTAGGGTTTGGGATTTAAGACGTTAAACAGCGCGTGAGTGCTGGAAGCTCCAACCCTAATTCCTTCTTCACATCCAAACACGAGGACTATACCCCTAAGCCCTTAAGCCTCAACCCCAAAACCCTGAACTCTTAGAATATGCAAAGCTTACAACCTGAGCCGTCAAACATGACGCATAGACACGGCGAGCTAGCATCGCAAACAGGGTTCCGTCAGTTGCAACCACTTCTGGGCGCAACTGGCTCAGGATGTTCACTTCCTAGGGCGCTTGGCACCTGCCGCCATTCCTTTTCCCACGGGCCACTCCAATCGTTTTTGCTGCCACGTGCCTGCCTGCTCTTCCGATCGTCCTCACCTCCACCCTTCCAGTGCCTCCACTGCTGCCACGGTCCTTTCCGCCACTGCCTGTCGTCCTTTCTTCCACTTGTGCGGTCATCTTCTCTTTGCTTGTCCAGTCATCTGCGCCACTGTTGTTTCAGTCCTGTTCCTTGTTGCCACTCCGTGGGCCACAATCTTCGGACCACTTGTCATCGCCCCCATGATGCAATGACTTTCCGGGGCCCATGAAGAACGGAGAGCTCGAGTACTTTTTCTTGTTACCAACGTTACCGCTGTTCCGCATGAAGCTCACAAGAAAGGCAGCTAGCATGGATCGGGCTAACATTTTCAACATGTAGGCGGCCGTAGGCGAGTCACGGTCTTGAAAACTACGCTTGGTGTTATCATCGAATGTCCGGCTGATGACCTCGACACCTCGAAGTTGAGCCTGTAAAGCAATATTGTTGTTTCTGTCTTAAGGCCACATTCGCACGGCAAGTGGACACTTCTGAGACAGCGCTTGTTCCAAGTGGCACCTCTCCCAAAGTCCCGTTGTCTTAAGCCCTGCCGGGTTTTTTCAAGTGAACCCATGAACCTTCAACCCTTCAGACCCTGAAGTCTCCACGTTGCGAAGGAAGACCCAGAGACGGCGGAGAGGCCTTGAGAGTTTGGGGTAAAGCCTCAAGGGTTTGTTGTTTGGAGTAGGGGTACAAGGCATCCGGGTATTTTTTGGGTTGAAGCTCTTCACATGGATCCAATAACCTACTGAGCTGCCGCACAAGGGTTATATCCTTTAGATATGGGGTTGCAGCCCGCTAGTTGGGGCTACATATACAGGTTTGGGGGTGTAGAGTCAGGGGGACATTCGCGTGTCTGAAAGGTTTCAATTATCTTTTAGCCTTCGTAAGGTTTTGTCTTGCTAGTAGCTCTTTTGAAAAGAGTGTTGTCCTTGTTTGGTGGGATCTCCAAAACACTAGTTCAATGTGCTTCCCAGATCTGTCGTTGGGCTTTGCATCCGTGTCGGTTTCGTAGTTGCCTAATGCAACGAGAATCCGAGAAACGCATCCTAGAACCCAGAGCCCTCAATGCCGAAACCGTACAACGCTTGCGGCGCTCTGTCCTGACCCATTCTTTGGAAGCTGAAACCCTGAAAGTTTTACTTGGATCCGAAGCTTGACCAACTCGGTCATATCGGGGAAAGTATTATGAATGCTAAACCAAATTCCTATTTTCGTAGGGGTGTCATCATCAGCGCATTTCCGAGATCCTTTTTTATAGGACTCGCGAGAAAACCCACCATAAGAACTCTCACAGACCCTGAAGTGGTGGTACCGGGGGGGGGCCTCCATGAAGGGTGCTGCTTCCACTTTGAGTTTCGGAAAGGAGCCTAATTTTCAATTTTGTTCAGTCTCGACAAGCGCACCCTCCAACATGAATCATGAACACTGACCGGACGGCCACAGATTGGGGTTGCATAATATTGCCGGCTTTTCATTGTTGTTGATACGTTAAGAGCCTCTTATATCAAGTGACCCCGCCCTATGGCCCCAGGCCTCAGGAACAGAGCGATCAGCCAGCTGATTCGCCAGCTGCCAGGAGGGTTTTGCAACTGTAGGACTCCAAGTTAGTACAGAGGATCCCCAGGCTAAAGCTTCAAAAATGCCGCGCGTAGGGACTGGAACTGAACATCTAAACGATCTAAAATCTAAAACACCATGAGCAAGGCAAAGAAAAGCAAGGGTGATCCTCACGTTCCTGTTCAAAGTACAGAAGGAGAGCCTAGTCGGATGTGAGTTCCGTGAGACAAAGGCTTTTCGTCCTGGATGCTCCCGGCATAGACTCAAGGGTCTACGGCTGAACATTCTTGAATATTGATGGGACGGTAATAATGATTGGTTGCCTCATTTTGCAATTCCTCCTGCATACCGAAACCAAGCCTTGCTAGAACATGCGAAGTCTGACTGCAACAGTGTTGGGATTTAAAGATTCTGCGGCGAGCCTAGGGTGTACAGCTCTGGTATTGTGACGAACTGATATCCTCGACCAGACGCATAGCATTGGGCTGTCTAGCCTGAGATGCATTCCCCAAAAAATGGGGTACTGGGCTGTTTGGGTCGGGTCCGGGGGTGTAGTGTGGTCTTCGCCAAGCCCTAACGACCCCAAAACCTTCGACAGAAAGAGAGCTAACCTGAACCGCAAAACATCAACCTGTGCAAGCCGTGCGAGTCGAAACCTGAAAACCTGAAGGCATGAAGCGTAAAGACCCCGTAAAGCATACACGACGGGTCAGGCTTGAAGCGGGTCAAGTAGCGCCATTGCAGGTCCTCCATGGTCCGCTTTACGAGCCGTGTGTACGGAGTAAACAAGTTTTCTTAGAGAGCAGAGGGTGCAAGATCTAAGGCCTAAGGTCCAGGATGTCAGGCTCGTTCAGAGTGTGTGTTTTGATCCTGGGTGGCCGGGAGCAGCTGGGTGCACGAGGATCCCGTGAGGGCCAAATGACGCATGAGGGAAGGCAAGCCTGCTTCCCTCGTAGTCTGCACGACTTCCACTACACCCTACAACTTCCTTCTAGATCCCGGGCTTCCCTACTTGCACTGAGTCCAAACCTGAACAGTTCTTATTTCATTTGGCCTCTCGAGGGGTAAGAATTCATTCGCAGATCCTCGCATAGCCTGCACTGTTACCTCTGCAGCGCGGGAGAAGAAAACGGAAAGCTGTTGGCCGATGGCTTTTGGTTTCGCATTCAGGAGATTGGGTTTGGATCTCTTGTCAGGGCCGTTCAGGAGAGTGATTTTTAATCCAAAATATAGTATAGGCCTGCAAGTGCGACAGGAGCTGCCCTGCCCCAGCCCCGCCAACAGAGGGCCCAAACCATGAGGCCGACATCAAAGCCCTGCAAGCCCTATCCCTACCAGGGAGCGGCGCGCATGGTGGGGGAGTGTGTTGAATCGGATCCTACTGTTTTTTCCGGCGATGTTCTCATCCGGCTCGATTTATGTGTCCCAGCACGCTTCGTACCCCGAGGGGTTCATGAAAGCTCGAATCTTCGGGTTTCGGATTTTCAGGAGCGTCGCTAGCTCGAGGAGTCGGAAAAGGCCCGGAAGTTCCGTGAAGGAGGGAACTAGGAGTCCCCGAATGACCGAGACTACTGATCCTTGCAGGGCTGTTATATTAAGATGTCGAAAATCCCAAGCCAGGGGACACTGAACTGTGCGACCTGAGCTCTCGTTGTACTCGTTATCCGGGCCTTCAACTTCTGAGGCTCTAAACGACTTAATGCTAGGGTCTGGCTTGCGGGCCAAATCAAATGTCGGAAATTTGAGGTGCGGGGTATTTCAGGGTTTGGGCACGACCGAATCATCCCCGAATTGGCGCGGGGTGACTGTGAAGGTTTGTGAACATCGCAGAAACACCCCATCAAGGGTGCAACCGAATCCACAACGATCTGAGCAGTATATACCCAGCGGTGCTAGCGCCCAGAAGTGGGGATCCCCTCGACGCAGAACTCGGTATGCCCGTCTATTTCAGCCATTGCCTGGCTCCCCAGGCTTCTTCTCTCCGCAAAGAAGCTTCTACGCCCGGGGGACGAGCTCTTCAACAGAGTCACTTTGCCAGGAAAGGGGGTTGGAGATGTGGGACTCCCAGGTTTCGATTTCTCGGGCTTGGGGCTCGAATCTGCGGTGCTCTCACCAGCTGTATCACGCAGTATCATCATGGTTTAGTTATTTCTTTATTGAGTTTATTGTCCCAAGCCCTGAGCCTAGTGCCCTTTTGTGGTTTTGCTCCGCTGGTCGCTAGAGGTCTGGGTTCAGGGCAAGCCAGGTGTTAAGTGGGCCAGTAGGGTTGAAGTCAATGACTTGTGAGAGGTGAAAGGGAGGTGAGGGGCTTCTGCCTTGGGATGAGAGGGCATTAGAACCCTTAGAAACCCAATTAGATCATGCAGAAAAACCACCAATTACCGCCAGAATCTCCACAAACATTCCGAGATCTACCTGGGGGCTTGACATGTCAGGTGATTGCATGCAGTGCCGCCGTGAGTCGTCATAGCATCATTTGAGAACTTGAAAGGACGCTTGCAATGGTGGCAATTATGCTGGTGATGTTAGCACTCCCTTCATTTCGTAGCAGCAACCCGGCGACGGCCTCAAAGCTTAGGAGCACTCTCAATGGGCTCATGCGAAGATCCGACCTTCTTTCCGCCAGGTTCAAGATCGGTCGAGCGCCTCCCTTCTCGCCACCTTCGGCGCAACTTGGCTTGGCTCAGCCGCAGCAGAGAAGCCATCCCCCATAATTGAAAATACTCTACTTGTTGTAAGACGCAACATAGCCCAGACAAGACCCTGATCAGTTCGCTCTTCACGGCCTGGAGCTTCGAACTCACCCCCACTTTCCGGTGTGGTAGGTCTGTTTGGCCCAGGGTTCACCCTGTCTACTGTGTACTGGAAGCCCAGGGTACCGTTTGTATGGGTATCCTGGTCCTCAATGCTGGGTATGGGGTGATGTGTTCAAAAGAGGGTGCAGTCGCTGGGAGATCTGTTGAGGGCCTTACAGGGAAATGGTGCAGCAGCTTCGGCCTGTTCGGTTTCTGAGAAACCCCGAGCAAGGTTCTAGACGGTGGGCTGCCACCCTTAAATCCTAAACCCCTAAAGCCAGAACCAAGGTTCGCTTTTAGCAGCGAGCGCTTTCGAGTTGAGTGGGTGGGGTTCGGGCTTCTCGAGCTTGGGATCTCGCAGGATTTGGGGTCGCTTCGCAGGTTTTAGGGGTGCTTGTCGATGAACTTACGTCAAGTTGCCGTCGCAGGTGGATATTATATAAGATCGCGTATCGAGCTCGCACATGATTAAATCCATTTCAGCTGTGTTTTGAGCTCCTGAGAAAGAGCCCTCACGAGACCCTTGAAAACCACAACTCGTTAACGCAAATCTATGCAAATTATCATTTGGACTGGTCCTCTGTCGTCCTTTTTTGCAGTAAAACGTCCCGAAGCTCATTCCTTACTGAGGCCCTTGTTTTTTGCATCAGGGTCTGAACTGTCTCCGAGGTCGTTCCTGGCTCTGAGCAGCCTGGCGTACCCAGCGACTCTGACCTTGCAGCCGCTTGCAGAAGATGAGTTTTTGTCTGTTCACTTAGTGATTTTTAGGATTTTGGTGCTAGGTTTAGGGTTTTGCGGCTTAGGCTGTTGGGTTAGTTAGGTTCGGGGATTACAGGGTTAGGGGTACAGGGCCTAGGATGGTCTGGATCTTACAGATCTACTGAAAGCCCTATGCTCGTGAACCAAGGAGTACACTTGAAACTGTTCGGCCTACTTACGTGGTGGTGTGCTTTCTGTTGCAGCCACCCCTTGACAGTTTCATGCAACCCCCGACGCACGAGCCATGGCCCAGCGGCAAGGTTGCAGGTGTTGTCGTCCCTTTGGCTCTTGAACGATGAACCATTCTTCAACCAGAACCCTCGACCTGGCAGGAGCTTAGATGCCTCTCAACGTCGGCCTCCCAAACGTAACAGAACCCCCGGGTGTAAACCTTAAAATGGTCACAGGCAGAAAGACCTAGATGGCCACCCCCCCCCCTGCCACAAAAGCAAACAGAGCAAATCGCGAAACATGGGCACCGAGCCGAGGAAGTGAACCATTCAGCGACCTGTTGGCTGCCCTGTCCAGAGACCGACCCTTCCGATTACCCCCGCGAGCGGCGAGCTTAGAGTCTTGTGAACATTGCATATATAGATATATGCGTGTATTGCACACATGAATATGTGTGTCTATGTCACAACAATGCATTCGTACATACGTACATCATACATATATACATACATACATCCATACACATATATATATACACATGCAATGAATAGTTGTTTGATGGGTTGGTTGGTTTGGTATGGTTCGGATTGGTTTCGTTTCGTTAAGCTAGGTCAACAGGCCAGGCAAGGTCAGGTCCGGTCGGGTCAGGTCAGGTCAGGTCAGGTCAGCCAGCCAGTGCTTCAGTGAGACAGATCTGTACACAGTTCAGCAGTTAGGTCAGCCGGTGTAGTTGCTTAATTAGCCAGCTAAGCTTCTTTAGGGTGCTAATTACTTTGAGAGCGACTCAGCGGACCGTGGACAAGCAAATTTCCCGGTATGCGAAGCAATTTCGGGGTATCTGCTGCAGGAGGCGATTGTTCTATGCGAATAGGAAGAAGCCTGTTATTATCACAGTTGGTATTGTTGCAAGATATCAATTACGCTCGCTGGTTGATACTAGTTACAGTTACATCTGACCAGTACTGTCGCAACTGATCATTGCCTCTTCGTGATAAGGCGTGCTAAATCAGGGCAGAGTGGCCTTGCAGACCCGACTTGCCCGGCCAGGTGGGCTCAAGAACCGTGGCATAGCACAGTATGGAATACTTTAGGCCCGAAAAGCAATCTTACCCATCCTGGTTCCAATTCGCGACCAAACACGAACCCAGCCCTGAACCCAAAATCCGAAGCCCTGCACTCTCAAACCTAAATCCTCTATGCCCAGAGTGAGTGGCCAAACCCCCGTACACCCCAACCTTGCAACCACAAAGTCACAGAGTTGCTACAGCTGCAGCTTGTAAACCACAAAAACAAGACGATCCAGCCTTCCGAAACGGGTCATCAAATCCCGAAGCGCCGAAAGCCCAGACGCTCATACTTAGCCCAAAGCCCGATACCTCCTTAACCAGTAACAACCAACTGAACCCCAAACCTGGAGCTACAAACCTTAATTACCAACTCTTCCACACTTAAGCCCCTGCAAAACCTGATGCTCCACGAATCGAGCTGTACACCGCGCAGCCGGGGATCAGGAGCCCGGATCTACCCTGAGACCTTGAAGCCTTGCGGCCCTTTCTGCCATGGGTTCTGGGTCCTCGGTCCCTGAAGCACCAGCGAAGGTTGAGGCAGAGCCCGGGTGCAGCAAGTCCCAGCGCTTGTAGTGTGGAAGGTTTCGGGGTGCGCCTCGATGTGGATGTCTCTCGCGTTGTCATAATAAGTCTTAAGATCTTCACAGTGCTGCTCCTTCATATATATATATGTACAGCATATCCAAAGAATTCAGAGATACGTACATACCTACATACAATCAAGCAAACATACGTAGATACGCATTCGCGTCCACCCAAATCTTAGTGGTAGAACGGGCAAGGTTTCGATTCGGGGTACTATCATCTTCCCGCAGCTGAACCTTTGGTTCCCTAGGATGCTAGACCATTAAGTCGTGGTGTGCAGTCCTCACGCATGTCAGAGCTGGTGGCCGAGCAATGCGAAAGCTGCCTGGTTCAGTGAACGGGAAAGGTTCGCAAACTGAGAGAGTAGATCTATGTTGTTTGAGACGTATATCCATCAATCTCTGTCTCATCCGTTGCTCCTGTTACCTACGCAGGCAGACAGGCGGTGATGCACGCAAGAAACTGTGCAAGCACTGGGCAAGACTTCATGGCCTACACCCATGTACAGATGCTGCTACGTCCCTGTTCAGCTTGAGGCACTTGTTCCTGGAACGCGGAACAACTCATTGGCTGCAGCATGTATCGTTTTACAGCAGTATTGGTAGGTTTTGTCACTGACATGGACATGTGATATACGCTAACTGCCTGACAGGATTGGCTCCGTCAAGTCATCGAAAAGGACCCGAACACGCATTACTTGTAGGGTTTAAGATTTACAGGGCTTTAGGATTTATAGGGTTTGGGATAGATGTAGTCTTCTGATGGCTTGAATTTTGAGGGGCTTCGTGTCGAAGCCTTATTGGCCCCTAGACAGGCCTTGTTGAGTTGAATTATCTGTTTGAGGATTGAAAGCTTGCAGGGTGCTCCGGACAGTTGTCAGTTAGCTGTAGGAGAACCTGTCGCCATGCCTTTTTCGGGCTCTTTATTCTTCTAGTTGGCGATTTGCGGCTTGGAGCTGCCAAACAGCGGATGTAACGGGCCCGCTTGCTTTAAGCGGTTCTAAGGCTTCTGAGGTTCGCAGTCTTGGTGGGTATCTGGTGGTCCCTAAACTTGGCCCTAAACAGGTCTTTAAGTGCCCTGTGGGTATTGGTCTGTATGGTGATATAGGCGTATTCTTGCCAATCAGCCACAAACCAAGCTCATCAACCTCACTCAAGTGCAAGGCCCTAAGGCCAACTCTCGTCTTGATGATCCAATACGCAAAGGCTTTGGTAGAGTCATGTGTTCATTTTCCGGAAGTAGGCCGAAAGCCCTCAGTCTCGTGCTTCCTTTGGGGACTGTCGGGAAGAAATGTTGTTTGACATCCGGACCCTTGAATGAACAAAACTCATGGGCATCGAAGCCTCAGCCTAACCTGATCGACATCACTCAAAAAACGGTGGTGCGTGAGGAAAGGAAAGAGAAGGCATGGCTGGCAAAGAGATATGCTGAGGAGAGCGAGAAGGCAGGCCTTTGGCGCACCAAGGGGCTTTCAACAAATGTCGGTGTTTGTAGCTTAGTGTCGAGGCTGCTAGGGGAAACTTTGCAAAGTCATAAAGGCTGCAGACCACTGGAACCGGTCTTGCGAAACCCTGGACAGATGGATGTGCAGGCCTTGAGGCTCTGGTGCAGAAACGGTTAGGCTTGTGAAGTTCGACTGTAGGAAGAACCGTGGAGGGACTTCAGGATTCCGCGTGGGTTCTGCGATGGAACTGTGCAGATTCTTAAGAGGCTGAGGTTCCATAATTATGAAGTAGAGTCTAGAGGGTCGACAATACTAATAACCCTCAAAGGGAACCCTAAACAGTGATCCCTCAGCCCTATCGTAAAGCTCAATCTTCAAAGGTCTCTGACTAACAGGCAATGTGACCCCATACGTTCACCGGCTTTGAGCATCCACTCGAAACCCCTCCAACTGGAGCAAAGAGCGTAATCCCCCAAACGTCGCTAAACCCTATACGAGTTGATCTGAGCCCAGAGCCTTGGAGATCTGACTGTGAGCGAGTGCGAAGCCTTGCCTCTTATCAGATATAAAGGGAACTCCAGAAAGTTGGAATATGGTTTCAGGGTAGGATACCTTATAATTTACCATAAAAGGGTTAGGATAATCATATTCCAACTTTCTGGCTTTTACCTTAAGATTATCAGATATAGAGAGGCCGACGAGCTCCGGTCAGAGCTTGAAGCGCTCCGCCGGCTTCTACCAGGCGATCGTCTTGGTTCCGTGCAGTGCTGGGGGATTCAGTGGCCAGAGACCCTCCATGCTCCCGTCGTGCCCCTGCGCATGATGAAATAGAACGAAGAGTACAGACAAGGACTTGAGGGGAGTGAGCATGAATGACAGAGGACGCACACACAGCACGCACCACACACACACACACACACACACACACGCGCGTACACGTGTGTGTGTCTGTGTCTACCTCCCTCCCTCCCTCCCGCCCTTTCTCTCTCTCTCTCTCTCTCTCTCTCTCTCGTATGTGTGTGTGTGTACATATGTATACGCACTCATAGGCACGTCGTGTCCGATCTTATGCGCATCGCCACATGCCTGCATTCCAGATCGGTTTTCCGAAGGATCCACGGAAGCTGATGCAAGCGCCGTCCAGAGGTGCGTCGGATTTGGGGTGAATGTTCGGGGTCAGCGATGAGTCGCGTGTCGGGCTTGTACGGCTACTGTGAAGCGTTTCGGGAGGTGTACTTAGCGTTGAATTCTTGACCGTTTCCATGGCCCGGACTTGAGGATTGGATTGACTGGTTGGCTTTGCATACATAGTGACATAGTCTTCGATCGATAGTCGTCCGGTCTTGTCGGAGTGCAGCCGGTGGTGTGTATATATATATATATGTGTGTGTGTGTATATATATATATATATATATTGAGAATCCTGTTCATGGGCATCGCAGCTGCCCTCTAGATACTGCAGTTTGGCAGGGTGGTGAGATTTCGAGCTTGAACCATGTGCGCTTTTGAGGTGCAGGAATTGGGGGGTTTTAGCCATGGGCCCGTAAGGAATGAATGCCCCAGCCTGCAGTAGCCCAAAACCGCACGACATCATAGCATGCACTCCATCCAACATATCTGTAAAGCGTGCAGCCGAAAGCAGGTCACCAAGCAAGCCCAACAGCAGCTGACAAACTCTCGAGCCGAATACCTGGAGGAGCCTGAAACCATCTCAGCAATAATTACCATCGAAAGCTTGCATGCCAAAATTCGGATGACAGGCCTACCACACCGAACAGACTCTCGAAGCCAGGCCGGCCTAGTATAGATACATGGTCGAACGAGGTTCTGAGGTAAGTTTTGGTTGGCAGGATTTGCGCACCAGGCAGACACGGATTGCAATGTAGATTCTACCATCTTTCTTTAGCGGCTTGAGAAACATGTCAGTGCGGTGATGCAGTCGGGGAGGGTGGTGGCTTTTTTGATTCTGCTACGTCTCAGAGTTCAGTCCAGACACTGGTCACTAAACTTGTCGCAGTGGGGGCACAAGTCACAAGGCGATGTCTGAGATTTGAGGGTTTTAGCGTGCCGAATGCCTGGGAGCGAGAGAGCGAGAGAGCGAGAGAGAGAGAGAGAGAGAGAGAGAGAGAGAGAGAGAGAGAGAGAGAGAGAGAGAGAGAGAGAGAGAGAGAGAGAGAGCGAGAGAGCGAGAGAGCGAGAGAGCGAGAGAGAGTGGGAATCTGTTGAAGTTTGTGAGAATTCCGATTCCAAGGACCATATAGGTAGACCGGTAGAAACTGTAGTGGGAACCGCGCTGTCGAAGTGAGAATACGAACCTCCAGGCCATAGCTGTCCTTCAAGCATATGGGTTTCCGATAATCAAGGACCCAAGTATGGACTCATAGGGCGTTCTCCTAATGAAGGCCAAACAGCAACGGGCCCAGAGTTCGAAGACCACTTCGAAGTTGAAGGTAAGAGCATTTTGCAAATGATCAGCGCATCGCAGGGCTACGATCGAAGCCCCCAGAATTAGCAATAGGATTAGCTTGTAGTCCCTATGTCAATATTGGTCCTGCCCCTAAACCTTGGACCTCCAATCACATAACTATGTTACGATAAACCGCCCCCGATCACTTTTGTTCTTTTCAGGCCCCCCCCCATATTAGCAAGACATCATGGCCAAGGTTGTAGAATTTCACATAGGTGCTTCAGTAATTAGAATGGTGCTTGGGGGTCTATGATGACCCAACTTTATTAAGGAACCCGAGGGCACATGATACTCTGATTGTATCAAGGAGGCCGTTTCAGAAATCACCCCTATATTTGTCCGGCCCGAAGCAGCTCTCGAACTGTAGGGGTGATCCAGAAAGCCGTGAACGACGTCCACCTGATGTCGACGACGGATGAGTTCGTCTCTTGCCTTGGTTGTTGGGCTTAGTGGTCGGTGCTGAGTGCCTTTTCTATTGAGCTGAGGAAGCAACACGCAGTGCCAGTTCCCTCCCTTATGTTCCGCACTCCTTCGACGGCTTCAGGGTAAAGCGCTGTTGGGTTTATTGTTGTAAGTGTTGGGCTTCAACTTGATTTTTTCCGGCGATCCAAACCTCCAGCCAAACTTCCATCGGGTCAGGGCCAAGGCTAGCTGGCGGAGGGCTGTTGGGACATCGAGACAGGTTTGCGGTCTCAAGTGCTGAGTGGTTTGGGGCTTGAGCCTGAGTGCTTAGGGTCCATGGTTTCATTTCTAGGATTCAGGGTGCAGGGCTCCTTTGAGTGTCCTCTGTCTACAGGTGTGATGACTACAATGCATTTTCGACCGGCTGACTGCAGATGGAGTCCCCAACTTGAGGCCAAGACCTAAACCCCAGGATGTAAAACCCAGGGGCACGGTGGAACGAAGCCTCACTAGCCACCCGCCCTACCTGTCTTAAACGCACAAATTCCTGATTCAACCGCACCATTCTCGGCCAAATCCAGCCAATATGCCTGAAGTCAGTTCAGTCCTATTCTCGCAGCCATGAACTTCAACCCTGAACCCTCACCCTCAACTCCTTCCAAGGGGAGGCTGTCGCCGAAGCTAAATCGCCGAGTTTCGCTGCTTGCTTCAACACGGTAGGGGACGGAGCTAAAAGTGCTTATAATAATCCTTGGCTCAACATGTCCAAAGCCCGGTCCACCTGAACAAGAAGCATCATCATTGCAGACCCACTGCGTTGGAGCCACCTGCAGGTTGCTCAAACTCTCATGAGCACTTGACAGGGTTGCCAAACCCGTGCTTGCCAAACCCGTGGTCGAGAGCCGTTTCCAAGCTACAATCTCAGATGTCATTTGAAGTAGAACGTATATTCTGGATTTGGGTACGTGTATAAAGGCTCTTGGGAATGTTGGTGAGTGTGTATTTTGGATGTTGGTCTGGGGAACTACTGTTAAGCGGCCTGCTTCATTCGTACTGGCATACAAGTCTTTCGTTTACAGCCCTATCAGATCAATGCTACCGCGGCGCAGGCTGTGTTTTGAGCAATGCGCCCGAGACAGGAAATCTGAAATATGCACCTGTGCATCTGTGCGAAGCAAGGGTCAGCCGAACTTCAACATCCCAAAAGATTGGTTGCTGTGTTGTTCTTGTTTCTTTCGTTCCCTCTCCTTCCCTCTGCCTGTCTGTTTGTCTGTCTGTCTGTCTGTCCGTCCGTCCGTCCGTCCGTCTCTCTCTCTCTCTCTCTCTCTCTCTCTCTCTTGCTTTCCCCCCACAATCTGCCAAGATTCTTATCTTAAGCACTAGGCCACCCCACACTGCAGAATCTGTTGCAGCCGAGGATCAACAGCCGTCCAAGCTTCCAGTCTCTAGGAAGCGGCAGCTCTAACAAGGAGCAGTGACGCAAATTGAGGTTCAAGTCGAGTTTTGCAGTTTATGGCTTATAGGGTTGGGGGGCTTGGCGTTTCCGGGTTCGAGGCCATGAAATTGTCTGATCTACTGTCCGAACATAGCCAAAAACTTTTCAATGGCCCCAGAGCAGTTTAATGTTGCCTCATGATATCAAATCTGATAAATGGCTCATGCAGTAGCGTTTGCGCCATCCTGGCTGTTACTGGACTCATAGACTCTGCAGTGCAGGCTCGATTGGATCGGCCTCGGGTGGCGATGTTGTAGCCCTTTACATTTGCACCTGCAACACTGCGACTCACACGAGGGCTCGGCGATTGGCCGGTTTCAGGGAGCAGCTGATCGCGTGAACATCTACGTGTTTGGAGACCGAATGCCGTGCACTAGACCTTGGAGGTTGCAAGAAATTTCGACGGCATACTCATGATATGTGCCAACTAACATCTATGTTCGCTCCTCTGTACAGACTCAAATCCTGTCGATAAGCCTTTATGGTTCAATCATGGTTCAACGGATTCGACAGAGCTTCAGGAAATAAAGAATTGAACCAGCATCGCTTGCACCGCAGCAGAACGGTTGGGCTCTTCCTGGGGGCCGCCTTCCTCTGCCGGTTTCTTTAAAAGTTCTGAGGGTGCAGTAGCCATTGTAACCCGCCGCGAGGTTGCGGATTTGTGTTCAGGGTTCCGGCAGCCCGACCGTAGGAAATGAGATAGCTTTGGTTGAACGAAACCGGTCGGGGCTGTGAATTGTTTGGGTTTTGATGCTGCTTCCGGGTCTGGGCATACGGTTTAGGGCTTAGGTGTTTCGGGTTTAGGGTTTGAGGGAAATCTTCAAAAAACCTCGAACAGGGGTGGCGGCTACCCTGATGCGGCTTCCGGCGTGGCCGGAAAGGCAGCCTTTAATTTAGCTCATCTCCTGTCCTTACAGACCAGAAGACAGACCTGGCAAAGGTCTCGGTGAAGTTAGGTTTTGTGTTTGGGACTCGGACTTGTGCCAGCCTCTAAATTGATTGTTCCAAGGTTTATGACGCAATAGCAAATTCTGGTCTGTCGGGTGGCAGTTGCCTAAGGCAATGTCACCCACCATCACGCACCCCAGCTGAGCTGCAGCAGGCTGAAAAGATGGCAAGGCCTACAGAGAGTTTCGGGGTGAATCTGGTCTTGCAGCTGTGTACTCAGGCGCAGGCTATGAAAGGTGAGTTGCAGGTTTTCTGAACTTGGAGATTTGACATTCTGCCTAGGATAGTAGGATATATATATATATATATATATATATATATATATGTATATATATATATATATATATACATATATACATACACACACATAAACGTCCCACCAACATCCTCAAGGAATAAGGGCTGCAGATATGCTTCCCCCAACCTCCAAAGGGTACCTTAAACCCGAAAGCGTATCCTGTGGTGAAGCGAAGACGATACAGGCACAACGACGAGTGGGTGAGGTGGATAGGGTGGGCACAGGTCTCCCTGATCGTGGGAAGAGAGAGAGAGAGAGAGAGAGAGAGAGAGAGAGAGAGAGAGAGAGAGAGAGAGCGAGAGAGAGAGAGAAAGAAAGAAAGAAAGAAAGAAAGAAACAAAGAAAGAAAGAGAGAGAGAGAGAGAGAGAGAGAGAGAGAGAAAGAGAGATATAGAGAGAGAGATGAGAAAAATCTAGGCCTGGTTGTGAAAGTTTAGGATTTAGGAATTCAGAGTTTCGAGCAGGAGGAAATCTGAAGCGCTCTACCTTGCATAATCTTTCAACTTTCTCACTGCAGGTTTCAGCCGTAGCATGCTTCTAGTTTAGGGCTTTAAGCCTAGCATGGGATCCTCCCGAATTCGTGAGACTGTGCCGTAGACCATGAATACTTATGAACAGCATAATATGATACATAGCAAAACCTGGACTACTGCATAGGGACGACCATGAGAGTATCTACTCCCGGGCTTGGGGTTCGAGCTCAGGGTATTCGGTTTTTCCCCCCAAACTTCCTGGACGAGTCTTTGCAGGGCTTCACGGTTGAAGGCTTGCAGACTGGCTGAGGACGTACATGGGCACCAAGATAAACCTGTTGGTTGACTACGCCGCGAGCCAAGCTTCCTCTGCGCTTTTTTGGAGATGGCGTTTCTGCTGGCTTCTTGGTTTTTGGGCCACGAATCAGTCCTGGTCTGAGGTTGGTTAGCCCTTAGGCCTCATTGCTTCCGGATGCTGCCCATCCTTTGAACTCTGCAGAGACCCCGCACCCGAAAGCACTGAAGCTTCGAAGATCCTATACAAATCCTCAAGCCTCAACTTCTCAAAAGCGATACCGATACCTTCACACAGACCTAGGCCGCAAGCCCTTCAACTTCAAGGGTCCAAGGTTGAAATCCTCAGCTCGAAGCCGGCAGGATCCATGGACACCTGTACCACAAGGCCTAGCAATCAGGCCACAATGTCACAAAGCCTGGACCCCCAAAAAACCTCAACCTTAAGATCCCGAACATCCCTCAACCCCAGCTCATGCTCGGAGTTTAGAACTGCGGCCGTAAGTCTTCAATCCCACGACCCCGAAAACCTCAAACCTGTTCGCTGGAGCCAAACCTAAACCCTATACTGCGAGTGTGCGAGTGGAAACCGTAATTGCCCAAGCTATAAGGGAGTTTCCGAAAATAAGGGACCCTAGCATAGTACCCCAAATAGTAGGATCCTTATTATAGGGACCCCAAAATAAGGTACCCCCAATTTCGGAAACTCCCATAAACCCCGAAACTGAGGCGGGTTTGGAGGTGCGGGGACCACGGCTCCCCTCCACGCCTTGTAAAGACTTCTGCTTCGTTCTGCCAGACGAGGCCAAGCACAGGGGTTTTATAGGGTCAACGGGTTCAGGGGGTTGCGATCATTCTGAACCAATTGCATCGAGCTGATTTCTCTCGGGACTGTTGTTCGCTTGTTCGAGATGTGCGCGTCTTTTTGGGTTCGGCTATGTATGGGTCTGGAGTTCGGGCTTGCGTTAGTGAGGGCGTACGGGTGTTCAGGGTTTGGGAGCTCAAGAGATGGTACAGAGGGACTACCTGCTTCAGTTCTAACTTGTCTCAGGACTGGTGCGCAGCGATGATCTTTTGGTTGTTGGCCCTGTTCCATTCCTTGTGGTTTTCAGATCGGGGTGTAGAGTGTCAGCGGTGGCTTGATGTGCAGGCTATCTGGACGTGTGATGCAGGTCTGGCCCCAGTATAAATTCGAGCTAGCTCGGCGCTCCTTGCTATTTGGCGTTTAAGGCTTTACGGCGGAGTAGACGTGTGGGTCTCACTCATGTTTGCAGCCGTAGTTGTAGGTTTAGCTGCAGTAGCAGCGCTGCATCGAAAGTCTTAGCAGATTCATTGCGAAGTAACATAACAGCAAGCTATCAGTGTAATCGCAACCACGGCCATTTTGCCACAGTACTGTGCGGCGTTTGGGTCGGCGTTGGTTCCACACGCTTTTCACGAAGGAAATCATTTCCAAAACGGCGGCTCTACCTGCTCTAAGCCTTGGTTGAACCGTAAGTCGGACAAACCGTGAACCCTAAACTAGTCCAGAACACGCGAATCATGCTACCTCGATCTTCGAGGATATATCCTGCCTACGGTCGTCTTGCTTGCCTCGACTAACCCTCCAGGTTTTGAGAGATTGCTGGCCTCGCGGGACATGACCTCATGGCCGCAATGTTGCTTCTGACGCTGTATACTAAAATAATACTAAAAGCCCTTAACGCCAATTCCGAAGCATGTACACGGCTACTGCAAGCCCCGATGCAAACCCCGACACCCTAAGCTTGTGAAATGAACACCCTCAAACCCTCAGCCCTGCTTCTGTGTAAAGTCGAACCATCGTCTATTGTAGCTGTCAACCCAGAAATATCGAAACACCAAGACGGTAGCCTTCAACCTTTGAGCTGAAAGTCTCCCCAAGAGGCCGTTGGCACAGGGCGCCTACTGCCGACGGCACGCAGGGACCGTTTTGGGTTTAATTTGGCCGTTTAAATCCCAATCGCCCTGTCCCTCACAACGGTTTCAGGATTTCGGGACTTTTGGGATCAAGCCGGTTCAGGGTGAGGGGCTCACAGGGCACATAGTTTCGGGCTCTTTTGAGTTTTGAGGTTCCGGCTTGAGGGCCGGGGCTGAAGCATCTGAGCCTGGTTGGGGTAGGGATCCGGGCATTCAGGAACTGAGGACAAATGATCCAACATCGAAATCTCTGTGCTCACCTCGGTTGTGGAAATTGTGCTTCGTGCCTAGCTTGTGAAGGCAAACGAATATGGCCGTGCATGAAAAGTCTGCACCCATATCATTTGCCCGGAAACCGACAACCTGGCCAAGCCATGCGGCACGTTCTCTTCAATTCCATTCTCGCTGTGTGACCTTCCAAGCCCCAGATTGTTTTATCGAAAGCTGCACGGAGTGCTGTGGTCCATTGTTTGACGTTGTGCTTTGTAGCCTTCACTCCTTGACCTTGACAGCTAGACCTTGGGCTTGGCAGCTGAACTATGCAGATCTTGGAAATTAGGGTTTTGGAGCAGCCTGGTGGGGAAAAAATGTGGGGTTTCCATATTTGGGTGAAAAGCTTGACGGCTGCCTTCGTTTCTGAGTGAGGGGGCGAGGGGCTTCATTCTACACGCCGGCAAGGTGCACCTACACTGCTTGGGGTTCTCCTCAGCCTACCCATGACCAAACTGGCTGCAATATTGCGTTTACCCCCGCTCCCCAAAAGGTACACACTCCCAACTCCTAAACTCTAATCCCGAACAAGTTCCCACTAACAGAAGAAGGTATGGGTTATGACATTGTCTGTGTTGGAATTGGGTGGGGGATCTGGTCTGGAGCTGCATCTTGGAGCTGGTTAGAGTCACCGAAGCAATTTCTAAATCGTTTGATCTTTGGCCTGTCTGTTGCCTGCCATCTCAAAAACAGTGTCGTTTGGAGGGCCTATCTGCTTCGTGGGTTATCGACGTAACTGTGCTGTTATTTGTTTAGTAGGGCGTTGTGAGAGTAAGCAGGCATTTCTTTGGGAGGGAGTTGTGAGAGTCAGTGGCGACCTGCTTTGCCATTGTGCCTATCTCCCTTCTACTTGCCGACTGGTTGCCTTCTAAGAGCTGCTACAAGTGTGCCAGGGTAATTAGGTGACAAACAATGGTGGATGCACCAATATTCTTCTGTCTGTGGCCCTACAGCTTCTGTAAACAACCCCCTTTCCTGGCCTAGGTGTACTAACTATGCAGGTACCTGGACCCTTAAGATCCTTAGCCATGTCTTGGGTTCACCCGGCAATTTCTCAGCCTTTCTTGCAGTCGCGCTTCATGATCGCAGACGTGGCCGGGCTCGGGAGCTACCTGGTTAAAGTTTCGTTTTTGAGCTTACAGGGCTTGAGCAGTTCGAGGTTTGATTCCAAACAGCAGCACAAAGGGTACCCTTCTCATTTCGGGGCTACTGCTGAACCTAGGATGTAGGGCTTCCCTCTTCCGTCAAGAAGTCTGTTTCGTGTGCATATTTCAAGATAGACCCAAGAGGCCATCAGCCTTGTCGTCCTACTCATGGGAATCCCAGTAGGGCCCCCCTGCGTTATAGCATTTACAGAAACCGAAACCCAAACCTGTGGATCCTGAGCTTTACACAAACTTTGCGGGCAGGTAGACCCTCCGACTACCTAGACCCCCCAAAGTAGGTAAAATAATGGTCCAAGACCTATAAAAGGCTATTATTATTCTGCATACTTTTGGGGTCCAGGTACAATTGAAAGGGCCTGCGAGCCGCATTAGCAAGTCGGAAGTCAGAAGACTTTTCGTAACCAGACAGACTCAGACAGCCAGTCTTAGAGTAGCTTCTTGTGTGCCATGACGCCCCATAGGAACCCTGTAATTCCTGAGCCCTCAATTATAAGTCTCACACCTGCCCGCTTTAAATCTTGAACAGCCTGAAGCCGGTTTCAGGTGACATCGAGGTGTGGATGGACCGCTGGTTTGTGCGGTTCTTCAGGCACTGCAAGTTCGATCGCAGGAGGCTCAGTGTTCCAGTTGAGCTTCCGAGTGCAGCGTATAGCTAAGCCTTGAGGCGTATATTCCCAGCCCACGTCGTACAGCTTACCTTCGAATCCCAGGCTCTAGCCCCATATGCCTGAACTTCGGAAAAGTATCCCTAAGGGTCCATGTACCCAAATAGTATATACTTTGGCTTTGGCCCCAATGTACCTATATAGGGACTACTTTAATGCCAATGTATATACTATTTAGGAACATGGACCCTTACTGTAGGGTATGCTAAGCCTTCTAAACCTCGGGTTTCGGGCCCAAGTTTGGGGCTACTAGGGTTTTTTGACTGGTGGCCGCGAGCGTCGTGAGTTCGACTCGATGCTCCTGACTTTGGATTTGGGAGTTTCCGAAAATTAGGGGTACATTATTTTGGGGTCCTTATAATAAGGATCCTACCATTTAGGGTACTATATTAGGGTCCCCCATTTTCGGAAACTCCCATTTGGGGACTTGAGATTGGGGTTGTCAGTGTTTAGGGCTGTAGGGCCTTAGGGTTTCGGGGTTTAGGGTCCTGACCTGCGTCAGTCCCTCAACCAAGCTCGTGAAGAAGGAAAATTCGGAGCCCAAGCCAGGTGGGCTTATAGGCGCCTTTAACCCTGAATCTCACATCCAAACCTGCACTGGCCTTGTTTGCAACATCTGGTGCAAGGCTACCCCTCGACGCACATGGAAGAGAAAGCCAGCGACGAGGAGGAAGTACAAAAGGCCCCTGGGTTGACCCTCTTTCAGGTTGGTCTTCACATCTTTTCTGCATTATACTTTCATTTTGATTCCAACTGGAGGACTAGTTAAAGGAGTTGCTTTAATTTTGAGTCCAAGGCGCTTGTCGCTTTCGTTGTCTTGGCGTCGACTTTGCACCAATCTCGGCCTCTGGTTAGTCAGAACTTCCGACATGCTGCAAACTGTCATACTTGAAAGAGCCTTGAAGCGGGCGCCCACTTGGTGTACTAGCAGCACACCGTCCCCTTCTCGGACGGCTTAAGACGGCAGAGTGGGAGTACAGCCACTGTGTAAGCAATTGCTATGGGTCATGAAGCCTCGAAGAGGCCCGTGAAAGCAACGAGTCCAAGCAGAAACTGAGAGCAACATCGAAATAGCACTCTATGTAGCCGCGTGCATTTGCATCCGTAACTCTGTTCTTAATTACTGCGTTTTGCTCGTGCTGCTGCTTACCAATGCTACTGCGACGAACTACGACCACAGCTGCTGTTGCAGCAGCTGCTGCAACAAAGATTGGAAACGGTATGGAACATCGACCATAACAGGTATCATGTGGATACTAATTACTAATATGTCTTCGGTGCGAATGCTTTGAGGAAAAGACGAACTCGCTGTTGAGTGCCAGGTGCTTACGATGGTTCACGACACCCAGATTGAAATCACCGCCCGACGAGTGGCCTGTACCTGGCTAGAGCAGGCTGGAGACATTATGCTCAGATTGCCTTGGGATCGAAACATCTTCACATGGAAGCCCACGTAAATCTCAAACCTCTCAGCGCTCTAGCCTGATCAGGCTTCTTCTAGCTTGTATATGTAAGGCCAAATCGATTAACTGCAGCATGAATCTTGCGGGCCCGACCACCGGACTGAGAGAAGTTGTGGCTCAAAGCTGGACTCTGCTGGAAGACTTGCAGGCTCAGGTTCGGGGTCTAGGAACGGCTTCCAGGTTCGACAGGCTCCTCCCTGCTTCAAATGTTTCAGATGCTTAGTGGCACGAGTGCAGCAGCCCTGAGATCCAGGCTTCGGGGTTTTATCTGGCAGGTTTTGGGTTTCTTTCCCCAGTCCTTAAGTATGTACCTAGCGATATCATACCTCTGGACGCACTGCACCGATGCAGGCGCTGCTCGAGAAGAACCAAATGATTGCTGCGGGCCCAGCACGTCGACTATCATGTTTTGCGCTCCTCCTCTTCCTCTTCCTCCTCCTCCTCCTCCTCCTCCACCTCCACCTCCACCTCCACCTCCACCCTTACCTTACTGCTACTCCTCCGCCTACTCCCACTCCTACTGCTCCACTGCTCCTCCTGCTGCTGCACTACGACGACGACGACGACTACTACGACGACTACTTCTACCTCGCTTTTTTGCCCAACACCCAACAATTTGCAGCAATTTTGGTGCTTTTGTGGCAGTTGAGCCTTTCTATGTGCTTGGGCCAGTAAGTTTAAGGCTCAGGATGTTTTCTCCAGGTTTCCTAGCTGCTGAGGAGAAGATAGCCAGCCGCACAGGGCTTCCCGTGGGCAACTCCGATGGCGTCATCGTGGTGCAAGAGGGTCAGACGGCTTCTTGGCCGAAGCCGCAAACCCTAAGCCGCAAGCCTCTGAATCAGAACTTAAGATACGAAGCCCCGGAACCCTTGAGCATTGGGCCCTTATGATCCGCGATTCTTTGCAAGGAGGCCTTAACAATAGTGGAATAAGGCATATATGCACAAAACAAAATACTAATGAACACTAGCTGAGCAAGAAACCTGACTAAACCATGAGCCCTTGCCAGTTGAAGAGCCTTAGTTAAGACACCCCAGGCTTAACATGTCACAGCCCCACGGCCGACCAACCTGAGTTGGTTTGAGATTCAGGTCCAGGGTTTCGTCATGTCCATACTTTTTGTCTGCACCAGGAGAACCATACTATGCAAGGTCGTTTGGGGTTATCCCTGCGCCTGATCCCTACAACATAGCAGCTATGACCTTTCATCCTCCCCCACTCCGCCCCCGGTTGTAGGTAGCTGGTGCCCGACGTGAATGGAAAGCAGGCCCCGTCAACAGAAAGCTCCAAATCCCAAAACACCAGACCTTCAAGTCAACCTTGCAACCTGAAAATCTAAATCCTTCAACCCGAAATCCCGGGAACCTTACAGGTTACAGCTTACTTCAAGGCAAGACGCTGGCGACTCAGCTTTCGCTCTCTGGCCAAGCACCCCCCAAGGGATCTATGCCTTGCAGCCCGGAGGTACTTTCGCTTTTCTCGATGTCTTTTCGAAAACGGGTTTGGTGCAGCCCCTCAAAGTCCTCAAATAATCTTGCACCATAGCCGAAGGTTCGATATAGTAAACCCTACAGTAAACGCCAAACTCGCTCTAGCATCCAGGGGGCTTAAATATTAAAGCCACAGGTGTCAAACAAAACGCCACAAGGTCCTAGGTACCCTGCCTGCATTGTAGGCCTGTGTAAGGAATTCCCGTTTTTGTGTTTAAATGGATCCCCGTACAGCGGCTCAGGATCCCTTCAACCCTAAACGCTGCCAGCCCAAAACCCTTGAAGACAAGCCCAAATGGGTGGTTGTCAAAATTATGGTCGCTTTTGGGGTACCCTAAATATTAGGTGCCGTATTATAATAAGGACCCGAAAAGGGACCCTAACATTGACAACCACCCAACTCCCAGGTCGGGATGGATCTACTGGAAAGAGCAAGACTCCGCGTGAAGCGGTGGTCGTGGCCCTCAAGGAAGCTCGGAGCGAGTCCCGAAAATCGATTCCGTGTTGGCTTTACACGGTTTACCCCGGTATGGGTTTTGGGGGTATGGGGTTTAGACGAATTGTTATGCCACATACCAGCCCCATGGTTTGAAGGCTAAGCTCTAAGCTTACGCCACCTCGCAGATGTGCTTGTCTTGTGGGGCGCTGGAGAGAGTCCGCTTTGGATGTCTTGCTGGCCTTGCAATTTGGTGCAGGAGATGGATGGTGCTTGTTTTGAGGGGGGGGGGGGGTTAGTTTCTGCCTTGCCTACATGTGGAAGATGTAAGGGTGGTACTTGAGAGGCTCGATTGACACAAAGTAGTCGGGGTTGGTCCGATGCTTCGATTCGAATTTCCCTCTGACCACTGTGTGCAAAAGGGGCCTCAGACCTTAAACCGACGCAAGCCTGAAGCACCTGAGCCGCAACACCCTCGAGTGTGAGCGCCGAAACCTTCAGCGTGTAAAAGCTTTTGACCCAACCCTGAACGAAGCAAGGAAGAGACCATCCGCGTGAAGTTCGTTGCTAGCAAGCCTCGGCCTTGGCAAGTGGCCAGCCATATGAGCTCGTACAGTCGTGCAGATACATGCACACGTATGCATGCATGTATGTACGTATATATATATATATATATATATATATATATATGTGTGTATATATATATATATATATATATATATATATGGGCATTTTTCTCAAATTTGGGGAACGTGAATGACCGCAGCATGAGACATTGATTGTCACCAGTGTTGCTTGCGGGGTGTGTGGGAGAGTCTACGGCTACGGTTGAGAATTTCTGTGGGACCTTGGTTTATAATTGGGTCCACGCACCACAAGGGTCTGCTGTACACACCTACATTGTGGACACTTCGGCTGAACCTGTCTCCTATGCAGCCTATGCAGTAAGTTTAGCAAGTTTAGGGTCTATAGATACGTAATAGATTTGTTTATGTATAATAGTGCTTTGCAGCACGGGGCTTCTTTGTATCATGGACAATAAAGTGTCGAGGCCTCCTCTATTTCGGTGAAGCCGTGCATGCGGAGCTTGTTTATAATTATCAGGTTCAGCTACTTCGACAATCAGAGCGAGACCATGACAGTTCAATTTCTCAATCCATTAGCGCCGCTAGTTCTACCTTTGTATTAATCACGTTACCTTGGACCTTGCGCGCACATGGCTTACAGGGTACCGGCCTTGAGCTCGTCCCAGAAGCCCTTGCAGCTTTTGTAGAATCAGAAGCAGGTGCCCAAGAGGCAACAAAAGCCAACAACTCCAAGCCTCAACCCGAAGCCCTGAATCATTCCAGTGCAGGGCACGGCATGAGATTCCAATGAACTGGGTGGTGAGCAGCACACCTGCTTCTTGGCAGCAACTGGCCAGTGCGAGTCGGTGATCTCTGTCTCGCCGCTTCAGGTCTGCATTTTCTCTGCATGTGTCCATCCATCTAGGTGTTTGCGCATGATGTCACCTACAGCAAGAGTTCCCATTTCTCGTCATGCATGGCTCTTTTTGTTGCATGCTATGCGCACACCATGTACAACCTACGGCTGTGTTGTGCTGTCATTTCCCAAAGTTCGTAATTGGGAGACCCTTGTCCCACTAATAGTGACCACACCCCGGGATGCAACGAAACGCACCGACACGTTCCACACTGTCTTAGTCTGACGTTCTTCAATCTGTTCTGTGTTTATTTGCAATTTATTGGTGCTATTCGTTCCACTTTGCAAAAGGATTTTTCAGCTTTGTTGTGGCCTCTCTGGTTCTGTTCACGGCATTCTGTTGTGCTTTTCCTTCTGCTTGCTGTTGTGTTTGTTGTTCTTGTGCTTCCCGCCGGAGGTGTGTCCACCCTCCTGCCCCAAACTGCCCAGCTGTGACAGGAAACGATACCGTGAAGCCCTGTGAGCACCAGCCTAAACCGCAACCCGCAAAAACCCGTCGAACCGCTTCAATCCGTGACGGCAAGCGAGGTACCCGACCCGAGATTGCTTTCGGAGGGCTGCAGTCCGGAGAGGTCTCAGGGTTGGGAAAAAGGGGCAAGTTCAGGGTTTGGGCGGGTATGAGGTCTGCGGATGAGAGTCGGTTGAGGGTTGAATGGCTTAGGCTTATGGCTCCACTGTCTTTTGGGCTGGGATGTAATTTGGGCTTTCGGGTTTCTTTGGCTCAGGGACCTTTGATGCCCCAGATATTGGACGTTTTGGACGTGTCGAGTTCGCTCTGGGTCCATCCGCAGAATTCAGAAGTGATCTTCATAGATTATTGGGGGAGAGAGAGCGAAGGGAAAAGGTGTAGGGAGAAGAGCTGTGAGCGCCGAATGCACGTTCACACAAGCTATGCTGAGGCAGATGTCGGATTCCGGAGCCTTTACTCTTCTGATCAAAGAGCGCTGCTGTGCCTCCACAACCACTACCGCTACCGGCGCGACTCCTGCCGCTGCTACTACTACTACTACTACTGCTGCTGCTGCTGCTACTACTACTACTACTACCACTACCACTACCACTACCACTACTACTACTACCACCACTACCACTACTAGTACTAGTACTAGTACTAGTACGACTACTGCTGCTACTGCTACGACTACTACCATTAGGTGCTTCTTCTAATGACATAATTGCTCAATACTCCTGCAACAACAACTAGCCTAGGCTTCGCTGCTCCCGACCGGCAACGGCACAAACCACACTGCCAACCATGTTAGCAGGCATTTCCAACGGAGAATAGCCAGAATGGTCACGTGAAGTGTGCAACATCCCAGGCAGTATCCGGATGTCGTTCCCTGCAGGCTCGCACGAGGGAAACTGGCCATCACACTCCTGCGGACCGCAGGGGGCCCCAAAGCATCCTGAGGAGGGGGACATTCTGTGCAAATTACGAAGAGCAGCGGCATCATTGGCATCGGTGCACAGGTCTTGCCTATTTCTTGTCTCGTCACAGCGTTAAACCGCAAGCCCCCAACCAACTTGCCAAGGAAAAGGCCATCGTTGGCTTTGTCCTGGAGAGCTTGAGCCAGCTTGGCGCTCAGTCGCCTGCACTCCAGGCTGCACGCCCAAGGTCCAAAACTCAACATGAGGGCCCCAATATTCATCACAGGGTTTCGGATGAAGTTATGGCATAAATAGAGATGGACTACAAGGGGATACTGTTCACCAATCAATGATTCAGACACCTCTCAGCCAAGTTGCAAGAAGCAAGGTTTTAAATCTCAAAATCGTAAATCTAAGCTTAAACAGTTGGCTGATCCCAGACAGCGAACAGCGACAGTGCAACGTCCTGCTTGCTGCGAACGCTGAGCATTCCAAGTACAGACATGCTGCCAGCGTGTAAAATGGGGTTCTGAATAATGAGTAAGCGATTCAAGCACGGTCCCTAAGTTTCGCTATCAGATTTGTCTATATATATATATATATGTATTTATTTATTTATTTATCTATTTATTTATATATATATATATATATGTAGGATACATCTCCCACCTAGTCTTTGAGAATGTAGACACTCCAGCAAGCCTGACCCCTGCACCCCAAAGCCACTGCTTCTTAATTCTAACCCTCGAGCCCCAGATACTTGAAGCCCATACTGAGCCCTATGAGCTCCGTAAAATGAAACCTTCAAGCACCTCGAACCTGACAGGGAAGCTGATCTTCTTGACGAGCTGAGCAATGCAGTGGAGGGGTGCGCGTGCTCAGCTTCTGCAAGAGTTTGCCGGGCCGGTACGACTTGTTTTAGAGTAAGGGTCCTTCCGAAGCAAGAAGATTTCGGGCCGACCCTGAAGCCAAAGCTTTGCCCATTGGCACACACAAATAGATAAATCCGGCGAAGACACGAGAGACAAGAGGCACCCTGACAACTTCCAAGTCCCTGTACTCAGCAGTTGGCTCCTTGCCTCTCTCTCTCTCTCTCTCTCTTTCTCTCTCTCTCTCTCTCTCTCTCTCTCTCTCGCGCCTGTTTGATTGTATAGCATGACAAGATCTCACCAAGTAGATTTTGACTATGGGCTGAGCATGCCTGATTCTCCAATCGCTCACCTGGCCAAAGCTCAGGTGCAAGGCCCAAAACAACAAAGAAGGCCGCTTCCAGGGATGGTTCGGTGCCCTTCTCTGCAAGCCGCATTATTAGGAACCAGATGCGTCGCTGTTTGTGCTACCACGCGGCGACGGCATGTCTCAGTTCAGACATTTGAGGCTTTCGTTCCAGGTTCTAGCATTGCCATTATTACTACCATTTTTGTATACATATTCTTACCATTCTTGTCCTTATCACTAGTACATGACTAGGTCCTGCATCATGCTTTGTTTTGTGTTGTGCGGTCGGGTCTTGGCCCTCAGGTCTCCAGAGGTGTCTCGTTTCTTGCGTTGGGGGGAGGGAGGGAAGGTAACGAGGAAGGTTTACGGTTTACCTGGACCACAAAAGTATGTAGAATTGTAGAATAACAGCCCTTTATGGGCACCTACTTTTTGGGGGTTCAGGTAGCGTATCCGTACAGTCACGAGAAGGCTCTGCTGTTGAGGAGTGTTTGCTGGCACACAATCCAAGCCAATGCTGAACAAACTTATCCGTACAAAAAGGGTTAGGGTTGGGATGCTTGCGATTTCCAAAGTTGGCCAGGAACTTGGTTCGTCTACTACGGAGGTCTGAAGGATTGGAAATAATATCCCCTTTTAGTCCCTGATACACTGACGGTGTAATACACCCCAACTCTCTCTTCCACTGTTGAGGCCCCTTAATTATTCAGGCTGCGTGAGGGGCTCGACTGCGTGTGGCCAGGGTCCACAGGTGCTGCTTGCTAGTAGGAGCTCGGAACTTGTCTAAATGCAACTTCCTGTAATACTTTGATTTTTGTAATTTGTATGAGACGAGGGTTACTTTGAGGGTCACTGTAGGGACTGTAGGGCTACTATTGTCAAATCACCTTTAGCTTCTATGGTGGCGTTGCATTCGGCTGTGAACAGACCTCTCCCCTGAACAGACGAAAGTCGCGATCCTGCAACCCGAAACCCGAATCCAGGCCCTTTTGACCCTAGGAGGTGATGCAGCATCGGCAGGTGCAGAGAAGCTTCTCAAGATCATCCGTAGCTTCCTCGATCAAGAGATGGTTGAGGTCGACAAGGTGAGCGCAAGGGTTAGAGTTGGGGTCCTTGAGCTTTCATTGTTGACTCGGCGAACAAGAAACTTTGAGTTGCTCCGTTTCTCTTTTCGGGCCAGTTCGGGGTCACAGGGTCTGTGTAAACACTAAGACTATTGTTTACACGGATCGTTGGACCCCAGCAATAAGGAGGGCATCCCTTGGTGTACTAATCAACCCATGAATTCGACACCAAAATGAAGCACCCTCTATCAGTCTATCTCCATCGCCTCTGTGTCTCTCCAGCCGTAGACCCTGGTCATCCAGCGTCTCACGTCCGTACTCTTGAAACTTCAATCTCAGCTTACGTAACCGAGAAAGCAACAGTCTCATTAAGCAAGCTCCGTGCTGAGGTTAATCATACCAACTTGCAAAAAGTCATGCTATCAACTTGCACAAGTCATGCTGGGTTAGGAGGTGAGGGTCAACGAGCCTAATGTCGAAACCTGGAATCCGAATAAGGACCCCTTACGTCAAAGACCCCTTACTTCAAACTCTTCGAGAGGATACGATCAATTTCAAGAACCATGATAAGAACCATCAGCTCCTCGTCGTTTTCTGGCACGGGCACTAGCCTTGCCAAAGCCGGAAGCATGCAGGAGATGGAAAAAATTCTGCCACAAGCTTTGGCCGACATCCCAGCAGACCCAGGCACGCCAAACTTCTCAGGGGTTCAAGCAGGTCTTATAACACGACAAAGTGCGACGCTGTTTTTGGGTGTTCCGCATAAACGACGAACCCTTACACATGTGAGTAGCAAACATTACCCCAATGAGCGTGGTCGAGCCTGAAACAACTTTATGTGAGGTCTTGGGTGGCCCCCAAATCCTAAACCCTATTTCAGCCGACCCATTGCCTGAAGCCTTGCCAGCCTTGCGCGGGTGTCTGAGTCGAAACCCTATTTCAAGCTTGCGGTTCCGGGCGGAGGGTTCGCCCGGAAAGCATGTCGGCGCAGTTGTAGAGTTTCAGGATTTTCAGGCTTAGGCTGAGGCTTACTGACCAAGTCTGCCGTGTCTTTGGAATTCCGGAGTTCGGAGGGCCGGAGAAAGGCCACTGGTACGGGGGATCTCGGACATGGAGGGCAGAGCACCTGCTGTTGGAGTGTTGGCTGAAGGCCTTATACTGGCACTTACTAGTACCCTGCCCCCAGAAGCCGAGGATGGGTCCTGGTTTTGTATAAAACCCTGGGCCCGGGAGATGCTGGCTCTCCGATCGGTTTCCATGACCCGGAAACGGTTTAGAGTTGCGGTTTAGGGTGGGCAGACCGCGGGCTTGCGGAATTCAAGCTTCCGTTTTGCGCCTTCAAGGGCAAAACCCAAAGCCCTGAATCCCTAAAACACCAGTCCGAAGAATTGAAACGCAGCCCTCGACAGGCCACAAGCAGTTTCTGGACAAGCCGCTCTACAGCCTGCCGGAGGCGTGCCTCAGGAGTCTAAGGGCGAAGTAGCCATGAATTCCTGGCTTGAAAGATCGGAAACTCTAAACCCCTGTGCGAGTGTGAGCGTCGAAACCTGAAGCCCGCTGGGTACCTACGATGATGGACCAAAAATAAAGCCTACATGAAGGGTACCACATAATTTGGATGCCAAATCCGGACTTAAACCTTCGTGCTAGAAGGCCTGAAATCAGACGCAGGATTGGGGGGGGGGGGGGCGGCAGAGCTTGAAGTTGAGGGCTTAGGTGGGACGGTTGGGGGTTTTGGGACTTTGCAGATTTGATTCCGATTTAAGGTCAAGTCAAGGGGTTAGCATGCTTACGGTTCCGGGTTGCAAGGATGCTGCGAGACCCTGTGAGCATGAAAGGGCCAAGTCTTTTCTCAGCGCTATACACATGGGTAGTTGTCAAAATTAGGGTCCCTTTTGGGGTACCCTAAATATTAGGTGCCGTATAATAATAGGGACCCAAACAGGGACCGTAATTTTGACAACCACCCACATGACAATAGCTTTAGGATGAGGGCTCAGGCCCAGGAATCTTGGATGCTCGGGCTGTAAGTGGTCCATGATAGTCATGCAGGGCTTGCGAGTGTCAAGAGCAGCTTCAGGAGAAGGATGTGTAGGTTATGGGGCCAGTTAAGTCAAGCCCCCTATGTCCAGGGCTACTTGGATCCCAAGTTTACAACGGACACGATGCTTTTGGACGGAGATGAGACCTCGTCCTCAGAGGGTGCCGGTCACAGCAGTTCTGATTGAGCTGGCTTCGTGCATTGAGCCCGAAATTGTGAAAATCTTTGTATCTGAGGCCTCTGACCTCAACTAGCCATTGATCTTGGAGGAGCTAAGGAGCCAGTTATGATGATAATCCCTACTAAATGAGGAGCCAAAGAGCCCAAGGCAACCCCAAAACCATTGGTGTTAGCCAATCCCTTAACCTAAACCCTAAACCCTAAACCCTAAACCCTAAACCCTTAACCCTGACTCCACTTGAAGCTTCGAAGCCTGGAACCCGCTGCCATGGAGCCTGGAATCTGAATCCTCATCCTAACGCCTTAGAGCTCGAACTCTCGGTCTCGCTTCTATGGGCCATAGGAGATATCGATCCTCAAGTAGAGCAATGCAGATAGATTCCGCAACAAGATGCTCAGAATAGATCAAGACTGAAGATAATCCAAACCATCAAACCGCTAAGCTGTTGAAAATCGCCGTCTGTTTTTGGATTCGGGATGCCCAGGTTGAGATTGTCGGGCGCTTGATAAACAGCGGGCTTCCCCACGCAAATCCAAAAGCCGCCCGGTGCTGCACGAATACTACTACTCGTACCAAAGAACCCTCTTATGATGCTAACCAGGTGAACGGCAACATTTATACGCTGTGTTTATGACCCAGTGCTTTGACAACGGACTGCAGGGTCCTGAAGTTGCTCTCAACCCCCCAGCCGAGAAAGGAGCTCGAATCTTTAACGACCCTGCAAGCATCACAGAAAGGCAGCAAGCCACGCACAACTTGCCCCAACTTGCAGTTCGGACATGTGCTTGCTAGAATCCTGGGCATAGTCATGTAGAGCACGTGCTAGCAATTTGAGTGATGTTTTGTTGTTTCCGGGGGGGAAGAACCCAACGGATGTAACCGCTGCAGCAAACTCTGACGGACCGACCCCAACGAGCCCTCGTAAACCCAACAAAATCTAACACATCCTAGTAACGCCGGACCTCCAGAACACCCGAGCAAACCCGTTAAAAACATTTGTAAGCCCGGGCCCAGGCGGCCCATCAACTGACGCGCCGGATCCGGGGGCTTAGCTGGCTTAGCCTGCTGCGCAGCCTTGCGACCGTGTGTTCCATGCAAAACCCCGGTGCAAGACGGTTAGGGCTTTGAGGCTCCAGGGATCTAGATCTTCAGGGTTGAGGTGGTGCGGCATCATGTTTGGTGCTTGCAGGCACAGGGCAACAGGACCCAACTGTGTTAGTAAAAAGGAATAGACATGATTGAGTATGCGATTCAAACGCGGACTAGGGGTTTAGGGTTCAGCGCGGGGTTGGAAGTCGCTGACTGGCTTGCATAGATTCCAGCACTTGCTGTGTGAAGCTACACGACAAGCTGTCTTGGAGGTTCAGTTTCGGAGACAACTCGATCATCGGGTTTGCATGTGATTCAGGTCCTGCAGCCTAGAATTTAAAGCTTACAACCAGTGCTACCATCGGCATAGAGGGGTCCTGTAGTCGGCTGCAGCTTCGAGAAGAGCATGCCATTCCGCCTTCTGCGTATCTGCGTTGGGAAAATATAAAACGGGCGTGCAGAAGCCGCTTGCCGATGAAGCAGGCACTGTGCACTGTCTACTGGTCTAAGCCGGAAATCAAAGCCAAAGCCTCTAAATGCCCAAACCTCTCAAAGCCCTGAGAGCCAGGTCCTCAGCCCTACACCGCAGCCTCCTGCAAAGTCGATTCCAGGACCCAGTGAAGCGAGCTGCGCTCTTGGCTGCGAAGGCCAAAGCTAAAGAAGAGGCTGATGGCAAGAAGGAGGAGGTGTGCTTCCAGGGTTCAGGGATTCTCATGGCGATGGATCTTTCGGTCGCACATGCGTTCCTTCTCCAAGTCTGGCTTTGCGGGTTCGTTGACGCTACCAGGATGTTTTACCGCTCCGACCCTCATGTCGTTGCAGATTTGGGTTTGACGTTGCTGCCGCTGCAGCAGGCATCTTGTTTCTGTTGCTGCCGATGCCTATGCAACGTTTTTGATTGGCGCCGCCCGGAGAGAGGGACACTAAATTGCGTGTGTTTAGGTAAGGGAGCTGAACGTACAGCCGGCGACACCCTTCCTACCAGTATTCGCTTGCATGGCCGCCTGTATATCTTTAAGTTACCCAGCCTGCTCTGCTGAGGGACGTTATGTTACAAGGCTACAAGGGGCATAGTCTTGAACCTATGAAAGGACCTCGACCTGATCCCGTGACCCCCTAAACGTCTCAGGAACTGCAGTCCTGAAAGAAATCTCAGCAGCCCTGAAACTCCCTGGAGCTTTCATATACGTATAAATGCACATACATACATACATACATACATATATACATACCAGCGGAACCCGGGGTGGGGAATTTCTTAGATCATCCTAATGTTTCTAGGAAATCTTGTTGTTGTTGGATTCGTGCAAATTTCTAGGAATTCGGGTGGTTGCCAATTATTCACGGAAAAGCTCATTAATCTCACATTGAAACATCTCAGCCGCATGTATTGGTGTCCAAGCGCTTATTTTGTCTGCTCAGTACAGCTCATGCGTCCACACTGTTCGGCAATGGATCAAATATCGCCGTAGTGCACTTGGCTGTATGGCCCTTGTACCGCAACGACGACTGATCCGAGCCACACGGCCCACAAAATCTTCATCTTGTGGGCAGCTTTCGCACACGGGGTTAAGGGAGTATTTTCCCTGCTTCGCAGTCACTAGAAGTCCATAGAATGTGTGGAAGAGCATGTGAGCTTTCGGATACAAGGGAAAGCGTGTGAAGCCAGAGCGGTTGTAGTTGTATGCCAGTTTGGCATATGCACGAAGGAAATAAAAGCCTCGGTTGGCAATCCTTGTCGCTTCGATCGGTGACAGCCACATATCACCTGTATACATTTCACTCAGCGCTGCATTCACGGCCTTTGCCGCACCTGCCTTAGAAATCCAAACTCGGGTGTCATAACATAATATAATATGAAATTTATTTGTAATTCGTTTACTCGCAAAAGGTTGGTCGAGGTCAAGCGACAATGAGTTGGAAATTCTCATCATCGGCCCCCAGGTCTTCGTTGTCCTCGCACCAATAGTCGATGAACCGCATAAGATTTGTGGTGACTCCTCCTTTGTGCCAGTGACCATCCGGCACATCCAGCATCGACTGTGCGCAACCGACAGTATCAGGCGAAAACTTCTGAAGGCAGGTCTGTTCGCCGATAGCCTGATATGGGAAATCTAACCCAGAGGATTATGGGCATCAAGCTTATATATTATAATGCAACATTATCGAAACGAATTTTCTGCGATCTGGGCCGACCAGGACTTTGATCTGAAAAGGGTCATTCGAATAAGAGGAAGAGTTCTAAAGTCATATTGATGATTGCCAAGCCTTGCAGAACTTCTTGAACTCCTCGAACATGGTCGAAAACCTCACGTCAACATTCGAGCCTTCGAAATACGGGAGGAGAGAAATCATAGCCGATGCGCAGAATGCTTTCCCTTGTCCCAACTGCATATTGTGCCACACGTCCACCTTGTGAAACGCAGGTTTGTTTTCTGGGTCATGCAGTAGCAGTCTCGTCCATGCGGCTTCCGTAGTCCACGGCATAGTGAGCACAGGCATCGTATGGGTAAACTTGGCGTTTTCACTCCTGGTTGTTCGATCTTCATTGACACAGCCTAGAGCTATATGAGGTATTGCAACAAACATATACAACCAGTGCTATGTATTAATTTAGCGAGAAAATATGTTAAATATGAGCAAAGCACATGTCTTCATATGGGAAAGCTGGTGCCCCGGCCATACACAGATGGCAAATGCACTTGTCGGGCGCCTTCGAGGAGGCACGTTTCGGGGCATTTCGATAACTTCGCGTCAGATTTGCCACCTGGACTAGGTAGCTCCAATCCCCTTTGTTGCCAATCGGGCATAACCAAAGATGCCCCTGAGCCAGCTGAATACCATTGTCCCCAAGGTCCCTCATATCCAAACAAATGTGCTCAATAAGATCGCTGAGAACTTGAGGCTTGTCAGCGTAGCTCGAACCCAACAGCAAGCCAGCCAAAAACCTTGTCACGAAGGTGTGCCCCTTGAAATTCGGTTGTAGGCGAAGCTCCTCAAGCTTAGCCTGGATCAGGGCATCACTGTTCTTTCGGCCGACTCCTTTACCGCAACATGGCTGCCATTGGATGATAAAAACCGGCTTCTTCTTCAGAGTCCTCCCTTCGTCAGCATGGAAATAGAAAGGGAGGGTTTGGTTCAAAACCAATCGGCCTTCCCTGGCTCTCTGAAATACTTGATGCGAAGGGTTGACAGCTTCGTAGCGCTTCCAGAATAGCTCCAGGGCTGGTGCAGCTTGTGCTAAAGTAGGTGCTCCAAGAATCAGCTGAAGTTTGGAATTCGCGTCCATAAACTTTATGTAGTCTGATGGCCGAATCCATTCAAACATTTCCCCATCTCCCCCACATTCACTCTTCGTGAAAGGAATATTCAGCCCCAGCTTATGCTTGAATACGGCACGATAAGCATCTCTGGCCTCAGGTGAACGATGCATTAATAAGTTATCTCCGACGACAGGAGATATATACGGACCCACAGCCAATCGTTTAGCTTTACAATACTTTGGAAGCTCCAGAGTAGATTATTCGACATAAGATTGCAACTAGGAGACGGAGTGTTCCTTGCGAGCCCTCGCTAGCCTCTCAACCACAGGATCACCAGTCGGAAGCCCCCGCGATTGATCTCTTTGGACAACCGCCCGTGCAGTCTCTAGAACTCGCCGACAGGGCACCTCCAGGGATGAGTGTAATTCAATGGAGTGGGGTGCCGAAACCACAAATCCCAATACCGGTAGTTTACACTATATATAAGTTAATACGGAGAATCTTATGTAGGGTTTTGTAGTTTCGGTGAGAAAGGGGAATTTCAACAACCGCCGGACTCCGTGGCCAATCTGCTCGGCGAGATTGCGGCCGATTGCACTCGGACCTGGCATGCAAAGTGAGCAAACATCGCATAGCGTTCGAATAGGATGAACGGTTATTTGCAATTATGCACATTTCTTGTGAGCGGCATCGCACATCGTCATCGGGAGCTGCATGCTATCAGAAGCACAAACTTGACATGTGCAGAAGGCAGTACAGGAACTGCCACCCCGATCAAGGCCAAAATATCTGCTTTCAGCAGATGACTCAAGAGATCACTTGACCCTCTTCGCTTTGACTTTCGTAGGAGGCTTTGCCGCCGCCGACCGTGCACGTTTTTTCGGTGCGGGGGCCGGGGCTTCTGCTGGTTCGGGTGCTTCGACTGCTTTGGCTGCCCTCCTATTGCCCTTTCCCCTCCTCGCTTTGCCGGCCGAGGAAGCTCCTGAGGGATCCGTCTTGACCCCATTCTCCTTCTGGTACTTCTTGTGCTCAGCCAGATGTACCCTCAGTGTTGAACGGCGGTTCGGTTTTGAGGAGATATATCTTCGATGAACGACTCTATTGAACTCGATTGTAAGCTTCGCACTTGAAACTGTTCTCTTTCGCAGTCAACTTGGCACACCTCATGGGCGACTCACAGAGCAGTGGGACATCCAAGGTACAATGCAGCCAGGATACGGTCCGTGTGCTTTGGCCTTCGTGGCCGCGATCTTCTGCTGCAACCTCGATGAACTAATGATTCCATATGGGTCGCGATTTTTGTTAGGGGATGATTTAGTCGAGGGGCTCATCCATCGAGCAATCATTCATCTCTGCAGAATGCAAGTGATCGGCCAACTCTTCATTGCATTCATCCAGAGTCTCGTTGAGGGCAGTCAGCTGGGTCTTGAACCTGACATGTGCTGGTGTGCCGCAAACATTGGACATCAGATCTTGAACCTATCTAAGTTTGGACAAGTAGCTTTGCCACACGTTCCGCCGTGGGGCCGTCGAGCTGGTGTAGCCAGGACACAAGCACATTGTGTTTTGCATGGACAGCCGCCGTGAACTTCTTGATATCTTCCTCAACCTGGGATAGATTTTGGGGTTTGCTAGATCAATAACCTAAAATTTTTAAGTTTCTAATTGTGCACACCCCACCTCATGATTTGTTCCTTTCGGGGCCCCCTCGGGGACTGCACTTGCAGCCCGGAAAGACAATGGCACGGCATCGTCCGGCTTCATGTTCTCGAAAGCCTTTTGAGCATCCTCGCCCTCAGGAAACAAGGCTCATGAGTGAAGGAGGCAAAGGAGGGACCATAGATGATTCAATAATACAGGATAAGGTTCTGGGATGATCTACCAGATGGGGTCATGAGGCTTATATAACAATGGAGTTGAAGCAGAGCATCATCTCCCAGATCTTCGGTTTGCTGAAGTTGCTCCAGCTCACTCTGTCGCAAGGTTTGCGTATCAGAAACCTCCACGAAATATTCCTCGATGGCGGGGTCGTACTTGTACGGCCTGCATACTTGGCGAAGCTACAAACATGTTAACATGAACATCCAACACATGCTCTTTAGGCTGTCGATCATGGCACCTGACCAACAGCTTAGGAAATCGGCGACAGTATGAGATGATCTTCTGCACCAGCTGCCTCGGCTGCAAACATAGGAATCTGCAGGCTTTGGGGGCGAGTCTTTGGGGCAATGCTACACGGTATGATAGTATATAGACTAGAGGCTTGGAGTACTTCATCTCGGTTCGGAGCTTCTCTTCCGTGCACCAGGCTCCCTTAATTTCTTGCGTAGTCTCCCTCGAACGTATCGTGACTCTCGTCACGAACTTGGCCTGCATGGTTTGCAACATCACAAATACAACAATCACAGCGAAGATTGGTATTCAAGATTGCACCAAACCCCGTACCTTGATCCGCTTGCGAGTCTCAGCATCACTGTGGGTCCCAACTTCTTTGATAGTCTCCAGGAGACACAGTCGAAGACTCTCCCTCTTATCAAGGTCCTTCCATTGCTCGGCGATCCAAGCTGGCACATTGCATCTCCTGGTCTTGGCCTTCACTTCACACATGCGGCGGAGGCGGGCATCGACGGCTTTGTCAGTGAGCTCCTATACACATGCCGACACAATCTAAGATTGAGACCAAACTGCTTATTGTTTGAACGAATGAATGAAGGAGCCAGTGGGTTAAAGTAGTGAGACCGAAACAGCGAGAGATACAAGCTCTGCAGAAAAGAGAAAGAGAAAGAGAGAGAGAGAGAGAGAGAGAGAGAGAGAGTGTGTGTGGGTGTGTGGGAGAGAGACACAGAGAGAAAAAGCACGCGTGTTGGTGTGTCTGTGTGTTATGTGTTGGGTGCATGTGTGCATGTGTGCGTGCACATGTGTGCGTGTGCACACCCCGTGTGTCTGTTTGTTTGTGTGTGTGTGCATGCGTGTGTGTGTGTGTGTGTGCGTGTGTCTTTGTGTGTGTGTGTGTGTGTGTGTGTGTGTGTGTGTGCGTGTGTGTGTGTGTGTGTGTGTGTGTGTGTGTGTGCGTCTGTGTCTGAAAATATACATTATATATAACGTGATCCGTATATAGTATTTTCGTGTGAACGAAAGTGCAATTGTTCGTGGCTGTTTGTACATTGCATATATGCATTATACAGTGACTGAGTGAGTTGACTAGAGAGAGAGGAAAAGGAAAGACAGAGAGAGAGAGAGAGTGAGCTATATAATAATCTTTTATAGCTTCTTTTTCGCACACACATAAACACTAACACGTGAATGCATGCATGTGCACATGCATGCAGGAAAGAACAACACAAGCTTGACATGATTCACACAAAGCCATTCCCGGCCCCCGGAGCTAGTGTACTAGAAAGTCGCCCACACCGGTAACTAAACCCGTCCTTCCCCGATGCATCATACTTCTCCTCCATCTGTTGCTGGTCTTGCGACTTCAGGAGTTTGTCAATGATTCTATCCACTTGAACCATGTCTCCATTATCGGAAGTCTCGGCTGGGGGCGGTGTTGCATTCGCCGTTGCGGTCGGGCTCGGGGTAGCATTCGATGATGTAGTCGTTGGTGGCGGTGTGGAAGTCGCGATTGTTGCATTCGGGGTCGATGCCAAGGACACCGGGTTAGGGCTCGGAGTCACACGTCGCGTTGACGGGCGGATCGGGGTAGCGAGGGGTTGCACAGCCTGACCCTTCGAACCCAAAGCTTGCTTTAGTGCCTCATTCTCAGCCAGCAGCCTGCTGACCAAAGCCTCCCGATCCTCGTCGTTCGCGGTAGTACCATTGGCTTCGGCCGCAGGAGCAGCCTCCTGGTCGAGAACAAATTGAAGCTCGATCTATTTTCGATGGTTTGTGTGCTTCGGATACCCATCCCCGCCTGCTGACGAGGTTGCGGCAGAGGTGGCAGTGGCTCCTGTGCAACGATCGAAAGGCAGGGTTTCCGGGAGTAGTTGGGTTTGGCACACTAGGCCTCGCTCACAAAACCAACAGGCTGGGCAAGTTGGGAAGCATCGAGAAGTTTCCTTCCAGCCTGCGGACACATCTGAAGGAGCACACTGAGATTACCATAGCTATATAGCAGCAAGCACACCTCAGCTTCGTGTAGCATATCCAGGGCTCGCTGGGTTTCCTGAGTTCGGATCAAACACCATGGTTTTGCAGATGTGTTGCAGGGCTACACAACTTATTAGACTATTCAGCTGGGTATCCAGGATCTGCTGTTTCAACATCTGTGCCTCCATATTGTCAGCCCGGTGCTCGACTTCTTGCTCCGGCTCCATCTTAACACCCCCTGCAACCTTGACTACGTGGTTCGCACCACGTTCCAAAGCCGAACAAGACCACTGCCTGGACTGGAGGCTCTGGGGCCCATCAGTCGCCATGCTGCACCGACGGGGAAAGGAGCCGCTGACACCAAGAGGGCTCCAAAACTGCAGTCTCAAATGGAAAAGCATCGAGAATTGGTGAGTTAGGAGTGACTTTTGCGCAGACGTGGTTTCGGGTCTTTTTGGAATTATCCCGGGAGCTTTTGGAATTACCGTTACGCTTTTTCCCCGGGAAGTTTTGGAAACATCCCGGGCTTTTTTGGAGTTGTTACGCTTTTCGGGTTTTCTTGGAGTCGGGTTTGCGGTTTCGGGTTTCGGGTGTTCTTGGAATTTGTTCGGAAGCTTCTGGAATGATTTCGGCTTTTTTTGGAGTTCACCTCGGCCACTGTATGTCGCTAGCCGACTCTAGTCCGGAAAGGCTTTCAAGAGCTCTTTTTGGGTGGTATAAGACCGTCTATAAGATCATTCCTAACATACCAGCTATCATATAATATATTGTAGCACTACATTGCTCTTGGGAACACAGCCTTCCAGCCAGCTGGGCAACGAAGGGCTTGGCCACCCCGCACATAATGACAAGCCTCCACTAAGCCTGCACGGGACCAAAGGCCTGCAGTATCATCGAAACTCATTTCAGCAAACACTTGCTTTGCATCCAAAGATGTCTCCTCTTCGAGAGACATAGTAGGCAAGCCTTGTCCTCCCGTCAGGAGCTGCGGCGCCAGCAGCAGCATCTGGATTGCGAAGGGCACCGGGTAGATCCTGGGATAAGACAAGGCAGCTTCTCGGTGTATTATAATTAACACACTTATTGCGCGATAAAGGGGCTGGGTGTCTTTGATTGCAGAGGTTCCCGAATAACGATCATTTCCATCAGCACCGGTGAAATGAATTGATGTAGCAGCCGTACACGGTGTGGTGAGGGCCTCCTTCTCATCTTTTCGAAGCTTACCTTGATCAATCATCTTACACCAGGGGTTGTTGGAGAATGCCATGCTTCTTTTCGGGGTCGGAGCGGAATACTTCATCATCCACCAATGAACTTCGTAGACCTAAGTGTTGTTTGGGGCCGGGGGTTCAGGACATTTTAGAGTAGTCTTGGGACTCGGGTTTCTGTTCGGTACAAGGCACTGGCAACCTTGTATGGAATTTCAGAAATTCCAGAGCAGGGTGCCAAACGAACCACGAAGATGCAGGCTGCTCCAAGAAGAAGGAGCCACCCCGAGCCACGATCAAGAGGCATAGTAGGGCCACCCTGGGCAGAGAGAGAGAGAGAGAGAGAGAAAGAAGAAGCCAAAGAGAGCTAGATATAAAGTGTCTGCGTGCCGAGAATATGAGTGAGCGAGTACGAGATAGACTCAAAGAGGGAGAGAGAGTGAGAGCAATGAGAGATAGAGAGAGAGAGAGAGAGAGAGAGAGAGAGAGAGAGAGAGAGAGAGACAGAGAGAGAGAGAGAGAGAGAGAGAGAGAGAGAGAGAGAGAGAGAGAGAGAGGGAAAGAGGGAAAGAGACGGAGACGGAAGGAGGGAGGGAGAGAGGGAGAGAGAGGAAGGGAGGAAAATAGAAGGAGTGTGGCAGAGGGAAAGAGGAGAGGGAGATAGATACATAGAGAGAGAGAGAGAGAACAGCCCCCCCCCCAAAACAAAAAACAAAGCAAAACCCAAACCCGAACAGAACCACCCCGCAACACGAACACCATAGATTCCTATACCGGGCCCGCCGGAAATCCCACCAAGAAGCGCCGAAAACCCAAAGTATAATTCCAAACCTCTTGCCAGACCTGCACAAATATGAAGCCCCCAAAATCAAGCTATATCAGCACACAAACTTACCGATTTCGAACCCTTAGACTCTGAATCCGAAAGCATCAAGCCCCAAGGGATTCGGAAAACCCGACAACACAACCCTGGAACAAAACCCTGGGTCCTGACCCACACCATAACTTGATAGATTCGCAACCACAAGACTGATGTAGATAATCTGGATCCCTGCTACATGAGCCAAGCTTTACAAGAATCGAAGAAGGCTTTTTGTGTGTTTGTGTAGATGTGGGGCTGGAGTATGTTGAGTCTATTTGGCTTTATCTCTCTATCCTCTCGATCTCTTAAGTTCCTCCCTCTCCCCCTCTCTCTCTCTCTGTCTCTCTCTCTCTCTCTCTCTCTCTCTCTCTCTCTCTCTCTCTCTCTCTCTCTCTCTGTTTCTCTCTCTCTCTCTCTCTCTCTCTCTCTCTCTCTCTTTATCACCTGTGCTCGGTTCCTTTATCTCTTTGTCTCCCTCTCCTTCCCACACTGCAACAGGCTTTGCATCGTGCGAACATAGCAGTTCGCCACTATGGGGTTCACATATTGTATCAAAGCTAGCAGATTGCAGGCTAGATTCCGTTCCATGAAGATGTTGCCCTGTTGGACATAGGGATAGGATTCATTGCCGTACGGAGTTAAGGCACTCCTCCCATTGGTTGCCATATTGATCGTTGTAAAAGAAGTGCATACCATGGCAATGACCACAAGGAAGCGGCCGGGGTCGGCATGCAGTATCATCCACACACACAGCCTGAGAGGGCTTAAGGCTTGGGTTTCGAGCGAGGGTTATTATATCATGAATCGTCAACGAACAGTACTCTAAAAGCCTGGGAACGAAAATCCCGCAGAGGTGCTGAAGTCCATGGGGTTCTCATCGCGGCAAACGTCTACCAGATGCTTGGCATACTTTATGTCGACCGAAGCTGCTGAAACCTTTGCACACCGAAACAATCTCGAACAGCTGCCTTGGCCGGCAAAGAGCTCGATGAAGTTGAAAGCCTGTGAAGCACAGATGGGCTTAGTGGGTTTATGCCGGGCTTTTCGGGGCTTTAGAGTCTAAGTCTGGACCGCGTGCACTACAATTGTAGCCATTGCCATTGCGCCTCGTGGGGCACTATGCCCAGGTCTGTGAAGGCCACCATTATCACCAGGAACACAAAAGCCTGGGGCGCAATCCGAATGAGGGATTTCGGGGGATATCTGCACGATTCAAGCATTCTGCAATTAGAATGGACAAGCGACTTTCGGAGCTCGCAGATGCGATAACCGCCATACCAACACATCTACATCTCTCTCCGGAAGCATCGTTCCCGAACCCTAATAATCCCAGGGCAACAAAAGCAAGCCTAAAGCAACTGAAGCATTTGAGCCGGCACAATATTGCATCAACTCACTGCATGCACCCTTACAATGATTTTTGCAATAAGCTCCTCAACCGAAATCCTTAACCGAGGCAGGACCACGGCGGCCAGTGAAGCGGCCACTACGGGCAGCGAGTGCCAGGCCTCGCAATCGGCTCTTGCAGAGCTTGATGACCTGGCCGCAAGGGGAGAGGGCAATCATTTAAATCAATGCAGTGTGCACGACTCTGCTTGCAAAGAGTGTCCAGCATATCTTTTTGGACCCCGAGTCGCAATGATCTCATCTCACGATTGCACTGCAACACACTACCACCCGTTTCGTGAAACGGGTGCTTTGTGCAGCCCCATAATTATCCAGACGAATCTGAGACACACCCGCCAAAACAGGTTCCGTGGGCCCAATGGATCGATCCAGACACAGCATTGCTTTAACTTCTTACGGGTATACTTTGCACCTGCTAGACTGTACTACTGCTTTAACAAACATAATCGAACACGGGCGTCTACCGGAATCCAGTGGAATCAAGGTAAAGAGATGCGGCCGATCATCACGGCTTCGCGCTGTAGCTCTGCCAAGCTGCTGCCATGGATGCCTTCAGCACCTCAACATAGGCCTGGCCAGCCTGGGTATCCAGGAAGTCGTTATCCTCATCGAGCTTTTCAGCCTAAGTTGAGAATGTGCAAAGCTTTCTGCTGCTATTGCGCACTATATGTGGACACATTGGCAGCAAATCAGGATGAGACCACCCAAATCGCAAGCTGGATGTGCGTTGCAATCGTAGCTGTGGGGCATGAAGCTTTGGAAAAGCAGACCAACTCAGCGAGTTTCTCGCCCGGGCCGGCCTTTCTGAGTTTCACCCCAACGGCCACTCTCGTCCAGTAGATGTTGGTTCTCAGATTCTTGCTCCACTTACGCTTGTGAAGCTCCAAGCCAGTCGCTTCGTAAGGCATCTTACCAAACTGCTCTAGGTACTTGGAAAGAATCGTGACCTTGCTCTCGTCAGGCTGGTGATCACTGGAGCCTTCCTCTGCAACGTGGGCAGGCTCTGCAATGGCGGCTGCAGGACTGGCACGGCCTTTGCCACCACCTTTGCCCCTGCCTCCCCGGCCCCTGCCCCGACCCTTGGTGGAACCTGCACTCGACTCCATCTCTGCAGCCTTTCTCTTGGAAGCTGAGGCTTTGGCCTTAGCCTTGGGTGCACTCTTGGGGGCGGCCTTAGCCTTGGGTGCACTCTTGGGGGATGCCTTAGCCTTGGGTGCACTCTTGGGGGCGGCCTTAGGCTTGGGGGCACTCTTTGCCCTGGGTTTCGTGGCCTCTGGCTTCGTTGTGGGCTTGGCTTTGGGGCTGGATTTCTTCCTAGCAGGTTTGGTGGTCTCGGTAGAGGGACACACAGGCTCCTCGACAACCGGCTCAGAAACCAAGGTCCTTCTCTTGGCCCGCTTGGCCTTCCCAATCCGCTTCTTAATGCTCTTGATGCGCCGAAGACTCTTGCCCTTCTTGAGAATCGACTTCACCTGGGATGTATGATGGCTCATGGTTACAATCTGTTCCGTGCACATCCTGCTAATCACGGCTGTCATGTATATTGTGACAGATACAAGCAAGGCACTTTGGGTTCAGATGCATCACCCTCGTTCTTCTTGTTCTTCTTGGCTGCCTTGGCCTCTTTCCGAGAGGCCACCATGGAGTGCTGGTCTCTGCGTGACACACCGTCCCAAACACCAAGCTCGGGAAGACCCTCAGAGAACACTTCATAGGTTGATCAGAAGTATATTCTACGACCGTTGCACATGCACTAGATAATCTTCGGAAAGTTGCTGACAGGATCTCGTCCACAACGGGCTCCTCCGATGGCTTCTCCTCGACGATGGGCTCTGGAGCCTCCAATGGCTTCTCCTCGATGGCTGGAGCCTCCGAGGGCACATCATTAAGGGGCTCGCACTCAAGGTCGATCTGGGTTTCGCGGTTGTCCATGGCAGAACCTGTCACATCTGGGAGAGCAGGCACTGAAGTAGGCATTGAAGGCAAGGCAGCCATCGGGGCAGTTGCACGAAGTCGAGCTCGTAGTTCCTGCAGTTTGTCATAAAGAGCATCTTTTTCCGGGGCACTAGGAAGGGCTGGCTCGTCATCGGAAATGTCGATGCACTCACCATCCAAAGTCTCCTGCGATCGTGTAATAGATTGCGTGGGGTCCAACATGCATACAAAGCCCAAAGTCTCTACGATCTTACTGCGATTCATGCATACACCCACGACGAATCCTCAGGAGCATCGCCGATATGCAGCTTGCCATCCAAAGCATCGCACAACGAAGATACAGAACCCAGATGCTCGTAGGACTCAGTCGCGACCGGGGCCGGGGGAACTGCAACATCGGGCGGATCGCAGGACCGCAGCTGTGGCGTGGCAACGGGGCGGCCGACTGCGCACGGCCGCTCAGAAGCACCCTTGGAAACCTCGTCCCCAACCAAGGACTCAGCAGGGAGCCCATCCTTCTCATCAGAAGAGAGCCCATTCTCCCCATCAGCAGGGAGCTCATTCTCCCCATCATTAGCCCCATCACTAGGAAGCTCATCCTCCCCATCAGTAGTAAGCCCTTCGTCCCCAGCTCCATCCCCAACTTCCACCAAAGCATCGTCTTCCCGTTCAGCCTCGGACTCAGAATGCTCCTCCGGCGGATCCGTGAGGTCCTCGATTGGCTCCACCTGCGCTGCGGCGTGGGAAAGGAAAAAGGATAGTGTGCGAGCGAGCTTGTAATGCCCCCCCTACCTCGGGCGCTTCGGATGCATCAAGATGCTCTTCGACCGTAATTTCGTAGCCAAAGGCAAAGAAAATCTCGGCCATTATCTCATCCTCGGGTTACACAAACGATTGCACAAGGAAAGGGCTCATGCTATCATGATCAAATCCAACAGTCTAGATTTGTAGGCAAGAAACTTTGGGAGGGCTGTTCTTTGACAGCAGGGACTTCACCAAAGTCATGAGTTTTCGCAGCGTCCAGGCATCCATGTGGGTGTCGCCCGGGGTCAAATCTTCCCGGCAACAAGTCTGGAAGAACCGCTCCACCTCACGATAAAGATAATCTACCTGCGGCACAGTCTCCGGGCTTTTGGCCGCCCAGCGCTTCATCGCCGGAATCAACACATCTTTGTTTTGCCGGCAATTGTGCACTGAACGTTCCACAAAATCAGGGGACGGCTTAGTGTCATCCTTGCAAAGGGGATGTGGAATCAGCAAATGCAATCCCTTGCGCATGCGTTCCCTCAAGAGTGGGATAGCCTCCCATTCTTCAGCGAGCCCCGCCCACCAAGAAGTCTGATCATTCGAGACGGCAGGCTCCGCTGCAGGCACGATAGCCATGATTTCACGATCGTAAACGTGAATCCCTGCAACCTGATCCTTGAACGGCTGCAACAGTATATTATTTTCAGAACATGCACTCACAATGAAGCCAAAGTGCGTGCAGCTGCAATTGCAAGGCAAACATTGAACAGCAAGCGAGCCAGCTATACCTTCGGTCCCATAGATCACCATGCCGGGCAATGGAAAAGACCATTCAGAGAGAAATGTGTATGAATTCCGCAATGATTATATTGGAATGTGACAAGCAATGGAAGATTCCTCGTATTGTGCTATTGCTCCGTCCTTGAATGCTGCCTCGAACACATGTGAGACCATGTGAATGCATGCTGGCCTGTAATCATCAAATGACTGAAGAGAGCTCACTGCACTCGGCCAGCCTCAGAGCAGAAATCCCCTGTTTTCACAGATTTCCAGAAACTTCTGGGATATCCAGAAACTTGCCTGTCTAGGGGTCCCAGGGTATATACATACATACATACATACAAACATACAACTATGTCTGTTTATGTCTATGTCTATACATATAACATATATGTATATGTGTGTATAGATATATATGTACATATACATCTAAGAGCCAGGCTGAGGACGGCGAGAAGGATCCGAAGAGGAGAAAGCTCTCCCCGGAGAACGGCGAGAAGGGAGCCGAAACAAAGGACGAGGCGGCCCCGAGGTACCCTCATTCGAGGCCTTCAGGTGTACTGTGATGGAGAGTGTAATACTATTCAAAGGTAGTGTGGGTCTCATCAGTCTCAGTGTAGGGGTTTGGGGCTGAAAGTTTAGTCCTCTGAGGCGGTGGAGTGTTTGCACAGTGGCTAAGACGGGCCCCTCCTGCATGTAGAGTTCGCGGGCTCACAGCATTTAGGACTAAAGATGTAGCAATGCCTGTAGACCCGACGCCACAACTTTTGGCTATACTAGGGGCGCGAAGGAGCCTAGGCCCAGCTGTGTGAAGCCGCCGCCCGGGGCAAAAAAGCACAGAAGCGTGCCACTATTTGACACTCGCAGTGGCCATGTTGCTTCAGGACCGTGTGCGCATTCCCGGCTTTTGAACCTTGCTTACCGTCTACTGAGTCTACTGCAGCATGATGACGTTCATCCTTGTCTGCGATTCTCCATGTCAACTGGAAATCAAGTTTGCATTGGCAGTACAGGCTACGATGCTATTGATAGGCCTGCATGATCCTGCAAGCTACTCACCATTAGCCGCGACTCTGTTTCCATAAGATCGTAGTATCGCAGTATATTATGTTCTAGTATATTATAGTGTATTATAGTAAATCATAATCATAAAGTATATTACAATAACCCTTTTCTCTGGATGTGATCGCTGTCCCAGAGCCTCAAGCTGCCAAGCCTTGGTGCGAGTCTTACCGTTGGTTAGTAGGGAATGGAGGGTTTTGGGTTTGGGTGTAGGGGTTAAGGTTTAGGGTAGTAAGGAATGGAGGAATGGGCTACAATTATATTTACTATTACTACCATTCTTCCATTCCCTACTAACCAAAGACAAGGAGTGTGAGCGTCGAAACCCCAAGCCCGGAGCTTTGAGAGGCCAAGGAGACGGCCCAAACCGAAGACGCGTCCAAAAAAGCTGCTGCAGATGCGAAGCAGGACAGTGCAGTGAGACCCCAATTCCTGTTTCCCCATGAAGTGGAGGCCGTAAAGCCGAACCCCCAAACCTCGATTCTGCAGGCCTCGAGAGATCGAAAGTGTAGCTTCGGATTTCAGGTGCTGTTCAGTTTCCGCTTCCGCCTTCGGCGTGTTTGCAGCTTGGTTTCAGGGTTTAGGATCTCAGGGTGCCATGTTCGTGTTTGGGGCTCCTTATCCTGCTTGTCGTATAAGCTAACCTCAAACCCTCCTCGAAGTATTAAGGCCGCCCTGACGCCTTACGGCTGTTTTGAGTCAGGGTCGTGAAGTGGAGATTAAGCCCGATCCGGAAACTAGCCCTGAGAATCTGGGATCCGGCTAGTTTGCGATATAGGCTTCAGTCTCGCCAGTGGCCGAGGAAGCCCCAACGGAAGCAAAGGAAGAGACAAAAGAAGAAGCAAAGGAAGACTTGGAGAAGTTCACGGTGGCTTTGCTCTGCAGCTTGCATGGCAGCTGCCATGCTGGTAGCTGTGCACACATGCCATGTTGATCCCCATTAACGAATCCATCAGCAATATGGGTTCAGGTGTAGTACCTCACAAACCCCTCAGGTGCCGCAGCTCAAGGATAAGCTTCGGGCTGCTGGCCTCATGGTGTCTGGAAACAAGGCCGGGCCTGGGGATCGGCAGGGCGACACGAGCGACAACGGCGTTAGGGGGGCCTCTTCACATTAGGGGTACCTGATTCACGTGGATATGCATCCTCTTATGTCTTGTTGAGATTAGGGTGAAAGAGGTTTGAGTAACTTAGGTATATGTACCGATTGGAGCGAATCGAAGATCCGTTATTTGCACACTGGTGTTCTGCAAGGGGGTTCTGCCGTAACCCTGCAAGAAGAGGGCTCGATCTCCGAAGGAAAAGTCAGCCTACAGCCAGGACTTCGTAAGTGTAGGTTCGGAACCGTTGGAACCCTAACGTGTGATTTTTCCTGCGAAGTGAAGTAGGTTCGCAATCTCCGAGCTAGGACCAGCCCCCATGACCGTTCCCTGCCTTGTTGCGTTGCCCAGGCCGAGCTCATCAAGCGCTTGCAGGCACAATTCCTTTCTCCCTTGGGCCTGCTTAGTTCTCGGGCCTACCTGAACCCTGAAAAACCTATCTTTTTAGGGTTCCTTATTATGATTTCCTTATATAAGTCCTTAAAAATGTAGGTTCTTCCGGGTTAAGGTAGGGTCTACAGCTTTAGGCAGTTGTCTTGTCTCCAGGATGTTTGCGGACTGTTGGGGCTTTGAAGCTTGCAGTGTTGTCGGCGCGAGGCTTTAGATCCCGTGGTATGGTTTTACGAGTTTAGGACCTTTGCAGCGAAGAATGCCGACGTGCACGCCTTCGAGTTTTAGTGTTTATCTTTTCATTGCTTCTGGTCCTTTTGCGTGGGTTTAAAACAATTTAGGGGTTTAGACTTGTTTAGGATTTAAGACCCCTTGCCTTCAGGGACTGTTTTAGGCCTGAGAATTGCCCAGACAAGGCTCTGAATTTGAATAGGATCCTTGGCGCGATGCAGCGTGTATTCCTCCATCAGGTTCAGCTCAGCTTGGAAAACGCATTTCGAAGCCAGGTGTCCCAAAATAACATGAGTTCCTGACAGATGGCAAGGGTGGACAACATTGAACGAAGCCCCGGCACACCCTGGGTTTACATGGCTAGAACAGTAACTTTTTTGTGGGCCAGGTACAGTCTGCCATGGCTTTGTCATTTGTCCAGGGAAATCTCTGCTCACTGTTGAGGTTGTTTACTGCAGCCTAAATTCGACCATGCATCCCTTGCAGGCAGCCAAGGAGGCGGAAGCCAGCAAGACGCCGCTCGCCTCCGTTTGGTGCATGTGTTCTTCCTGGCTGCCAGGGTAAGGGCGCTTTGCTGAGGGCTCGAGTTAGTTGGTCAATGCAACATAGACGATTCAGAGTCTCATGTATCCTTACCAGGTGAGCAGGCAAGAGAAGCCCAGAGAATTGGAATTTCGTGTTGAGCCCAAGACCTCGGCCTAATCGCTGGGTTCTTTCTGAAGAAGGGACGAGCAATTGGTGTGGTTCCGGCTTTTCGCCAGCGTTCTTTTCAGAGTTGCTGGTTTGAGCGGCGAGAAGCCTTCTAAGGTCAACAGAGAAGCCGCCAGAAGAGGAGGGCGAGAAGAAGGAAGAAAAGCCAGCAGATACGACGACGGCAGAGGCTGGCAAAGAGGAGGAGAAGAAGGATGAGCCACAGGACATGCAAGTGGATCAAGAAGGCGACAAGAAAGAGGAAGAGGCAGCTGCTGGAGAAGCAGCCAAGGAGGGCGACAAGAAGGAAGAAACTGAGAGTAAGGAGAAGGAGACAAAGGATGAGGAGGCTGGATGTCGGTCGTTTCATGCAGCTATGGGAAGCCTTCAGTGCAGACTGACAGTGAAGACCGTTTCAGTCGGATCCTGATTGGCCGTGGGGCTTTCTACATGTGCTACATTGCATCCTTGCATAGAGCTCAGGACGCCATGTTGTCTTGTCCAGCAAAAATCTCTCCGTGCGCACCAGAAGACGCCGAGTTGGGTCCGTATCTTGTGGTCTTCCTTCGCCAGGAGGACAATGTGGACTACCTCAAGGCTGGGATGCTGCAGTGTCTCCTTAGCTCTGTGTAATTCCTCAACAATACCTCCCTCCCCCGAGTCGCCTTGGCCCTAGAAGGTCACCCCCCTTCAAAGCCTAGTATGTGGTACATGGACCCTGCTTTGCTGAACCCAAATCGTGATGACAACCTTCTTCTTGAGCCATGTATAGAACCTTAAGGGACATGGACTCTTAGGGCTTTTGAGACCAGGCAGAACTGGGTTAGGCAGCATGTGGGTTTGTTTCCTCGGGTTCAAGGTTTAGGATTCCATCTCTAGGGCCTAGGGTGTGGGTTTGAATTTAAGCTTCAGGGGTGTTTTGGTTTGCTGTTTTCCGTGCGAAAGTGTTATGGACTGTAGTCCATGCAAGCACCGTGTACAACATGGCTTTATGGTGCAAAGTGAATGTACTGTTTTGGCGTCTCTGATTTAGTTTGCATGCACCAAAGTAGCAGTGGTTCCAGGCCTTGTGAGTATCGCAGTTTCTGTGTTCCGTGTTCCCCAAGCTCCAAGCCATCGTCTTCAGTACTTCTCTAGACAGATTTCTGTTTGTTGATGTGGAGGCCGGGGCTGCCCAAACCCTTGTAACATAGACCCTAGAATGAAGCTTCCTATTATACGGGTTGTACAAATAGTGAAACACGGGCGTAGAGGCTTATCCTAACAACGAGACCCTGTAACGCCCTACAAATCCGAAATCCAGTACCCTTGCAGGAGCTGGACGAAGAAATTGAGCAGGCGGACAACGATGTCTTCGAGATTGAAGATGTCACCGCAGCTCGTCTCCCTGCCTTCAGCTCATCACTGCACTCCCATTTAGAGTTGCATGGTCTTGAAAAGACTCATAAAGCATCTCAAGGTTACGGGCAGTGTTAGCCGTTTCACGCTCTCCTCTACTGTGATTAAAGTCTCTTGTCAATTCAAAGCGAATCTACCTGCGGATCGATGGGCTACTGTCTTCAAGCTTCAGGTTAATGAGATGCGGATTTGTCCCAATACCTAGCTGAGTTGCGGCGCACGACGCAGTTTTCTAAGGCACCCCACCCACTCCCGATCCCTTCCACCCTTATGGCAAGATCTGTGTGTGTGTGTGTGTGTGTGTGTGTGTGTGTGTGTGTGTGTGTGTGTGTGTGTGTGTGTGGGTGTATGTGTGTGTGTGTGTGTGTTAACATGCTGTTTGGCGCCGGGCTATTCTTGGCGCGAACGGTCTGGGAACGGGGACTCAGCTACTACGACTACTCCCACTCCTACCCCTACTCTTACTACAACAACAACCACAACAACGACAACAACAACTACTTACTACGACGATGACGACGACGATGCCGATGACGACTACTGCTGAGGCCTAGGGCCTTGAGACTCGAAGCCCTTTCACCCCTGGGTTTGCTGGAGCACTCCGCTCTTGAGCCCTGAAGTTTGAAGACCTAAACCCGTAAGACCTTCGTGTCTGCACCTGAGGACCCATATGTGATGGGTTTTCATAATGTATCAAATCGAACGAGTTATTTGACCCATTTCCTTGATCCTAGGGTCCAAGGGGCTTACAGCGACGGTGTTTGAGGTTCTTGGGGTTCAGGCTTAGGGTTAGGCTAACTTCTCTCCCCAAAGATGCCTGTGGAAGTTGAGGACATCGGAACCGGTGAGCCTTTGTTCTTCAACTTCGGGTTCGAGGACCGGGCAGGGCGAGATTTAGGTCAAGTGTGATTTTGATTGGACTAGTCTAGCTGTATTGGCTAGAGTCTAGATTTTTGCATTACTTTTCCACATTACATTACGTTTGATCGAATCATGTTAATTACATAATCTCAGTCTCAACTAAGATAGTCTTGATTCATTTGCATGGTATGCAGCACGGCATCTCATGTTGAGCTGAAGGCAGAGCAGGGCGTAGTGTTTCGCGCTCAAGCCTGAAATTCTAACTTCACTTCTTTCATGATCGCCACAGGGAGATGCCTTCGGAAATAAAGCTTCATTTGTTTTGCCTAGGCTTTGGGAGAACGATGCCCTTACTCTCCTTGACTGGCTCTATGCTGCTCATGTTCTGCGACCATCACAAGCTTTCTGGAGCCAGTGCGGCACCTCAAACACCCAACCAAGCCCCTCAACCTCGAGATCGAGCCCAACCTTCGACTACGATTAAAGGGAAAGCCTGGAAGTTCTCCAAACAATCCCTGTCCACCCACGAACTTTAGATCAAGGGACGCGAAAAGCTTGCATCTTGAGCCTTTAATGTTGCAACCCGGTGTTGCCCGAAACCCCACACACCCACAATGTCTCGCGCTGCTTTGCCTGCCTACAGTGCTATGCAGCAAAGCTAAAGAGCTCAACAGATCAACTTTGTAACTCTTACAAACTGTCAGAAATGCTTGAAGCAAAAGCCTCTAGAAAACACCCAAAGGACTGGGCCTTATTGAGTCTACGATTCGAGCTCCACCTCTTGGCCCACGCCTTCCTTCATGACTGTGGAGATGCAGAAAGGTGGGGCACTCATCTACACATCCTGGAACCCAAAGCCATAAGCCTCAAAATCCTAAGGCCGAAACACAAACAAGCCCTAATACTAAGTCTTCAAAGCCTTAAAGCTGATTCACCAAGCCCTGAGCCAGTAAACGTGCCAAAAGCAGGACGTCAAGAGGTTGGGATTGAGATTTCAGACTGAGGTCGTAGTTGGCTCCGGAATTTCTGGGATTTTCTGGTGGCTTCTTGGATCAGAGTATGGACATAGGGCTGATGGACCGAAGGATTCTCTTTGTATGATTAGGGCTTGAGGAGAGCCTCAGGTAAGCCTGAAGCCCTGCAGAACCTTTGTACAAATCTGAAAAAGCATCGTTGAACCCTTGGATGTCCTGGCAGGGATCCTTTCTCAAGTAGTAGCGATTGGGTTGTGGGGGGGGTTGTTGTAGGTGCCTTTGGAGGCCGCGAATCCAGGAAGTTGTTTGTGGCTTCTTATCCGACTCTCCAGCCCTGTTCATGAACAGCTGGACCTCGGGGTTTAGGGCTTGGAACACGTTGAAGCGCATGGCACACCAGGAAAGAAAAGAATGTCAGACTCACGAAGAGTAAGCCCTCAGTCCAAGCCTTAAGTGTTCCGTCGTGGGCAGGTCTGGGATCTATCCCGACCACCTTCTCTTCTACTACAACAGGCACTCCGGCAATTCTGCCAAAGGAGTGGCTCTATAAATTCAGCTCCCACTTTGGGCCCTCAGTGCGTCCTGGTTTGCTGAAAGGGTTCAATGTGAGATCACACGCGCGCACCCAGAATTTGAATGAGAGCATACGGAACAAGACATGCGTTTCGGTCTGGGGCTAGCCCAACCCAAGCTGCACAGACGGCTGGTGTTATGCTCAGGGTGAAGGTATGCCCGACCCTCCGATGTTGATTTCAGCAGCACTTCCGCAAGTTGATATGTGCACTTCTGGCAGCAAACACGGCTATCGACCTGTTTGGCTTGTGACTACGGGTTTTGAGTATCATGGCTTGAGGGTTTGGGGGTGGGCGCTAGCAATGAGACCAGGAGAGTTAATTTCGTCGCTCTTTGACACGTACGGCTAGGCCGCTAGGCCAGGCGCAAAACTCCAATCTCTGAACTGATGCGCCTTAGCAGGCTTCAGTGAGAAATCCCTCAATCGAGACAGGAACGTCGAAGCCACGACAGACAGTCTGGCCATATGCCGCAAAGCTTGAAACTCTAAACTTAAACATAAACACAAACAATGTCGAACTGAGCTTAGAGCCTCTACACCCCATTCCTTGTTTGCAAGCCCCGGTAGTTCTAGAGGTTTTGGCTTCAGGTTCTAGGATCGTTAGATGGTAACACTAACGTGAGAAGTTCGGGTTTGGGACTCAAAGTTTGGTCTGCAGCACAGGACCCTCGCAAGCCATCTCGAAACCTAGCAGCAAGACCAGGTATTACAAGAAAGGCTTGAACCCGAAAAACTACGGCGTGGAGGGAGTCGAGGCATTGGTTGCCTTGACAGTTGTGCCCTAAACCCTAAGCATCCCCAGACCAATTAAGAACTCCTAAGTAAGAACTCCTAAACCAGAACAGTTCTGCTTGTCTTCGGATTTCGGGGGCCCGTGTGGGGAAGACTAAATGACGGAGGGGTTCTTCAAATAAATGAGGATCCTATACTCTAGAGGGTCGTTTTAGAAATAATCCGACGCTTCAGGGTTGGGTTGGGATCCATCATGTTCTGAAGCTGCCTTCTTTCAGCCGTGGTTCAGATTGTCGGCAGGTGTGGTGTTGTCAGAGAAGGTGTTGGTTTCATCCCACCGACTTAAGCCCTAACGTTCAGTAATTAGGGTTGGTATCTCACAGCTGGTCTACTGGGATAGCAAATTGTCAGGTCTTGCCCAAATCCAATCCGCAGCCTTAGATGCCGAACTCCTTACGCTTTAGCTCAGGTGAAGACACCCCCCCCCCGCCTTGCTATTCAATATGCAGGAAGTCCTCAACTCTATGAACCGCGTAGGGTTGAGCGCATCTATTAGCTCCCTTGCTGGGAGAACCCTTCCTAAACCTTCCCCTAAACCCTAAACCTAACCTTCACCAAGTATTTCCACATCCTGATAATTTATCATCCCCAAGCACCGACTGCAACCCTGAAGACTTCACTCCACTTCAAGCCCTAAGACTCAAATGGGTGGCTGTCAAATTAGGGTCCCTTTTTGGCTCATTATTATAGTACGGCACCTATTCTTTAGGGTACCCAAAAAAGGACCATAATTTTGACAACTACCCAAATCGCTGCTGGCTCCGCAAGGAGCTCGTCACGCTTGTGCGCGACAGCATCGTCGTCTGTCCACCCAAGGCTCGGAAAGCCCACTGTTCGGTTCAGCCTTATCCTTTTTCATGGTTCCCACCTTCTTCAATAACTCCTACTAAAGGATATAGGTACAGGGCTCTGTCTATTGTTTCTAAAAGGACAAGGGTGGTTCGGTTGGTTTAGGGGTGTAGGAGGCTTAGAGCCGGGCTTGACGTTTCGAATGCCTGGGAGAGAGAGAGAGGAGGCTTGGAGGGTTTAGGGTTGTAAGGGTTGTAAGGGTTTCGCGGAGTTTAGGGCTCAGTCCGTTTGAGGGGGCAAGCGCACACCTTAGGGCCCGGGTTACTTAAGGCTTTAGTGCGTAGTGTCTACACGGTTTACGTTTGCAGTTCAGCGCTCCGGGTTTGATGGTTCAGTACACTGAAGACTTTCTAAGAAATGCGCTTGTTGCCTCAATTCGCGGCGCATGGGAAGTCGGAAGCCAGCCGGCCATGCGAGAATACTGAAGTTCAAGAAAATAGGGGCGCCCTAGACCAAACAGAATTCTAAAGTAGTTACACCTTCTTTCTGACACCACCCTCAATACTGTAGTCGGATCGTTTTGTAAGGACCCCAAAACAAGGTACCCCTCGGTTTCGGAAACTGGCATACCCCTCGTTGCAAAAATGTTAATACAGGTTCCTCAGATGGTGACTTCTGATTCGGAGAGACAGCGGAGGGAGGGCGAACAAAGAAGCAACTCAGCCAATCAGACTGGGCCAGGGTGTGGAGGCCATGCCTGCTTTCGTTTTGGTCCTCATAGTTTCGCTGGCTGCTACAGTGGGTCCATGACTAATTCATTGTTTAATCTCTGGCTAAACATGTTTGTTTATTTCTATAGAGCCCAAAGACCCAAGCGGAGAGCTTGGCGGAGATCGAGCTTACAACTTGGGCTTGCCTCCTTAACTAGGCTTTCAAGTTCTAGTGCTCAGGAATGGGAAACTTTCAGGTCTGGCGGTAGTTAGCGGATTTGGTTTGTGGTGCCAGGCTGATGCCACTGGATTCTTGTTGCATGTTCGGCACTAGCTGAGGATGGCACGCCAGAGACAGAGAGAGAGAGAGAGAGAGAGAGAGAGAGAGAGAGAGAGAGTGGGGGCCAAGGTAACTTCATTCTTTAAAGTCTTTCGATGCCTTGAGCCGCCTGCAGCATTTGGCTTTAACAGTTCCGCTGAGGCAGGCCCCTTTTCTGTTTTCCCTCTTGCTGCCACTCCTTACCGAGTTGGACATGGGTATCTGCGCAGCAAAGGAAAAGGTGATTGCTCACAACGAGGCCGGAGGGGGGGGGCAGTAGAAGGCTCATGGATACGTACGTCTATGCATGTGTTCTTTCAGTTGCCGCTGCAAGTCCGAGCAATTCTCCAGATCTCACCAAAACTACAGCATTTTACAGCCTCTTGTAACTGTAGGCAGTTGTTCATCCTTTGTTACATAGCCTTTGATAGACGCCTGCCAAAACTGGCACCGCGACAAGGAAACAAGGATCCCGAGTTTAGAAGATCTCTGTAACGCCCGGTCAAGCATAGAAACTCTACAGCACGCGCTCTGAAATCCAAACTTGGACCTACATCGGTATAAAGCCTGCAGGACCCCTCGCAGCTGCCCTATCTGCGAAACTCTGCTCTGAATCCGAAACCCCCTGAAGCTCCCCCTGCCTATGCAACTGCCAGGTAGTCCTGAACATCTATGACGTCAATGCCGGCACATTGCAGACCTACGATGCTGAGGCTCCAACCTGAGCCGAAGTCACCTGAGAGGTAGCTGAGAGAAACTGCAGACCGGAAGCGTTCTACGCAACAGCGGGAGAGCGGAACCTAAAGCCCGACACCCCCAACAAAAGCACCCTCAGAGGCTCTAGAGCCCGGCGCGGTCGAAACTCTCAAGCCCTGGCTCTGAGACTCTTCAGCCCTCAGGACGTGGAGAAGAACGGCAGGATGTACTACTGCATCGGCAACGGATTCTTCCACGTCGGCTGTCAGGTCGGGGTTTCGGCTCGAGTAACGACGAGTATCTAGCATAGAACCGAGGTTAGTTGCAGGGCCTGGAAAGGGGTCTAGGGTTTGCGGGTGTAAGTCATGTGGTAGCTGACCCAACTCGACCCACACATCCTACTTCTCGAAGACATATACCCTTTCGGCTTCAAATATCTAGCTCCAGCCCCAACACTGGAATCTCCCGAAACCCTCACATGTGAACACAAGCCCTGAAGCCTGAATCGTAACCTCCAAGGTTGGCGAAGAAGTGGAGTGGGCATATGCGTTCTGTGAGCAGGGCACCGGCATCTTCAAGTGTTCACCGAAGGCGAACGCAATGAAGAAAAGGGCGAGCATTTCCGTGGGCATCTCCAGTGTCTCGTCTGACTGAAATTGTAGGGTTGCTTCGATTCTACGTTAAAGGTCTGAGAACGGGGCAACTCCGGCACGACCATGATTGTTTTTTATGCCGAGAACTGCAAAACAGCACAGGTTTCACGTCGGAGGAAGAGATCAAGAGCAAGATCGAAAGCCTCATGGGCCAGTATCGTGGGGACCAGTACGACCTGCTCCACCGCAACTGCTGCAATTTCGCCGAGTCCCTCTGCAGAGTGCTGGAAATCGCGGAAGACGAATCCCAAAACGACGTCATCAACCTCACAGGACTTTCATGTGGGTGGCTGTCAAAACTACGGTCCCATGTGAGTCTTGGTGCTCTCAATGATGCTCAACGAGGGTTTCAGATTAGTCTTGGGCTTCCGGCCGTGGTGCACGTCTTACTGAAGGGGTCCGGTTCGGAGTCAAAGCAGAAAAGCCGTCCACCAAAGCCCTCGAAAGAACGAGCTGCTTGCACAACACGCTAGAAGCATGAGTTTGGGACCGTAGGGTTGAATGGTGCAGGGTGTGTTGGTTTTGGCACTTAACTGCGGAGTTTCGGTCTTCGGTGTCTAAGTCGACGCCTCGGTGCGCATGAATACTCCTTGGCCAAACTGTGAGCTCCGTCGATCCCCAGTATAAAGACAACGGAAAAGCATAAAAAAACATCAAATATCCACACAGGCACCAGTCCTAAGTGAACCCGTATAGCCGCACTGACAATTGATCCTGGATTACTCTAAACCTATTGAAGCCATATGTTTAACCCCGGGCCCGGTAACGAAATCCTCCCACGGGATCCGTCTAAAACCAAGATCCTAGGGATCAGCTGAGAGGAGCCGCAGCTGCCGAAGTTGAGACGGAGGAAGGCGCCGGAGATTATCCCGCCTTTATCAGCAAGGCAACGGCCTGCAACACATTTCGAAGTCGTTGGGGCTTTTTGGGTTGAGGATTGTTGAGTTGGGTGCGGTTCTGGCAGCCCGGACTGGCGTGTCGAAACTGGGAGCTTGCGGCTTTGAAAGCTTTTGAGTGTAGGGCATAGGTTTACGGAATTACGGCTATCGGGTTTCGTGAAGGGTTTAGAATCAACTTGCATGGGGTACTATGGTGCAGATCATATCTTAGACCACAGAAATAGTCAGCACCTCGAAAGAAAGACACAGGATAAAGTTCTCCACAACCCGACATCCTAAGTTCGTGAACCCTAAAGACTCTAAAACCCAAGGTCCTTACATTATAGTGACAGTGACTTACATATGTGATGACGCCGAGCTAATTAGAAAGGAAACAGGATCTGGTACCCCAGGATCACTAAGAGAGCCCCAGACTATGCTACTTGACCTAGACGTCGCCACGATCCTCTCAGTATTTCTTCGCACTAAGGCACTGACGTCCGATACGGGGGGCTTTGACAACGCCACGCTCGAGAAGGTCTTGAACAACTCAAAGTCAGGATTCTTGGTTCTTGCTGAAGAAATTTTGATCAAACTAATGCCGTGTGCAAAGCATGATTATGCTTTCCTGCATGTCCCTGTTACAGTAGAATTATGCCATTTACAAACAGACAAATTTGGCAAAGCCCAGGGTTCGTGGGTCAGAAGTTCCGGAATGCGGGCTGCACGGGCAAGCCCACCGCGACAGCCGATGCCCAAACAATCCTGCAGCAGGCCGGGCACGACAGCTTGCTTCCAAGCTTCATCCAGGGTTTTGCCACAACGTATGCAGGGGTATGCTACTTAACGGATCCGCAGAACTACGAAGGATCTCTTAGCTCTTGGGTTTATCTTGATGCCCGGCTGACGGTGCAAATGGCACAAGCTCTAGAACCCTGCTCCGAAACCTCTCGCGGGAACGTGGCCAGATGGTCCGGAGCACTTGGTTAGCCTACCCATAGGCCCCAAAGTAGTTCCTTTTTGGGATTACCTTATAGGAGTCTAAATATGAACACCAAAAAGGAACTACTATGGGGCCTTAGCCTAGGCAATGGAACTCGAACTCGGATCGAACCTGGAAGCCAACTTGACCGCGAATACAGAGCACTGTATCTCGAATCACTCCAGAAGAAAGAAGCTTCTAGAGATTCTGGAGAGGTTGCACCCGAGTGCATCCTCGATTGTCTGCCCCAGATGGTGTATACCACAATTCACCCACTATAAGAACCCAGAGCGGCATCAACCTGAGATGGCCCCTAAACTCTTGAAGCCCTACCTGCTCCAGGCCGGCATTCTTAAGGCAGCCGGGATGTGGTGCAGCAACTGAGATCCTAACCAATCGTGCTAGACCTTTGCCCGGGAAAGAAGTCACATGAAGTTTTCGGGACTGCGGTGTTGGGGCTTATGTTTTCATGGCCGGAGGTTTAGTTATTTAAAGGCTCGTGGCTCGGAGGTTTGTGAAACAGGGTTTCGTTTAAACAAACAGAGGTCAGAACAAACTGCAATGATGCATATCATGTCCGTACGGTCACTGCGATGTACCCCGAGAAGCTACTCTAGGCTGATCGGCCGCAGCCGTTGCTCCCTGTTTAGATTCAGGATTTTAGGGCAGCGGCTTGTAAAAAAAACTTCAGTTTAGCATTGAAGTGATGTTATGCGATGACGGCGATAAAGTTACGGGTTTCAAAACTGGCAATAAAGCATTTTGCAGGCTTTGGTGGCGTACAGTGGTGTCGGTCTTGAGATAATGGAGGGTTATTTGGGGTATGTGTAGCCGGATATAGATTCTGTTCACGCTGCTTTGCGTGGTGAGCGCCTTTTTCCCGTCAAGGGCATAGGAGGAAAAGCGAGTGTAGAGGGGTGTGCGTCGCAGAGAGCACACGGGGCAAAGTGCTCGTGGCAAGCTCTCGGCCCACTCGCCGTGAAACCGTCATGGCACCAACGTGCGAATGGTGCTAAGACCCGAAGCTTCAAAGACTTTCCTACACCATTCAAAGCCCCTGAACTCGTAAACCGTGGATTCTTAATCATCAAAAGTTGGAGCAAAGAGGTCGAGAGACTCTTTGCACACTACCTGGTTCACAGAAATGGGGAGGGAGAGGCATAAGAGGCCCTCCTCGTAGTCACACCTACTCTCACTGGTTTTCATCTGAAGTCGGAAGGCTAGCCGAGGATGTTGATTTTGGAGGTTTTCGGGTTGAGGCTTTGCGGTTTCTGGAGGCGCCTCACGCGCCCAGATCAACCCTGAGCCCTACACCAAAATCCGAGGCCCTGACTGTCCCTCCCCACAGACAACCTGGCGATTGGGCAGAAGCACCGCCAACCTGGTGAACCCTAGAAGGGGATCTTGTAAAAGAAGGAGACGTTGTAAGAACCCCCACAATCCTTAACCAATGCACATACACACATACATAAAGACAGACGGCGACAGACAGACAGACAGACAGACAGACAGACAGACAGACAGACGGAGACAGAGACAGAGACAGAGACAGAGACAGAGACAGAGACAGAGACAGACAGACAGACGGACGGACGGACGGACAGACAGACAGACAGACAGACAGACAGACAGACAGACAGACGCACTGACTTATGCAAGTACCTGCGTGCAAGTGTATATTAATCAAAAATCTGTAGTCGGAAGCCCTGCTGTGCACACAACGGGTGCTGCCATTCCATGGAATCACTAATTAGTTTGCTTTCAGTGTATCGCAAAGACTTTTTCATGCAATTCAGACAGTGGTTTCCGTAGTCGATGTTCCCTCAACCCTACAACCCGCGGGCAAGAACACAGAACGCAAGGTTTCTGAACCTGGAAATTGCTGTCGTCTATATCATGCAGGATCCATGGGTTCTTTCTGCGACACCCTCAAATCCAACATAAGCAGAGGGCTGCCCGACATGCTGTATGACATATTCAAGACGTTATGGGCCTAAGCTTGCAACCCAAGTTTTGCCCTATAACCCTACCTACCAGACGGCAGGCGAATCAGCCATGCGGCAGCTTATAGTCCCGAACCTACGCCCGGCACTCCATGTTTCAGAATGTTCTACCTAAGCCGTAACTACACTCTAACCCTGGATCTTAAATGCAGAATCCCTGAACAACTTGAGCTACTAAGAAGCCGCATGAAGCTCCAGCAGCCGACCTCAAAACCTAATAGATGATTGGACATATCGCAAGGGGTTCAGAAAGCCTTAGTCAAAGCGAAACGCCCGAAGACTGGATCAAACCTAAAGCGCCCTGAGCCCTGACCTTACGCCGGAAAGCATCAAAAGGCTCTGCAAGCAAAGAGTAATCAAAAAGTCCTTTTACAACAAGAAAGAGCTTGAATGAACCTGTTGAGCAAAAAACAGCATAACAGCAATATAGTAATCTGGCGCATACACAATATCAACAGTTGATGACAATAACCATAATCAGCGCAACAAAAAGGACACATGTAATAATACTACATATCAAGAAGGAGAACACGAATCAGCTAATCGCAGTGACGTAACTTCAGAGGTTCCCCAGGGATCCCTTGAAGGGACCGTGGCTGCTGGTGGTCCTTCGAGCTCCGTCTTCTTAGAAGCAGTTTTCCTCAAGGGTCCTCAGTACCTACATGCAACCCCTTCAAAGCCAAAGTTAAATACTGTATAGGTACATGGACCCTTTTGGGTTGGGATCTCCACTAGAAAACAGTCAATCTGGGCGAAATCTGGAGAGGATGGAGACGCAAGGATGTGCCAGGTGCTTTGCTGATCGCGGCTCCTGTTGGTGCTTCGACGTAGCTGGGTTCCCTCGGGTTGTGCTCAACAGAAAGCTTTCGGGATTATGATTCTGGCTTTATTTATGGCTTTACGGAGTAAGTAGGGTAGCGACGGACGGAGACAGGGAAATGGTCCTGGCAGAGCAGGAGACTACAAAGCTTTTGCCAATCACTTGACAAACTCGCCTCGAGCCTGCGGCCAAAATGACATGGTGTCGAATGGGGTGAAGCTGCATGTCCGAGCTCAAAAGCCTGTAGAAAAGCCCATTCTATGGTGATTTTAGACACACCTCCAGAGCCCCTTCAGTCGCCTTAGAGTGGGCCTTAGCTCGTTTTTCCATATTGGCAGCAGATTGGCAAGATCATTCCCTCGCAACCCTCCTGTCATCGAAGAACCTAGAACCTGGTTCCAACCTGTAGGCCTCGATGATATCCGTGGGCCTTTATGGCCCAGCCGAGTATCGGTCGAGAGCATCTGTGCTACTCCTTCGGCCTACGCACACCCCTTGCCGTGCCAACCCTGGCCCTGGCTCCCACACCTTCAACTGTAAGAATCCCAAGCTCCTAAACCCTAAGCCGACTGTATGTGTCAGGGGCTTGAGGTCCGCACCCCGGACAATCGATGAAAAATGGCACAGCTTACACGACAGGGTAGATGGACTAACTCCGGTGATATGCTGTAGGGTCCTGGATTCTATACCAAGTTTCCTTGTTGAGCTGAAACTGGCTCTTGCCGCTGCGGTCTGCTTCTGAGCCAACCGGCCATGCAGGTGATCGAATCGATGCTTTCGCCCGAGCTGGAAGACAATGCCGCCCTGACTTGCTTGTTTAGGAAGTAGACAAGTAGGGTTTAGGCAGATGCCATCTTCTTTCTGAATTTGATGACGGTTCGCTCGACGTGAGGAATTCGTGCACGGAGTTGGCAACAACAAGGCCCCCAATTACAACAGGTGTGTTGCAAGAAGACTTCATCTAAAACATGACAAGCGTAAGGAGAATCCCAAAAGATATTCCATCCATGCATACATGTACTATGTGTATATAGTTGCGTATGTATGTACGTAATTATGTGTGTGTATACATATATAGAGAGAGAGAGAGAAAGAGAGACAGTTGGGTGCTTTTGCGATTTGGGGATTAAGCGCAAGTGGGTCATGTCTGAATCCTTCTAAGGCTCTCCATTTTGGGATCCGCTTTGTTCCGAGGCCCCAATTCCCAAAAATCATCATGCCGCATGCCCAGTTCCTTAAAGCCCTAAACATATGCAAGCCCTAAATTTGAAACAACAGCCTGATCCTCGACTCCTGCGATGTTTGCCTAGGCCTTGCCAGGCGAGAGTCAAAAGGACACTTCAACCGTACAACCTAGCTCAGCACATGTACATATATTCCCAAAACTAAACTCTAATCCTTACGCTACGTCCGTCCGCCAGGATATTTTCGTGAAGTTGACGGAAGAGGCGAGGCGTGAGCGTCTGCGACGACTGGATGCAGGCCGCCCAAGAAGGGATGCTGGGCGTGAACAGGGCGTTTTGTTTGTCAGAAAGGGAGAAGGAGAGATAGATTTACATGGTGCAGGGTTGCCAAGTCGGTGTTCAGCGCGCCACTAGGATTGGGGTCTTCAGGGTTAAGGGCTGCATGCCTGAGGATTTTGGGTCACGGTTTCCCTCCTGTCAAGTGAGATTGGCTAGTAGCAGGAAGGAAGCTACAGAAAGAAGCATCCGGCCAAATCCCGACCACATCAAAAAGGTCGGCCATAAAACGCACATGAATTAGCGGATCCCCGAAGGGCCCCGAAGTCATTATGGAGGGCCACCTCGCCCCAACATTTAGCACCCAAAGTTCGGAATCCGAAAGCCCCGAAATGGATCCTGTACCGTCGATTGGTCCATCTGTCGAGGTGACGAAAGCGCCGGATAGCTCAGCTGAATATCCTGGGAGGGTTTTTCAGGATGTTTAGGATCTGGGGTTTTGGGTTTGTGAATGTACGATGCTGGGGTTTTACTTCAGGGCTTTACGTCTCACAGGTTCGGTGAGTATACTATTATAGGCACGAAGGGTTTTTTCGGACAGTATGGAGACTTCAAGTCACCATACGGAGTGTTTATCGTTCAACTAAATCCCCAACATTATGTAACCCTGAGGGTCTATGTACCCGAATAGTATCTACTTTGGCCTTACAGTAATCCCCATCTAGATACTATAGTGAACCCCAGAAAATTAGAACATAGGCTTTGGATGGTTCATGGGGGGATTCGCCGCAGGAAAATAATGATGTTCCAACTTTCTGGCTTCTACCGTTAAGGCCAAAGTAGATACTGTTTGGGTACGAGCCACTGAAGCCACGGATTCGGCTAAGGCCCGGCTAAAGTTCGCCACTGGGAGCCAAAGCTCCGCCAAGGTGGGTTGGAGAGCATGGAGTGGGGAGGTCATGGGGGATGCTTCTTCCAGACTTCGGAGGGGATTCTGAAGATGTGTTGTTTGGGTGTTCCTTAATGCTTCAGGGCACTTGCACAGGGATCCTTATGAAGCTCCTGCTGTTCAATGGCTCGAAATTGAGGTTCCCCATGCTGTTTGCTGAAGCTCACTTTTATCCAGCTTTACTACATTCTCCATTCTACGCTATAGACACCGGCAAACTTGTAGTTTTGGGGTTACATATTGTAGAATCCCCAAACCCATTTACTTCCCAGCAGAGGCTTTGCAGGCTAGATGCAAAAAACAGAAACCCCAAGCCTCAACCCCGCCAGCCCCGCAGGCTTCATCGAAAGCCCCGGTGATCATCCCGGGCAAAGGGGTCACGTCGTGGCCCTGGAGTGATGGCTGGCGGCCTTTCAGCGCTGTTGGCTGAAAGCGGGTCAAGAACCACCAGTGAGGGTCAGGAATCCTGCAAAACCCAAGCCCGGCTGGGATGCTAGCAAGGCGCAAGCACCTGGAGCAGCCAGCTTGAAGCTGGTATATAGTCCGTGCAGTTCCTGTGCCCTGAACCCTGCACCCCGTAAAGCCGTAAGTATCTTATAGACCCAGTCCAAGAACCCGGGCCACCGAGAGGGTCGATGGGAATGGGTTGAAGGCATCGATGGCAGGTGGGTGAGACCGATTTAGGATCCGAAGCCGAGGATAGCCGTTAGGGTTCAGGGTTTAGGCGTTTTGTTCGCGTTTAGGGTTTCAAGTCGTGGTTGTGTTTCCCTGCGTTTTCTCGGTTTTTTTAGAACCAGGATCTCGAGTAGCGTGAGAAGGAGCACACATCCTTAGTCTAACCTGGCCTGCCCTTCATTTTCAAAAAGTGCACCATGGCCCGATCCCGAAACACTCGAAAGCCGCGGCCGGGAGAAGATCTATGGGTAACTCCAGAAAGTTGGAATATGGTTTCATGGTAGGATACCCTATAATTTACCATAGAAGGGTTAGGATAATCATATTCCAACCTTCTGGCTTTTACTTTATGGGTTGGCGTCTGGGCTTGGGGTTCCTTTTTCGGGCAATTAGGCTTCCCATCAGTCGCAATGCTCAGGAAGGGTGAAGCACTCCCACAGCAGACTCTTCTTCAGCAGCAGCAGCGGCAGGGGCCATGGAAACTGCAAAAGGGGGGGGGCTCGCAACATGACATAAAGCAGGGTGTGTGTTTTTTTTTTTTTTTTGTGTGTGTGTGTGTCTGTTTTTTAGGCTCTGGTTCAAAGATGCATGATCATAGGGTTTACAGTATAGACAAGTGTGGGTGAAAGTCCGAGGGCTTCTCGGGAGTATCCGTAAGCGCACATGCGAGTCTCCACTTCTTTCTGTTGAGGGAGGGGGGGAATATAAGAACTCATGATTCAACTGGTTCCATTTGTTCATCGGATCTGTAATGCTGCAGGAAGGCGGGTTCAACAACTTGCTGACTAGCTTGCGTGATCCCTACCTACGGCCCCCATCTCACAAGACAAAATCCTTTTCACGAATTGCAATTGCGTAGGTCGTGGACCTTCAGACCTAGCTGCTGCTTGCATTAACTTACGTTGGCTTACATGAGTTGGCCAGAATCGAGGGCTGCATCGGCTGTGGCTTTTCTACCCTTCTTGCAAGAGACCTACCATCCGAGCCATCTGTGAATCCTAGCTGTTCTGATTTCAATCGAGTTCCTTGTTCTCTCATCCTGCTATTCGTAGCAGTCGTCGTAGTCATCTAGCCGATATAGCCGTGACCCTAATCGTCGCAGGTTTTAGTCGACGTCGGGCTGTCACCGTAGTCTTAATGACAATAGAGGGAGTGGACGGGAGGAGGAAGATTGCGCCTGCTAGCACTGCATGAATACAAGTTGAACTTTGATGGACATGAGATCAGATCTACGAATCCGTACTGCATTAAGAAGAAACCCTTGAATGCAAAGAGGCAACAGCAAGTACGGCAGCAAATGCAGATGGCCACGGTCCGGGGCCCTGGGCTTTGGGATTCAGCAGATGGGAAGGCTGAGGATCTGGAGGGCTATGAGTCATGGGCTTGTAGGTCTGGTTTAGGAAAAGCGCTAGTATCCATCCATCGCTAGAACATCTATCTATTGATCTATATACCAGAACTGGGCAACTATTCATCCCTTCACATCTACTACAAACCCTAAACCCTAAACACAATTCTCTGCAGCTTTGACGACTTGGTATTTCATGAAGTTCTGGTAACCTCTGCGGGATATGGTGATCATGCCTCTACCTGCCCCTGGCTATCAGGCATATCAGGAGACATACAGCTGTTCTGAAAAGCGAGCCCTCTTTTCCATGGCGAGTCTAGGAGAGGACTAGCTGGAGACATCAGGCAAATACGATGAACGCTCGTTTTACGGACTGCTGCTCCTGAATGAGCCACTTCCTAAAATCGTCTGCAGGGCGGTCTGTTAGTGTGGCATGATGATGGCCTGGGTGAGCCATAAGAACTTTTGCAAGCTGCATGTTTTTTCCAGCTGGAAATGATCTCAGTGAAATCGCCTAGTTTCGCCTGCGGTCCCGTGTTTCACCTCGTACAGATCCCTCGAATATTTCAAAGATCGTATGTTGTGGCGCGTGACGTGCTCCGAACTCGTTGGTATATCTAGTTTTAGGATGTTCTCGCATTATGTCCTGTATGGCCTTACCGTTTGTTGCGCTGTCTTTCAGCTGTAATGCGACTGCGTCTTCTGCTCTTTCAATGTAAGGAGTTCTGTTCTGGCGCGAATCCTTTGGCAAGTCCTTCGTGGCACTAACTCGTGTTGTGAGCTGTCTTCGGAGTGTCGATGGGAACACGCAGAAGTTACCCGACCTGCCGACCAAGAACCTCGTCTGGATGCGTCCGAGTTGCGAGAGCGTAAACAACATTTTCTTCCCTTCGTCCCCATTTCCCTTGAGAGGCGGGTGCCGGGCCCATGGGACCTGGGCCGATGGCCCCTGGGCCCATGCAGCCCGGGCCCATGCAGCGTCCCTGGGGGCCTCCGGCAGCTGCGCCGGGTGCCACAGCTTACCTTTGGTTAGTAGGGAATGGAAGAATGGTAGAAATAGTAGTTATAGTTCTACCCCATTCCTCCATTCCCTACTGACCAAGGGTAAAACAGAGAGGAATTCAGAGCTTCGAAGTCAGGTTAGCGTCTAAGGTCTGGTTCTCCGGCTAGAAAAATCTTTGAGTTGAGAAGTTGGGAGACTTCCATCGTTGTATCAGCATGATGCTTGTTGGCTGGGGATTTCCAAAGATTAACAAACCCCACACTCTAGCATTCATCCCTATATTGTCCCAGCCGTCTCGGCTCCGGTGACGTGGGTTTAGGGTTTAGGGACTCATCAATCCAAGCCCATGCTGAAAAGGGACTCATGCCTTCGGATTTAGAGTTCGATTCGGATTAGGGTTTCGAGTTTGAGTTCCTCGCACTTCGGGGTTCTTACTTGGGGTCTAGGGATTAAGGGACTGCGGGTTTACGATCAAAGGGATGAAGGGCTTGGGAGTTGGGCGTAGTTCCAGGTAGGACTCGGGCCCAGGTTCATACGTGAGTTCAGCAGGTGTCGGCAACAGAGAATGGATGGATGCATATATGGGTGGGCAGGTACGGCAGATAGGGAGGTACGGCAGATAGATACGCCTCCCATCAGAAGCAGCTTAGTGTGTTCGAAAAGTCGTGGAGGCGAGCCAAGAAACAACGATGCAACTGTCATCTTCCTGATCCCATTCCAATTGGACACTGGGGCTCTTACAACGTATACAACAACTGCTATTTCGACGAAGGTTTGGCGTGCCATTGGCGCAGCAGCGAGCAATGATGGCCACAGTCCCTGTTTGATTGGGGTTTGGGCTTTCGGTATGGGTCCTTTGTTTTTGGATGTTTGTTCCAGAGTTTGGATGCTGTGGGGTTACCAGCGGGTGTAGTGCTGACGGCCGGGAATTTCAAGCTGTCGCTTCGGGCGGAGGACTGTTCTATAGCTACAACTATGGCAACCTGAGCCCAAACCCTACATCAATCAAAGGGGAAAAGGAGGGACCATAATGGGCATATAATGGGCTAGGGGTCCCTCCTTTTCCCCTTTGAATCAATCCTGCCCAACAGGAAAGGCAAGGCGTTGCGGTTTAGAACGGGCAGGTGTGTGCTGTGCTCTTTCTTGGGTTGGTACTGAAAAATACCGGGACACCGTGTTAATTTTGTGTGTCGTGGGGCGTACAAGGGGCTCAGGGGTCTGGAGTTTAAGGCTTTAGGGGTTTGGGGCATATGGTCTTGCCCCTCTTGTGGATTATGATCTAAATCCACCTGCATTCTCCACTTTACTGGATGGTTTCTACATGTAGGTTCAATGACGGCTGGGTTTGGGTTTCAACCGTCTCAGGTAGGAAAATGCTCTGCAAAGCCGCAAAGCAGGACGACACCGAAAAGCTCTAAATCAAAACTGTAGATTGAAACCCCGACCCCCTAAGCAAGGTCCGTGCTCCCTTTGAAGTTCTACTTGTGGGCTTCGAGGGGTGATAGGGGCTTGAGGGTGTACGCCTCAAGGGTGACAGTTCTACTGCTCGGTTATCCCAGGTTCTTTTCAATGTCGAAGCTCGGGCTTGGAAAGGGTTTGAAAGTGTAAAGGTTCGGCAGCTGAAGACCAGGGCGTAAGGCGTAAGGGAACGGATTGGACATACCTTGAAAACCTGCAAACCAAACCCAATGTTGCTGTGTTTTTATTAGACAGGACCCCTTTGGCTCAATTCCGTGCAATACAAGGTCATTCTGCCTGGCAGATCCCTCAGGATGTGTACGTAATGCGGCATCCTACAATGCTGTAGATAGCTAGCCAAACTAAGAGGAAATCCTCAATCGAACACTGAAACGCTAAACCCTAAATAACCCTAAACCCTGTACCCTAAACTGAGCCTTGATGCAGCCCAGCTACATGTCCTGCAGGCTCGGCAGCCGTGGGGTTGAGCTGACAGGGGGACTAGCAACTTATCGTCTCCATATTTCACTTATACTACTGCTACACTACATCCCGAAGCCTTCGTTTTGCTTTTTTACATGAATGGAAACTTATCCCACCACATTCAAGCCCACAGAACGCAGAGCTACCAGAGATTGGGGTTGGGAATTGTTTCATGGGGTACTCAGGGAACCTAATGTCACAGAGGCACCGGGGCCACGACGGTTCAGGCAGCCTTTCAGTCTGTTACAGATAGGGTTTAGGGTTTAGGGTTTGTGGGGCTTATGTAACCCATCGGTCCAGATGTCGGACGAAGTTGCTGTGTCTTGAACATACCGACTTAGACCCCCACGCTGCAAAAGGCCCGACCATGTCTTACCCAGAGAACCCCAGCTTTTTTTGTTTTAAGATCTATCGTCACAATACACACATACACATATAACATACATATCTGTATATTCTGCCGTGCATATGAATCACCCCGATGCAACTTGAAAGACTTCTTTGGGAAGCAAAATAAGTAGTTGTAGCTAAGTAGTGCGCTGTTTTCTGGAAGTCTGAAGCTGCGCAGGCTTCAGAGATCGTAGCTTCCCGGAGAAAACGGGAGGCACTCCATGTGGCCGTATAGTCCCTTAGAGCTTAGGGCGTAGGGTGTTTAGGCTTGCGGTGTAGGGTTCAAAGTACCGGGTCTGCGGCATTTAGATCAGGTGCAGGGTTTTTGACCACGTGAGGTTTCTGAGATTTATGGGTCCGAGATTGCTGCTTGCAGCAATCGCAGCACAGAGCCATATGGAAGGAGTGACACATAGAGCACACAGCGAAACAATTGAGGAGAATCTAGGATTTCAGGTTTTTGGGGCCTCCTTACAATACGGTCTGCAGTTTAGAAAGAGAGAATTGGGCATGCTGATGGCGATAGTGGAGAGTTTAGCTCTGAGGCTAGTACCACTCAGAGGCTTCTCTTTGCACCCCCGACATCCCTTGACCAATTAATACTGCTTTGTTTAGGAGATATAATGGCTATAATGTCAGAACCCAATCCCTAACAAAAGGGTTTAGGATTCGCTGGGTAGTGACCGGGTAGTGGTTTGGGGTACGGCTCACGATTGACGGGGAAAGCTGCGGTTTGAGAAAGATATACATTCGCTTTCGGGTGCCTTCTGTTGGATCCGGGAGCATGCGCGTGGCAGCCGCCACATGCAGAGCCCCTGCGAGGGACTTGCTCTGCTGACCCGAGCCTTACGAGCTATTCATCAAAAACTGGCAAGTGCGCGGAGGGGGGGAGGGAATGCTGAGTGTTGAGGTGAAGCCAGGGTGCAAACCACCCATCGCAACTGGTGCCTCGTGTATCAGTTCCCCAAGGCAGCACCCCTATCGACAAAGACACAAAGCTGTTAATCCCTGAACCCTCACCTCCAAACTCCAAACCCTAGAAGCCCTAATGCCTACATTTTTCCCGTCACGCCCACGAACCCTAAGCTTCTAAGTAGAAGAATGTTTGACTCCTGTGAGCGGCCAGCAATCGCGGGTCGGATGTGGAGCATGCCCTTTAGCAAACAATCCGGCTCAAGGTGCAGAGTTTAACATGATTTGCGGCATTGTCCATGTATCTCAGACTCAAGCCCCAGGTCAGAGACCTTAAACCATATACACCTTGAGAACCATCCTAAGCATCACCCCAAACCGACAATATACCCCTCAGATCCTCTTAGAGACTGGACGGTTGAGCTCTGCTTCATGTTGCTTCCAGAAGCGAGGGCTTGGAGCTCGGGGTCTAAAAGTCGGGATGCTGGATTCATGCCTGGCAGAGGATTTCAAGAACTGAAGAATGTGGCTTTTGGGGTTGCAGTAGCATTGTTTCGTAGGGTTATCATGGACTGCTGTCGTTGTAATGTCAGACCTCTATTGTGTAAGCATGGGCTTGAGACGGTTCCCCGAGAACAAGCCGCAGAGGCTTAGACTTAGGCAGGCGTTCACAACCGTTGCAAAATCATCGTGTTCAGCCGAATTCAGCCCATGGACAGCACCTGGGCCTGACCCTCAGGGGCGTGCAGCGTTTTCAGAACGAGCAGAGTGAACCGAGTGGTTTTCCACCGCAGCATCCCATATAGACTTACATACGTCATTATCGATGTGCCGCTTGTGACTCAGGCGATCTTTGACCGCATTCGATCTCTTTCCCCGTCCTTGCAAGCACCCGAAGTCCCAAACGTGGTGCCTAGCCGCCTAGCAACGCGGAAGTTGCAGCCGCCAAGTCCTTGTAGCTGCATCCCAGAGCCCTGATTGCCTACCTTGCCAAACTAGTGCCTGGAAGCCTATAGACTTGCATGAGCACTCAGCAGCTACACCCTGCACATCCCTAATTCCCTTAACTTAGCAATTCTTGACGTCAGAGCGGTAGTGTAGGCACAAAGCAACTTCTGTTCCGAAACCCATCAGTGCAGGATGAACTCAATCTTACTTTATAAAATTGCACACCTCTAAGCTGTTTAACGTGAAAGAAGCGTGTAGTTTAGAGCTCAGGTTTTCCACACTTAAGACCCAAGCTTTGGTGTAGGTGTTTCAGGAGAGTTCCGAGGTACTGGTCACGGGGACAGGAAGCAGAGACTTGCGGGTAGTTGGGGGCCGGGAGTCTGCTGGAAAGTAAGCCCCTAAACCCTAAATTTTCAAGCCTCGAGGTCATAAGCTTCCTGGAGGAGGCTGAAGGTGGTCATGTCTGGGCCTGGGAGCATCCTTGAGTACCGGGCTTGAGGACGCGGGCTTAGGTTGCAGGTTCTAGGGTTGAGGATGAGGGTTCCATAAGGGTTTTTGGGTGCTCGAAGCCCGAAGCCTTCGACTTCTGATCTTGAGGATCTTCGGCAGTTTACGCCCCCCAAACCCGACACCCTGTTCTTCCCATCAGACCTGGACCTTGCTACCTCAAGTCGCAAACCTCATTCCCAAAAAGAATAAGCTGTACATCGTCAAATGACGACGAGACCTAGGAGTCTATTCAGACAACCACTATCAAGCATCAACCTACCGGCGCGACAGTCTAGCACAGCACAAAGGATCAATCCAAACCTAGAATCCCTAGCTCTAGACCCTGGACCTCGCAACCTCAGCTCAGACACAATTCTGGGTGTTCTTCTGGTTGGCTCTTAAGACTAACTTTTTGGGTTTCTCTATGAACCATAATAAGGAGGCTAAAAGTTTAACTTTTAAGAGGGGTTCAGAAGTCAGCCAAGAATGCTATTAACAGTAAGAATAAACTTGACCTCCTATTAGCGACTGTTCCTGCTGCTGCTGCTGCTGCTGCTGCTGCTGCTGCTGCTGCTGCTACCCACCACCACCACCACCACCCACCACCACCCACCACCACCCACAACCACCCACCACCACCCACCACCACCCACCACCACCCACCACCACCCACCACCACCCACAACCACCCACCACCACCCACCACCACCCACCACCACCCACCACCACCCACCACCACCCACCACCACCCACCACCACCCACCACCACCCACCACCACCCACCACCACCCGCCACCACCCACCACCACCCACCACCACCCACCACCACCCACCACCACCCACCACCACCCACCACCACCCACCACCACCCACCACCACCCACCACCACCCACCACCACCCACCACCACCCGCCACCACCACCACCCACCACCACCCACCACCACCCACCACCACCCACCACCACCCACCACCACCCACCACCACCCACCACCACCCACCACCACCCACCACCACCCACCACCACCCACCACCACCCACCACCACCCACCACCACCACCACCCACCACCCACCACCCACACCACCACCACCACCACCACCACCCACCACCACCACCACCACACCACCGCACCACCACCACCCACCACCACCACCACCACCACCACCCACCACCACCCACCCCCACCACCACCACCCACCACCACCCACCACACCACCACCACCCACCACCACCACCACCACCACCCACCACCACCACCCACACACCACCCACCACCCACCACCACCACCACCCACACACCCACACACCACCACCACCACCACCCACCACCACCCACCACCACCCACCACCACCCACCACCACCCACCACCACCCACCACCACCCACCACCACCCACCACCACCCACCACCACCCACCACCACCCACCACCACCCACCACCACCCACCACCACCCACCACCACCCACCACCACCCGCCACCACCCACCACCACCCACCACCACCCACCACCACCCACCACCACCCACCACCACCCACCACCACCCACCACCACCCACCACCACCCACCACCACCCACCACCACCCACCACCACCCACCACCCAGGCTGGCAAGACCAAGCAACTTGTCGAGGCCGTACGCCCCTCAGTAGTGGATGGCCGAACTTGGGGTTTTGGGATCTTCTCTGGGACCTTGGAAGACTCGACTATGGTTCAGTCTTGGGTTGGTTCAGTTTTGGGTTCTAGGCTCGGGCTCGCAGGTTTGGGTTGCTAGGTTTCGGAATTGAGTCCTGTTTGAGGCCTCCGACGGTTCTACGGTCGGAAAGCACGTGTTCGGACGAATGTGCATGTTCAAGGACATGAAGCTCACTGCTTTCTACTTTGTTGGGCTTTACTGTCTCGTCTCGGGTGTTAGATGCCGAGGTTTGGATTTTACGGTTTACGGGCTCAAGCTCGAACTCAGTCGGAACTCAGTAGAGTTTACGTGGACAGCTTTGTGGCTTCGCGCGAAACGACCCTGAGATTTCGAGATCGATGTTGGTTGCAATTTCATAAATGTCTACGGAGTCCAGCTTGACTCGTGAAGGTGAGCTCTGAAAGTCTGACCACATGGACAGCCAAACCTAGAAGCTCGGATGTTTGGATCGGTTAGATCATGTATGCGCAGCTCTAGACCCTGCACCGTTCAGCCATGTGTGCCCCAGAGCCTTTGCAGGTACGAAGCGAAAGATGCGCACCCGACACGGCTGTCACAGACCGAGCTTCTTTGGGCCTGAGAACCCAGACCTAGACCCCCAAAACTACGAAGACCCCAAAACCCAGAAACGAGAGCCCTGAAGGTTTGTAACATTGGCCCGTTAAAGTGCACAGCATACACAGACCCGAGCTCTGATCCTTCTCGACTCGAGCGTCGCCTTCGATCGTTCTGTCTTGCTTGCTTCATCGTTGACATGGTTGCTGATACTTTTTCCGACCTTGCGATGAAGATAGTTCATGATGCTTGGTGATGAAAATGTTGATGGTGCTGCATGATGGTGGCGATGATTATTAACCGTGTCAGCTATGGAGTTATGGTGATGATAACGATGCTGGTGAAGACGATGATGAGGAGTGAGGATGGTTGGGCATTGTTGCGGGTGCTGGTGTGCTTCCTTTTTCGGGAGGGCCTGTCAGAGCCTAAGCTTTCTATAAGACAGCTCACGCAATTGCGCCACTTTGAGCACAGACAAGGCAGACATGGAGAGTTCATAAATCTGCAAAGAGCTTCGGGAAGGCGCCTCCCAAAGCAAGGAAGAGACAGAGAAGCTTTTGCAATGAGTCCAGCACACAACCATGAACAACAAAATCATACATAGTGCCAGGCCAACTGTGACTGTATCGAGGTCCGTCGTACCTCCTTGCCCTGAAGTTCTTGGAGGGAATAATCGTAGTTGAGGTAACCTTCCTAAAGCATCGTGGGATCTCTAGGCTGGAGCATGAAAGGAGTTCGCATGTGTAGCTTTGATGATGCCGGGCTGTCCTCCTGATGTCTCGCTTTGTACTTTTGAGAGTTGGAAAATTTCATGGCACCTTCCGCTTCCTGCAAAGACACGAAGCTCTAAGCCACCCTAAACATTGGGAGGCCCCAACAGCAACCCTGAACCCGAAAGGTTGTCCAACCTCGACAAACACCCTTCATATGTCGTAATATCACACCCCAGCGATGGATGCTGGTCCTTTTACCTTTGCCTGTCTCTTCCTGATCATACGGAGCCAGACACACAGCAAGATTCACTCAGTGTCATGCGGCCAGTTCGGTTTATGTTTGTTTCTTTTTTGTTTTCTGCTCGAGGCTTTTATTGCCAACCACACCATCATCATACCATCATCATACTGCATCGCTGGAGTACCGAACAATAGCACCTACACCGGAGTCCTGATGTCTATGTTACTAATATTTTCTTGTTCCCCATCACCAGGCTTCCCTCGGCGTCACTTCGCTCAAGGCACGGTCAGTGCAGCACGGGGGAACTCGGCAAACAAAGAAGTTGGAGGTTTACCTAGACGCTGGACGGGCTACAAGTTAAGATTTCGAAGTGCCGCATCTAAAGCCTCAGTGGAGAGGTGTATAGTGCACGATTGTGTCGAATCCTGCTGTCTGTTCTGTTTCTTCTCTTGTGAGACTCCGACAAGTGGAATGAAGGTTACTTCGCCTAAATGCGACACGAAAACTATACATCTATAGACCCGAATCATGCGGTAGATGTCCTTCAGCTCCCCACTTCAAGCTTTGTGGGCTTTGGGGTTGCAGGCGGAACCTTAGGGTTGACAATTCAGGGCATGGAGTTGAAAGCAGCATCTCCCGACCCTTCTGTAAAAGTCCAGGAAATCCTCGTGAAGTTGCGCGCTCGCCTTTTTTACCTCGAGGCTTCAGCAGCTTTAAACCCCTATCTAGCCGAGCCCTTACATGCAGCTCCTTTTTCTAGTTTCTGTAATGATGGCTAGTAAAGTAATGCCAGTGTCCCCACTATCAAAGCAGGTCATATATCAACACAAACTACCACAACTCATACTGTCGGTAGGACAGAAATTCGACATAACGCAAAATTCAGACCCATGTATGCTTTGGGGTCGGGATCACGGTCAAGGAAATCAAGGTTTGTGACCTCTAGTCAGCCTACGCTTGTGAATTCTTGGAACTCGGCCGTAGTCGGGTTTTTGGGAAACTGCGATTCAGTGATTTGTCGAGAGATCCCATACCCATACTGATCTGATCAAGGGACACTGAAAGGAGTCGTGCTGTGGAACGTGCCGCACGCATGTTGAACCTTCCACCGCAGCTTTTTCAAGCCAGAAGGTGAGATGCATCGCCAATGCCGCGGCGCATCCAGCGTGTGTGGTTGGTGCTTGCTTGTTCTCTGCCATGCCTGCACCGATTTGCAACAGGGGGCTTCGCCTTCACTTCGTCAAAAGTTCCTTGGCGTGCGGACCGAGCGAGGCTGACGGTGCCTCTGCGTGCTGGCAAGGACGAGATTATCGTTCGACTACCAGACGGGGACATACCAGAAGGAGATGTCTGTGCGTAGTTTAGGGACCCAAACAGGACATAAGCATGAGCATGTTAAAGGGATAGCTGGGCTTCATTATAAGGGGGGTGTATATGGGATATCCCTATCTTATGTTTGGATTGCACGTTCGCGAGGCATGGGTTTCCGCGGGGCCTCCCCTCGTGCACGATGTGAGCATGTAGTGCAGGCAGTCACAGCATAGACATCTTAATTCAGAGTAAGCTGTAGTCGAAGCACAGGGCCCAAGACTCAACCAAAATGTAGCCAGTGACCATTTCTAAGCGGTCTTCTTTTTTGGGTACGGCATACGCCGGAGCCACCGGGCTTGACGTCGGCTTTGCTGTATCATCCCCGACCTTCAAACCGCCTAAAGCCTTGCAGATCCCTGACATCAAGAGCCCCAAACCCCTTCATCTCAATTGAAAGCACTGACACTGGAGATGAGGGTATATACTGTGTATAGTGTATAGTTCGATCCAAGAGTCCTTCTGTGAGTGCGCTCTGTCCGACCGTCGTAAACATGGATGGTCGTGTCTGATCGTTTAAGATGATCAGCTGAATGCAAGGTCTACCGAAATGGGACTAGTGCAAGCACCGCTATTTCCCCATACATCCTCGCCTGTGCACATTGATGCCAGCCATGCGAGAGGGACAAATTGAACGCCAAATCAGACCTTGAACCCCAAAACCATGCATCCCCCTAGTTAGTTGATCGAGTCGAACAGTCCGGTTTTCTGACCACTCTGCAATGCGGGCTCGTCGTTACTATGCGGGGGGCAAGACGGTAAAATTACTGAATCGTGAAACCCCTGTACCCTCAAGCGAGAAAGACGCAAGCCTTAAGTCCCTAAAAGCCCAAGTCCTGAATCCTAAAGGCCGATAATGTAATCCTCAACAAATCCTAATATCCTGAACCATACTGAACCCCAATAGCTCCAAATCCTCAGAGCCCCTACCTCACGTTGAACCCTCAAGCCCAGAAAGGAGTGCGAAAGCTGCGTCCTGGCCCAGAAGGGCCGCCGAGTGGCCCTGGGGAGGCCGATTTGAAGGTCTAGACTTCAGTTCGGTTGGTTTCTTCAAAGGTTCCGTTCAGGTTTCGTCAGGTTTTCGTGCAGGGTAATGTCAGGACTCTTATCTCAGAGTCGCTACTCGACCCTTGTCCGAGTGCACGGTTTGGCGGCTGGATGTTAAAACGACAGCTGGGTTTGCCAGATCTAGTGACCAGGGCTAGAGGAGTTGTGGTGGCATAGTGGCAAATATAGACTCTATATTTGTCACTGTGCCACCTATATTATAGAGTTTAGTTTTCGAAGTCTGGAATTCAGAGCTAAGGTTTCTAGTCTTGTGCCATGTGTCGCTTGCCAGTTGTTGCAGCATGTCGCCATTGGTTCAGGAAAGTCCCAGGCAACATGTCAAGGATGTCATTGCAAGTATCTTCAGTCGCTCAAAGCTTGCATCCGGTTGAAAGGGGGTTTGTAGTGTTCAAAGGTGACGAGGTGTTTGTTCGTCGGGCGGTGATTGGGTGAAGTGGAGGGGCTGGCGACTTCCTCTGGACCACCAGCTTACATTGAATGCGAGCCTTGAGCCCGGAGCAGTGACAGCCAGATTTGAAATCCGAGAACCCAGCCGGGATCCGCAGCTGAAGCCCTGCAAGGTGGACAAGGTTGATGTTGGAAGGTTACCTACATACTCCGAGCTTTCCGACCGGCTCCTTTCTGAATACATGCTCGGCTCCTCGACTTCCTCCGCGAATTTTGGGAGAGTCTAAAGACTTCAGGATGACAAGTCTACAGTTGAAGAGTACATAAAGGGTGTGAGGGGGGGCAGTTGAAGATTTTTTGCCAGTTTTTATTTACAGTGTGTTTAGTTCTTGATTTTCAAGGGCCCAGATGTCAACTTGCACAGACAGCGACACTCCTACAGACTTGCCGGATACTTGGATGCCAGCATAAGTGAAGACCTGATTAAAGTATCTAAGAATGCTCGAAGAGTTAGTAGTTTTACGTCTACTACAAGACTGAAAAGCTCGTTATATCACTATCCCCCAAACCCGGCCTATCCTGAAGTGATTGCGCCCGTGTTTTGCTTTAACTTAATTGCTCCGACCCCGATGAACAGCATCACCTGCACTTCCAGCGTGGCAATGCGAACTCACGGTTTTGGATTTGGGAGTGGTGGGTTCTTGCAGCGGTTGCTCTGCCAGGTTCCAACCAGATTTTGCCTCTCAGGGGCATTCTGGGAGGCAGCCCCTACTCAAAGACACTGCGGAAACAGATCAGGCAGAACGGCAAGAGAAGCGGCAGTGTCCTCATCTTTGGTGAGCCGGGAACGGAGAAAGACATGCTGGCCTTCTTGATCCACTATTCTCGAGCCAAGGGCAGCCTTTACTTTGTTGACTGCGGCGGGGTGTCGGTACAAGGCGCTCGAATCTTTGGACGGGCACGCTCTTCTGGACTCTTGGACCTGGCTTCTGAAGGGACGGTGGTGTTCAATGACGTCGACAAGCTGAACAAAGCCTTGCTTCCAAGAGTTCTGCAGCTGGCAATCAACGGTACATATTGGTCAAGAGCACAGAAGAAGGAAGCCAGGGTGCACAGTAGGCGGCTTTCGTGCCCATCTACATGCCGTGCCTTTTCCAAAAACCCCGACCCCTTTGAGAAGCTCACCCGAACACCTGAGATTTGAAACCTCGTCAGTGCCAAGTATGAAAAAGGGACTATAGATTCTAGTTGCCTGAACTTAAAAAGGAGAAGCAGAGCAAGTTGAAAGTGATCCTCACCGCAGAACAGTGGAGTTCAGTGTTGCAGCTCCTTCCAAAGAACAAGGTCGTTCAGATGCTTGGTAGCAGAGTCTGCAGAGGTTCAGCTTTTATGTAACTTGCTAGAACTAGAACCTCCACCAAACCTTAGTTTTTGAACTTTTGCGGCATATGATCTGAACACATCAGAGCCAAGGATTAAGGTACCGGCCTTGCGTGTTAGACGAAGTGACATCTCGAGCATGGTCCAGTATGAGCTCAGGCGCTTGGCTCGCGGTACAGGGCGGCCTGTTCCGGAAGTTGAACCCCAGGCACTGAAAAGGTTGCAGGCCTATGACTTTCCCAACAACGTCGAGGAGCTTTTTTTCTTGATTGACAACGCATATCGCAACATGGAGCCTGGTGGAAGCATCACTGCGGACCTCTTGTGGACGGCCCAGAGTGTGCAGAAGTTGGACTTGTTCAAGGCCATGATAGCGGGCTTATAAGAGTTTCGGGTTACCTTTGCTTTAGGCAGCGCTCCGAAACCATCAATCGTCTGTGAACCTTGACAAAGTTCCGGCTGCATTCCCAAGTACATGAGTAGCACGGTGGGTATTCATCCCGAAGCCATCCGAAACCGTAAACGCCAAACCCGAACCTGGACCCCTAAACGTAAACTAACTTCTGAGGTCAAGCCAAAACCCTTGTCGAACACCGATTAAAATCTTTCTAGACCCTTGAAACCCGGAAAAGCTCCCTTATCTAATGGTTAGAGAATCCTGCAAGCTACGTTGAAAACCCTTTAAAGCCCTATCTCTGAACACTCTACAAGGACCATTAATCAGGGACCCTTATGGAACCACCAAAAGCTTTAACAGCTTTAACAGGCGTAAAGTTCTTAGGTGAACCTGCTGGAAGTTTATCCCGGTCTCCGCCGTTTCCTTCAGTCAGACTGGCTCGAGCGCCTGTGCCTTGGCCATTTAGGTATCGCGAGGCAGGGTGTGCTTTAGTTTTGGCTTGGGCCCGAGGTTTCGGTTTTCAGGGTTCTGTGGGCTTCAGGGGTACCCGGCACTCGCAATAGGCTTGGATGCAAAAGGGTTCAGTGGTTCTAGGGTTTCGGCGTTGGGATTTCTGGTACTGTCTAGGCGCCTCCCAGCTCTCACTTGCTACTCCCGCTACAACACGTGGTATAGCATGCCCCACAGCGCGAGTCTAAGCTAAGCATATATGTCATAAGTCCGCAAACAGAAATGCATGAGCCTCAACTTGAACCGTACCTTGACACCCTTTTGGACTCTGGTGGCTACCCGCAGCCCAGGAACCACGGGTTCACCAAGTATGCTTTTCCGGTCTTTGTGATCCTTCTCTTCATAGGCACGACTTTGAGGAAGGGCTGCTATGCTGTTGGATTGTGCGTCTGCCTTTCTGAACCGAGCTTCGAGTTCCGAAAGTCAAGGCATGTCAAGGCCCAAGGCTCTTTGTTTAGTCCCGGCAGGTTCAAGGCGGTTAGGGGTTCGCGGTTTTCTGAAGGCCTCACCTTTGTAACCCTGTCTCCCAACTCCAAACCCAAAAGTCTGCATTCTCTACTGCGTCGGCTTTGATTTGACCCCAAAGCCTCGTATGAATACCTAAACCCTTGAACCCTCAAGCCCGAAAACGGCCCCAATCTCCCAAGCCAGGTCCCCAAACTTTTTCGCAGAACTTTGGCCTCAATCTCTTTTGGGCTTGGTGGTGGCCTGGAATCTTGCTGACCTATCCCATCCTGGGGCGCTTCTGGTGTGTGCCTCGGCTTTGTTTTGTTGGTATGCTGTGGGTTGAGGATAGGGTGCACTCTGGGTGTGTAATCATTAGAGTTGAGGGGTCCAGGGTACAAGTACAGGTGAGGCTGCAGGGCTTCGGGGCGTTAGGGCATTGGCAGGGTTGAAATGCAAGCGGCATGGCCTGGTTGAACCGTTTCCTGAAAATGACGGCTGCAACATGCTGAACCGTTGATCCCTGCGATCCCCCTGAGACTTGCATCCAGGAAATCTCTTGCAATCTAGGTCCCCAGCACCACCTCATGTCATCTTGGCTTCAGGAGGCCTTGCTTTCAGTGCAGAGCCTTTTCTCCCTAAACCATAAACCCCAGTTGTGCAACGGCCTGTTTTTTCCCGGGGCCGCTCAGCAGCTTGGTGGCACTCTTCGTCAGTGAAATCCTTGTTGCGGTCCAACCAACCCCGAACCCGACCCCGCATGGCCCCATGCCCGTTTGCTTTGGGAGAACAGGTATTCTTTAGATTCATGCTAGTAGTGGATATTGCGTAGCGGGTATCAGGCTTTTGGGGGAAGCTTGATAAACAGAACTCAAGCTCAACTTTCCGCCGAGCCGCTCTCTCAATCAGCTGCAGGCGGTTTGCCCTTTCATGCTCCTCGGAAGAAGTTTGCGGAGATAGGGCTTTTGGGGCATAGGTCGGGCTGCGGCTTCCAAACTTTGAGGGGGGTTGGTGACTAGTGCAGCAGATTTTGGGTACGGCCCCCACTCAGTAACAGTTGAATAACATTCATAATATAGATATATGAGGACCTTAATACTAGCCCTGTTATAGACTCTTACTGTATGGGGGCAGTACCTAAAAAACTTCGGCTTCTTTGGGTTTTTGGGGGAAGAAGGGTTAAGCTTGGTGATACTTGGTGATTGTAGTAGGGCTTAGGGCAAGTTTAGGGTTCACCCCGTCATCGGGTGTAGTATTCAGAGCTGGCATCCAGGGCTTAGTGCATTGTCGTCACCTGCTCAAACTGAGATGGGGTCTAAGCCTCAGGTTCTTTTCGAGGCTGCTTATGGGATGGGACAGACCTGCCGAAAGGGTTTGGGGTCTCAAAGGTTGGCCAGGTTCCTTCGCATGCTGGGCTCACGCTGTTAGCATCGGTTTTGGGCTGCTTGGCACCGTCCGGGCCCCTGCATCGCTTTTACACCTATAGTCCTATAGTCTCCATTGTAGTTCCTTTTGTTGCTTAACCAAAATCTCTATTATAGGATCCTAACCATAAAACTGGTTAACCGAAAAAGGAACTACAATGGAGACTCTAGGCAGCAAGCGCCCCTGAAATACGGATTTACGTTGCCACAAAATTGGTACGGGCCTGCATGTTGCTATCAGAGGGATTCTACGGAAACTCATGTAAGGACCTGGAGGCATAAACATACCCCTTATAGTCATTAGACCATCTTTAGTACGGTTTGCTGCAAAACCCGCTTCTAATTTGGTACTTGGGTCTACTTGGGGCGACGGGTGCCAGAATGGGAGTGCCTAGTGGATGGTGCCACATACCGTGGCTAATCTTCTCCGGGGTATTTTGAGAGCATAAGAACACTAGCGACAAGAATGAACAGAGGCCTAAACCCCAGACCCTGAGACTGTTATCGAAACAAAGCGCTCCACGAGAGAAGGATCTATGGGGAGGTGGTGCAGCGATGGCGGGTGGGCCAGGGCGCCGTTCTCCAGAAATGGCCGACGAAGCAGCTGGAAGAGTATGGACCCTTTGTCGTCGAAGTTGTGTTAGTTTTGCTGCTTCTTTGGGAATAAATGTCTGTAAATGTGTCTGTATATGCACACCCACATACAGCATACATACATACATGCACGCATGCGTGCATACACACACATATGTATATATATATATATATACTTTTGATTTTTTACTTATGTATATAAACGTATGCCAGTATGTACGTATGTACGTTTGTATGTATACCTGTATAATTGTATGCCTGTAAAACCACTGCGCAAAGAATCCGAGTGACAAGATGGCAGCATTGCTCATGGCTTGGACGTGGCCGGCACCACAAAGTTAAATCACACCAAATGCCGGGGTGGGGGGGGGGTGTATCTACACTGATACAAGCGACACTGATACAGCGGAAACAGAATATCTCAATCTTTCAACCAAAGAATTCAGTACTAATAGGAGACATGAGCTCCGTGCCGCGGACGCCACGTCGTCGCCTTCACAACTCCGTGCATAGTCCAGCTCTCTACTATGTTCGTGTCTTGACCGTTCATGAACTCTTTGTGCAGTGCACACAAGACTGCCGTATTAGTCTGCGCTGGTGCACTTGTCCCACGCGTCATGACGTTTCATGTGTTGACAGTACGGTGGACGCAACATTTAGACAGTAGCCCTTATACATATATATATATATATATGTATGTATATAGATACATACATACAAATACATGTACGTATGTATCTGTATACCAAAGAGACAAACGTACATACACACACAGAGACATACAACCATACACACATACTCACACACACATACACTCATACATACCTACATACATTGTTAGATATACACATACATACATACACACATACATACCAACATACAGACACAGACATACACACCAGTTCTCTGTTTTACGAAAGTGACAGATGTTTATACTATGTCTGGCCTGCCGCCTGAGCACACAAGGTCCATGGTTCCTCTACCTGCTCTTCCTTGCAATCCTACTTTGGGAGGCCAAGACTTGCATGCGTGTTTAAGAACAGATCTATAGTCCTCCTAAATGCAGTGCGATTTAGTTCAGAGTCGTCCGGGAGGTGTTTGGACTTCCGACAGTCAGGATGTTCTAGGATCTCGTCGTCCTTTGACGGTCTGTTCGCTGTTGTAAACTGCATTCCCTTGTGGGACTTGATCATGAACCACTTTCAGAACCAAAAACCAGGGAGCTTGCAATTCGAGCACTATGTATTGTTTTTCGACTTACCCCCGATTCAAACCTTCGGGCATTATTGGAGCGTCAGGTTAGCGAGCTGCAGTGGGTTGGGCTAAATCCCAAACTAATGCCGAACCCTGAACGCAAAGATCCCTTGAACCCCTCTTCCTGTCAGCCCACAAGCTAGAAGCACCCTTCACCTCCTCACATTCGGGACGCCTCACAGGAGGGTCCTCATTTGAGACTTGTCTCCTCGTTTATGCGACTCGAGTTTACCAGCTCTGTTAGCCGAAGGAGCTTTGGGTGCTGGAGAACACAGCGTACTTGTCCTCATGGCTTCTCTTGCTCATCACGTTTGGCGCCATGGTGGGCTCCTGGTTCTATGAGCGGCGTGTTTGGTGCCGCTATCTGTGCCCTATCGGTGGCATGAATGGCCTTTATGTTTCTCGGCTGGGGATGGCTATTGTTAAAAGAAAACCTTGTTTCCGGAATACCTGCTGCTCATCGCCTCACTTGCCAGTCCCGCTCGTGTTCGAGATATCGATCACCTTTCGCCAGTGCACTTGCCCACTGGCAGTCCCGTAAACGATAGACCTGATCGCCCCGCTTGCGCGCCACTTGCCGTATTTGCGCCAGGGTTCAAGGTTTCGGGCGAAGAGTTTCGGTCAGCGGCCGGGTGCTTCCGGCAAGTATAGGGCAACTGCGGCGCCAGTGCGGCAATTGCCCGCAACTTGAAAGTGGATGAAGTCGATTTCAACAAGTCGGTACCCGTAAGTTGGGCAAGGGCACGTGGCAGCACACCGTCAGGGGTTCTAGTTTTCCTGCAGAGTACTTATGTGGATGAATCCAGTCCTGGCTTTGCAAATCTGCTGGGACTGCACGTCAGTCTGCTGGCCAAAACCATGCTAGCTCACGAGGCATCGATGCAAAATTGTAACATCTAACGGGTTACGTCGTGAGAACCGGACAAAGATGAACAAAGCGGCTCGGGCAGTCAAGCTATCAGAACCCATCAGACTTGGGCTTCACTGGCGCACATGTCGCTTAATCCAAATCCGTTAACTCATGCCGAAGCTTCTCACCGTTTCTTCGCACAACAAAACAGCAACAGACCCTTATCCTGTAGGTCCTACAGCCGCTACCCACAAACACGCATACCAGGCGCTCAAGTTCCTAGACCTGACAAGAGTTTCATGATAAGGAGCCAGTCCCAGGCACTGTTGGCACTGACGGAAGTCCGATCGCAACAGGGCGAGTGCAAGGCATCCAGTTCCTTTTGCCAAGAGTTCTCTGCAAAGTGTTTAGCTTCTTCTAAATTTCTGTTGGGGCCGCTGGAGTTTCCTGGAGTATCATGGGGATGAATGGTGTTGTGCAAAGCTTGCTCATGATTCCCCGTCAGAGCACATCACAACTGAATCAGAACCCAAAGCCGCGCACCCTGAACCTTCGTTGGTGGGTGAAACAGTGAGAGCACGGTCACGAAAGTCTATGCATGCATACATACACTTAAACCTCCCTATAACTGGCAGATAGGTCAGTGTCAGATATATGTATATTGTGTATAAATATACACCCACACACTTGTTTGTTTGTTTGTTTGTTTTCTTGCTTGGTTGATCGTTTGCTTGTTTGCTTGTTTGTTTGATGGTTTACACAGACACAAGGTACATAGTACATATTTACATGCATATGCTACACAAATGTATACATACATGCGTGCATGCACACTTGCAAAGAAACATACATGTGTAAATAGAAATACACACACACAGAGTTATCCGGTACATGTGAGTCTTTTCTGAAATAGATGGATATGACAGAGACAGACAGGCACGGACAGACACAGACCGACAGGCACAGACATGGACACCGACACCAACACAGACAGAGACGGAGACAGAGAGACAGACCGACGACCTGGTGGCCAGGCAGGCAGACAGACTGACGAACAGACGGATGCTTTCGGATTCGAACTTACTCGCCCAAACTGTTCGGACTTTCTGCGGGCTCCCTAACGCAGAGTTTCCACATCGAGTAAAAAGCCTTCAAACTTTAAACACTCCATTAGGATGATCTCAAGCGTCCTTCATGAATCACCATACGGCTATTCTAACGGTTGCCATATATTCCAGAGCGTCGGCCTTCACTGCTCAGCGCGAGGCTTCTTGCGATACCTTCCACTGCTACAAAGGAGGCCCAGCAGAAGGGGAGGGACAGGAGACTCGTCTCACATTCCCAAAACCTTCCTATAGTCTCCATTGTAGTTCCTTTTTTTGGTTAGCCAAAAGCTCTATTATAGGATCCTAACCATAAAATTGGTTAACCAAACAAAGGAACTACAATGGAGACTATGGGTATAACTTGAGAAGCCTATGTGAAACCCAGAATGTGTTGTACCGCCCTTTCTAAACTCCATGTAAACTCTAGTTTTGCTCTGAGATTTCCTGCGTTCAACATCTTGGGTTGTAACGAACTTGGTGGGGCCTTGGATTGGCGGCCTCGGGTCATGGGCTTAGGGTTTGAGGTTGGGGGTTTACAGGTTTAGGTTGTGGGCTTAGGGTTGAGGGTTAGGGCCCAGCTGCCCAAAAGGGTTGAGGGTTGAGGCATGTCCCGAGAAATCGACACTTTACGTAGTTTGCACCGAAGGTAAGATCCTGGCTATCACTGAGCTCGCCTTTTGGGCCCCCCCATCTATGGCTATTATGAAGAGGATCACGGCTTGCACTCAACATTGTTTACGCAATGCACTGTTTAAGGTCGGGGGTGCCTTGACTCGCTGAACCCAGCGCCGAAATTTCTTGCGCCGTTTCAGAGGTGAAAACCCACACAGGAACTTGAACCGTGTGCGCGCTGCAACAAAAAGGCTGAGCCGGCGAGGCTCTTGTACATCACAGATGTCTTGCCAAGCCCTGACCTGCCTTGCAATAGTATGGCGTAGGCAGGGAATTTCGGGATTCCCGGCATCCACGAAAGCGCAGTGCACAGCTAAGGAAACCAACGGCTGTCCGCTCTATTCGCACCCTGCAAGCCTGAAGGACAACAAGACTCTTCGCTGGGTCCCGATATACCGTGACCCTTAAACCCCTAATTAAACCAATCCTAAACCTATAATGAACCCAATCCATCCTTACCCACCAGTACTGGACAGGGTACTTCCTCTCATACACAACGACCCCCACCCAAGCGAGTTCGGGGGACTGCTGGTGGTTTAGGTTGTGGGTTTAGGAGACGGCATGAATCTCTTCCACCCCAAGGGCCCAAGCTCTCACTAGTCTCTCCTGTAGCGCGTCGGTACACTCGATGGCTGAAACATGCGAAGCGCTGTTAAAGAAAGCAGAGTCGAACACGACACCGGCTGAGCCGGGATCAGCATGAAGCCTTGGCTCAGAGGCCTTCAAACCAAACCATTCAGAATCATGAAGTATTAGGCCAACTTGCACTCTGAGCTCCAGCTCCACGTGTCACCCTTCAACCCCGAAGCGGAAAATCCCGAAAGCCCAAACGCCAAAAAGTTTAAACACTCAAACCATGACAATGAGCCTGCTATTACGGAGTGCTGTGCATGCTTTTGTATCCCCGCCGAAATGGATGGGATGAAATCATGAGCAGCCAAGGAACTGCGTTCTTTGCTTCACTTGCTTGAAGGCATGCCCTCATCGCACAGTGCAGGTGGACCTGGGTCAGAAGTGTCAACTGAGCTTAACTGAGGGACTTAATGAGAGGTGTTACAGGGCGCTGTCCTTTCTGGACGTTTCAGCGTGCTTCGGGGCCTCAGAGGTATTTTGGGTCTGTAGAACCCACAAGCCATATGCCTTGGGCTTTCGGGTGTTGGGGTTTCGGCGTGCAAAGCTTTCTGGGCCTCATGGCATCGTGTTGGGCAATATGGGAACTGCCTCAAATCGCAAGCCAGTGATCCCGCTGATTTAAACATGCTTCGTCAACACGAAAAGGGGAGCCTGTCGATATGAGCGTGCAATCTTGAACTTCAAGCCAAATCCCCAAAGCCCTGACACCTTCTAGGACAAATGTTGTACGCAGTGCAGTCTTCTTGGTGGGGTCTCGCAGATGCAAACTTCGGATCCCTTTCGAAACCTGAGCTATAGGATGCTGTATGAGGTGAATTTGCGTGCTCCCGGCATAGACTTCGGCTCCCGTCTCAGCATGGGAGGGAGTAGTTGGGCCTCGTTCCTTTTTTGGGTTGAGGGTCTAGGCGGACAAGCGGTTAAGGATTGAAGGAACAGTGCTTCGTGTTGAGATGTTCTGCTGGGGAGGAAGTTTAGGCTAGGGTGAAGGATGGATGCATCGATGATGAGAATATCGTCTGTATTGCATAACAGGTTTCAAGTCCTGAAGAGCGTCTTGGCCCTGCAATGTTCGACCTTATACATCCGTTGCATGGCTTTGGGCCCGTGGTGCTTAATCACGAGCCGAATGAAACCTATGTTTTCACGTGCCGGGATCGATCGGTGTGCTATGATTTTATGTTTTGTAGAGATCGACCCAGAGCCACTCAAGTAGCCCGAATCTTAGGTACTGGGTTAAGGGTAGCTGAGCCTAAATCCGAAGCCCTGCCGGAACCATCCGCAGCCACTGGCTGACAGCTGGCAGTTTGACTAGCCGGTGCATCATTTGCCAAAAATGAAGCTCGTGGTGCATCTTGTCTGATCTGGTGCGATGCTAAACCCCCAAACCCTAAACCCGTAAACCCTAACCCCCAAACCGTAAACCCCCAAACCCTAAACCCCTAAGCCCTAAGCCCAAGCCTCACTTAAGGAGCCTGGAGCCCCGAGCTGGACAGCATATTGATCGATGCAAGATCACATTTTAACAAGCATCAGAGCTCTTGAGTGTCTCTGTGTGTGTGTGGGTGTTGTCTCCGACGTAAAGATCAGCATCCACCAGAAGAGGCTCGTAAAAATCCCATGCCATCAGGCCCTAAGCCTCATGGCAGCTTTCGAACATCAACCCTGTCTGAAACAAGTAAAATAAAGGTTAATACGCTATGCAAAACCTCAAATATACTCAAACCCCGCAGTTTCCCGAGCTTTGAGGCTTTCTATCTAGACCCCAGGGAAATTAGTGTTTTTGCGTTCGCCCGTTTCGGGTCTAAGAGGGTCTTATTCACGGATATGTCTGGAAGGTCAAACTGAGGAGCCGAACATGTAAACCTTACCCTATGGCCCTAAAGTAGTTCTTTTTCGGGGTCGATATTTAGAATCCTATTAGGTAATCCTAAAAAGGAACTACTTTGGGCCTCTGGGTAGACTCTGCACCCCAAAACCCCAAACGGAAGGCTGGGCTTCAAGGGTTCAGGCGCCTCGTTATAGGGATCAACTTGGAAGCCTAAACGCTTAAAGCCCCAAATCCTTGTCCGAGTGCAAGCCCCGAAACCAAGGAAGCCTTAAAGCCTAAGACCCCGCAACTCCCAAGCCCAAATCCAGCACCCAGAAATGTAATTCCCTCGCGGGAACCACCGGAAGTACCCTTCACGGAACCCTCAAAGCCCTAGAGAAACCCTAAACCCTGATGGCCCAAGGCCCCTCAAAAATCACCCCCCCAAAAAAGAACTGACAGCCTGAGATTTCTTGACAAGTCCACACCCTAAACCACAAAAGCCTTGTTGAAAAGACCTTGCCAGGCTTTGTCCGAGTGTGAGTGCCAAAAACCACAAAAAAACCCTAAACCCTAAACCCGAAACTGAGGTTTGCTGACGGAAAAAGGTGCTTAAAAAAAAAAAAACCCGAAACTGAATGCCAAAGGTACCTTCAGGTCTTGAGCTTGGTGGGGGCTCTGAACCTGCGGGGCACGCAGGAGATCCGAGACTGAGGTGGGTTTATGTTTCTTTGCATTTTGGGTTTTCGGGGTTTAGGGTTTGGGCGTATAGGTTTAGGGGTTGTTTGGGTTTAGTGCGTCTTTTCAGGCTTGGTGTGTTTGTTTAGGTGTTTTATAGTTTAAGGCTTAGGCAACAGATGCTGTCATGAGGGTGTAGGGTGTAGCCCAAACGGTTTTGAGAAGGTCTAGGGCTGACATAAGAGAAAAGCGCTTCCAAGTTTTTGGTGTGAATAAACGGTTTAAGTTTTGGTGTTTAGAGCAAGTTTAAGCCGGGTTCGGATTGGAGCGACCCCAAGCTCAGTTGCAGTTGAGCTAGGAATGCTGAGTAGACCCGCCGCCTCCGGGGCTGTGCAAGCGACCCTGGACATCTTGTCTCTTGTTCGAATAGGTTCCTTCATCGCCAAGCTTGGTTTGCAACATGCCTTAAGCCACCTGGGGATTTCCGAAAATAGGGGGCCCTTGTTTAATACCCTAAATAGTAGGATCCTTATTATCAGGACCCCAAAATAAGGTACCCCTAATTTTCGGAGACTCCCACCTGAAACTATAAAACCAACACCACGTGCACTTGGAGCCGAACGACCATTGTCCCCTTGCAGCTTACCCTAAGGCCCCAAAATAGCTCTTTTTGGGAATACCTAATAGGATTCTAAATATGAACCCCAAAAAGGATCTACTCTAGGGCCTTAGGGTAGTGCTGAGAGTGGCAGGAGACCAACGTGACTCAAGGCAGGGGCCGCCAAAATGCCCCAACTTACCTTTGGTTAGTAGGGAATGGAAGGGGCCTTATAAGGGATCTATAGGGGTACTACAATATATGGGCCTTAATAATCCTCTAACTTACCTTTGGGTAGTAGGGAATGGAAGAATGGTAGTAATAGTAGTTATAATTGTGTACCCCATTCCTCCATTCACATACTAACCAAAAGTAAGCCAAGCCCAACAGCACCCCAAACCCCGGTTCATAGGTTGAGATTCACGATGTCGGGAGTCTCTTTCCACGAGGTGCTGCGGGTCTCAGTCAGTAAATCAACCGACACTCCGTTCTTGCAGTGGAGTGGGCAAGACGCGATTCAGCCCAGACGTGCAAGCCTGAAAGCCTAAACTGCTGTGTTGCGCGTGGCATGGAGATGTGGCTTTCTGGGGCGGAAGCCGTAATTCTATGAGCTGTCGCTAGCACACTTCAAGAAGGCAAGGTAAGTTCGCTAGCACACTTCAAGAAGGCAAGGTAAGTGAATGATTATGTCGCAACTTGTCGGGCAATGTTCAACTCGAAAACCCCAAGTGCACACTGCAAAGGAATGTCCTCAATCCTAAGCCGATGCCAGCTTAAGCCACAGACCAACAGCCCCAACTGTCGGTCGACCTGAATGCCAGAGCAGGCATGCCAGCGCCTGCAGTGAGCACGAACGGTAAGACAATTGATGTCAGCGCCTTCTCCGACGCCTTCTCCAAGTCCTTTCGCATCAAGTGCAAGGTGGGAGTTCCCGAAAATAGGGGTACCTTGTTTTGGGGTCCTTATAATGAGGATCCTACTATTTAGGGTACTATTTCAGGGTCCCCTATTTTCGGAAAACTCCCAGGTGAAGTTTGATGCCATGAGCCTTGGCAAGCAGTTTAGTAATGTTGTCCCCGAAGGTTTCCCGAGAATATTAACTATCGAATATAGAGCACCCCCCACTGGCACTGGCGATGCCTACCAGGACCTCTAAGTCCGATGACGATGACAACTAAGCTGCTCAGACACTCAGACAGGCTTTCTGAGCAATGTAAAAGTACATGTTAGTATACTATGGACCTACAGACGGGGTCGTTTGAAATCATGGCTGTGGTTTTGGTCCGCGGGAGCCCTCCATGTCTTGCGTGCCCCATAAGCCGAAGCTCGCATGAGCCCTCTGAGCCCATCGAGCCTTTCTTTCAGCCTTGCCTCAAGGGTTAGGTGGTAGAGCCTCTCGCCTTAAATCAATCATCCGGATTGCCTTGCGAGACTCAAAAGTCCAAACCTTCTGCAGGTTTTCTGAACAGTTTCAGGTCCGGACTCGGGCTTTAGGTTTAGGCTGTGTTTGCAGCTGGAGGGGTGGTCGCACGGAGGGACGAGCGCAGTTCTCAGGGTTGTCGGGCGGAGTGTAGTGCATTCTAGGTTGATTTGCTGCAATAGTCCTGAACTGGTTTGCAGCCCTCATCACCTTTCCGGGAAACTATACCCATGTTTGCGATGCTGCAAGGAGTATCACCCTAGGACGCGAAGTTCAGAAACCCTAGCCGCTCTCGGGTGCGGGCTCGGCCCTAGCCAATGCCCCAAAATTCTACGGGGGGCTAATGTAGACCGATAGGGTAAGCCTCGTTCATAGCAGTTTGGGAGGAGGTCGCCACTTTCATGTAACAACGAGGCTCGACCTCCCTAACCTCTACTCTACGCCCCTAAGTATACAATTTTGTGTACTTACTCTGGCGTTTGGGGTCGACGATCTGCAGATATACCTGATGTTGAACCCCAGGGTGAGGTTGGAGTCGAGGGGCTCCAGCTTCAGGCTCAGGGCTACAAAGTTGCCCCTAAACCCTAAACCGTAGGATGGAAACAAACCGTAAAAAGGGCCGTTCAAAAAAAAATAAACCGTGTTCAAAGGCCCCACTAAATCCTAGTCCCCATAAGCCTTAAACCCGAGACCCCCCCAAACCCTGAGCCGTTGCAAGGGTTACCTGCCTTTGAAAACCAGTGGCTAAAGGTTCCTGCTTTCAAGAAACTTCGCTTCAGTTACCCTGATAGGGGTTTAGGGCTCAGGTTGCCTAATCGTATATTCTGTACCCACAGTAACCCATTGTTAGGTAACGGGAGCTCTTCGGCAAGGCTTAATTCGGGGGTCTGCGCTTTCGAAGTCCGAGCGCCAACGCAGGAATGCCAACTATCCGAACATCTTCCATGGACTGAGTGCTTCAGGCGGTGCTTTGAAAGTCCTTAATATGAGAATAGGGTTTTGGGGCCCACTATACTGTAATTATAATTATAGCAAAGAGCCCCTCCCAAGGACCCTGACATTGAGGGTTTGTGTTGAGTTCGCATGTTTTCTGAAACCCCCCTGCGACTTGAGCATGGCCTGCGAAGTCTAGGTGACTTGGGGCTACGGCTAGGGGGTCTTGTTTGGGGTGTGGGGCTCGGTTCCGGGGCACGTAGGATTTAGGGTTTGAGGCTTTGCTCAATTCAGTTTGGGCCGGGCAACTCGTGGTATTTAGCGCGGTGCATGGCGCGCACGTGTGCGCAACGCTGCAATGGCATTACGTGCCGTGTCGTGTTAGTGGGCAGCCACCATTGTCCCCACATGATGCGCATGTTACACTGAAAATGAGCACCCTGTCGTTGCACAATGTGCACCTGAATCTGCAGGGATCTGCTCGACCTGCGTCATCAGTCGTGAAAGCTCGTCAAGTAGACCAGATTTGGGTCTCAAGGCCTTGCAAGGAGTACACTATGGCAGGCAATGTGTGCACAGTGGACTGTTGTCTTTCGTGAAATACTTGCATGATATATAGCAGTCGCTCAACACCGAAGTCTTGCTTGGTGCATACCAGCTTGCTTACCTGCTGCTGCGTTGTCCTGCTTATTCGGCCTGCCGGGGTATTTGACAATGAGATATACAGTAATTTACTTTGTCCTTCGGCAGCGGAAGGCCTAAACCCGGCAAAGCCCTGAACCCAAGACTCACCGACTCTGCATTTCTTGCAGAAGGCGTGCTTCTAGTTGAAATATCAGAAGGGTTGGCTGTAAACCCAAACTTCCGCCAATGCACCAAACTTCCCAAACACCTCATATTCTCCCTGAGCTCTGTACAGTAGTGTAAAACACGCCGTGGTCAGATGATGTCGTATTCACCAGCCACGGCCTGGGTCCTGTCTACGGCGGCAAGAGAGGCAAAGCGTGTTTCTACTCGCAGAGCCTTGGTTTGTTGGTACGAAAGACTGCTTTTGTTTGGGGGGTTTGGTGAGTGCATACAAGCTCCTTGGGGAGAGCGGTCAGTGCAGGTTTTTGCAAGATGTACTTCTGCGGATGATAACCCTACATCATTTTGAGCTTCAGGTTCACATGCCAGGAGGTGAAGTTAGTCCATGAGTGTACCTTTCCCTTGAGCTTGCACTCGCTTTCTCGAGTTCGGACGAATAGTCAGCTCGCCGGGTAGGAGATAGACTTTAGCGGATATGGGCTTCGACAGGAGCCAGGCAAGGGTGTGAAGTGCGGATCGTGAGCAAGGTGGTCAGGGCTCCTGCTGTGTGTGAATTCGACTCTACTGTTCAGGGCTTTACGGTTTTGACATCCCAACTTTCATAGACATGCATCTGTCAGCAGCTGAGCGCTAGAGGCTACCTTTACCTTCCTTTGTGCACAGCATCTCCACGCCGCCGTCAGCATAACCTCATGTAACATTCTACAGTGCCACAGCCCTGTTCGCAATGACTTTCTCCTCCGGAGGTTTAGGGCTTCAACGTCCGGAACGGCGTAAGGTCCATACCTAAGCGTGACCTTATAGAGTCATCTAGTTATAGAATCCATTCTTAAGGTAAACCCGATAAAAGGTACACCCTTCAAGCCCTGCGTAATGGCGCCTGAGGACGAAGTCTGGTATGGGACCTCATGGTAGGGGCTTGGATGCTCCCGGAGGCAAGTGGGATCTGTCATATTCACAGGGTTCATTACCAGGATCTCAAAGGCGTTTAAATACGGTTTGAATAGGAATTTGATAGGGATCTGTCTTCGACCACTTACCCATCAACCCTCCCCAAAAAAGCAGTTTTCAGCAACCAGCGCCCAAATCCCAGTTTAAGTTGGGACAGGTACTTCCTTTAGTGCTTCATTGGCCTGCTGATAGGCTTCAGATAGGGCTTTAAATAGGTTTTCAAACCTATATGAAGCCTATCACCTAAATTCCTATAGGATTTAGGGGTTCGTTTTTTCTGTATTCAGGTTGGATCGGGACCAGCAAGCGCATGGATGATGGCAACTGGCACGTCTTTGAGCTCGTGAAGACGGGGACCGACAAGCCTTGGGGTTCTACGCACTGCCTAGACTTCGCATATAAGGACTTTGAGGGGGCACTTTAAGACTTTGAGTATGCATGGGGTCTGGTTGAGGTCATTCTCGCATGAGTGGCGTACGCTGTCGGGGATGGCCACGCGTGTAAAGCTCAATGCAGTTCTGAAGTTCTTGACTGACACATACATGCATGTAGTGCTTGTTTTTCGTGATATGGGAGCTTTGCCACCGTGTTCCATGGGGTTAGGCCTTGTAACGGAGCTTCATGAAGAGTCACAATGTGTATTGTGTATTGCATGCCATTGCCTCGTGAGCGTCGTAAGAAACGAGGCTCAGACCCTGAAAGTTCTGGCATACTCTATGGATTAAATTGAATACATACATCCCTAAGCACGATATCTGCAAGCATCTCCCCAGCAGTCTGCGGTGAGTTCTTTAAGAAACGGCTTGCAGGGCTTTGGCGAGGAGAATCTCGTGGTATTGTAGCGCCTTGGGGGTTGAGGGTTGTGACACAGTGTTCGGCCTGGACTATAGGATCTGGTCAGTTTTTAACTTCAAAGGTTCGGCTTTCGGATACCCTTGCAACCTCAGTTTGCAAAGCCAAGCTCCTTCGGTTTAGGGCTTGCAGGATCCAGGTTTTTGCTTGGGAGAGACAGAGAGAGAGAGAGAGAGAGAGAGAGAGAGAGAGAGAGAGAGAGAGAGAGAGAGAGACAGAAAGAGAGGTGACCCGTTCCCATGCCCTGGAGAGAGAGAGAGAGAGAGAGGGCACGCGTTGATCGTACGTGAGCGGACTGTTAATGCTGGCCGCCTGAGCTCGAAACCCACCCTACCTTGTCCGGAAAGAGTGGATGACCCGAGTGGCAAGTGTCAGGAGTGTGTCAGGGGTTTGCAAGGTCATGGTTTAGGAGGGGTGTTTTCGGGGAGGGGGGGGGGGGTTGCCAACACTGACACTCGGAGGAATACTTTTTTTTTGTCTGCAGAAGGGGCCGAGAAGACTGACCGCCGCGAACCTTGGGGGGGTAGGCCTTCGGGCCCCCTGCGCAAGCAAGCCAGCAAGAGGGTGCCCTGTCTGTTTTCAGCTGTACTCGCGGTTCCCCAGGGACTCCTGCTTGGCTGCACACGAGGCCAAGACTTGGTTTTCGGCCTGTCGGGCAACTCTAACTCTAACGAATCTTTAAGTCCCTTTTCGATCCTGGGAAGGTAAGTGAACGCTGAGGGTGGTGCCTTCCCCCAGTCCATATCTCTTTCAACACCGCCTTGAGCCTAAAGCTCGGTTTGTACTATAAGACGGGCCGCTGAGCCACCCTCCACTTCTCCCCCCCCACGGGCACCCTGAAGCTTCTTCAACACAAGCCAAAGGGGCTGTCGCCCTGCCAGCAGCATGGACGGCTGCATTTGCCGAGAGCAGTCTATACGGGGACAACCCCGGCCCCATCTTTTGCAGATGACAGCCTGCTGTCTGCCTCTTTCTGCATTGTCCCTTTCTGGCACCCGCAACAGTCGGGGGCGCACTGGCACGCGGTGAGGCGGCAAACCCCTTCACCATAGCCCTGACGAAACAAAGAAAGAGAAAGAATGAACCTTTAGAGAGAGAGCGACACACTCGTCATAAACTCTTACTTCCCCTCAAAAGCCCAATATGGCCGGGCCAAGTGCCCGCAGGGGTTAACTCTTCCTTTATGCCTTCGAGAAGAAGAAGAGAGAGAGAGGGAGAGAGAGAGAGAGGAAGTTAAGAGGTACAGAGGCCCTCTATCCCCACATCCTTGATGAAGCTGTGCCCGAACACCTCTCCAAGCATCTAGAGTTTCCAGAAAGCCGTAGGCTTCTGAACCCTAGATCCCCAGAGCTAAACCTTTTGCAGGACGAACGCGCAGATCATCCTCGACGGTGAAAAAGTCGAAGCAGGAGTGCCGCAGATTGGCACACGAGATTCAGAGCCTCCCGCATGGGAGTTGAAGGGATGCAAGTCCTAAGTGGTTTTCGATGTCTCCGAGCGCGCGAGCCATTGAGCGAAGCAGTTCAAGACAAACCAAGCCATGTAGCAACGCCCAGAACGAAGCACCCCCGCCACCTTAGGCATAGGATCTCAACTTTAAAAGGGCACATCCTTGATGAGCTCAAGCTTTGGACTTAGACGAATTCCGCAGTGATGCTCTCGGCATCCCAACCCCCAGCAAGCCAAAGTATCCCAAACCGTAAAATTCCGAGACGCTGCAGATTCCCGCCGGAGACAACCCCGGATCCAGCCCCCTCTCTAGATCCGAAACAGAGCGCACTTTATTTTGTGAAGGCCAGGAGAACTCCCGCCGATTGCGGAGACCTTCGTTGGGTTTTTGTTTTAAGCTTATAAGGCATACAGTACCGCCGTTAGTATTGTAGAGATTTGGATTCAGGACCTGGGACCTAGGCCCAGGCATGTTCATGCAAGAGTTCTCGAGGACTTCCGAGTGGCAAGACGGCAGAAGACTTCATCCTCAGGCCTGTTGCAACCGGGGTTCAGAGCTTAGGGTTTAGGGTTTGAAGCATGCGAGGCCATCAGCTGGCAGGGCTTCCAGCGCAAATTGTTTAGGCTTGGGCTTCTTCGTGCACATGTTCAGTGCTCTGTGCTTTGGTGCAGGGTTTGCAGAAGTCGAAAGAGGGAGCTTCTAGAAGTCCTTGTCAAGGCTCGAAACCCTTGAAGATCCCTGATAGAACCCCTTAAGTCTCATGGCAGAGCAACTAATCCGTAAGAGCCCACGAGCCAACAACTTTCTCGATCTTAGACCACAAACTCGTAGAGCCCTTTCTTTGGGATTCAGGGTACCCGAGATGGTGTAGGGACGTAGTACTTGATTGTTAAACTGTTCGTGCATTTTCGGTGTGGGGACATGTGGAAGACATTCACATGAGCGGGAAAGGAAGCCACACTCAACCTAAACCCGAAGCTAAACCCCACAACTCTCGCAGCAACAACGTAAGGCCATGAACTCCATCCATATTATTCTCACTTCTGAGCCTTCTTACAGAGTTCCGGATCCTCAAAATAGTCGTGTACGATCCTAGTTGCATGGAGCTTCAAAAACAAGGTGGCCTTATTCTGATACACAAGCAGCCACATTGCAGGCACTCTCACGATTCGGGGGGCGGGGGGAGATATGAAGTGACGTATTTGTGGTGGCCGACCATAAACCCTGAAGCTTCTAGAATTCGATAAGCCATACCTTAACCCTGAAGGACCTACCTTTTTAGGACTCACATAGGGAAATCGTAATAAGGAACCCTGAAAAGGTAGGTTATTCAGGGTTAAGGTAGACCATAAACCTTCGAAGCTTCCGTTTTTTCTGGTTTGCCGAGCTTGAACCTCTGGCGACTCCGAGGCCCATCAAGTCAATCCAGGCCATCAGTGGACTTCATGTACGGGCTTTCGGTCCGGGTTTAGGGTTTAGGGTTTAGGCTTTGAGATGAGGTGCAGAATATTCGAGTTCGCCAGGGGTCTGACGACAGGGTCGTGCTCTCGGGAATCTTGTGGTTCCTGTCATGGCTTCAGGGGTTTGGAGTTTGGTATCGGCTTCGGTTTTTGGGAATTCGGTTTTGGAACCATCGAAGGTATGTTGAAGCTTCTTCGGCAACGATGGCAAGGAGTAGTCCAAAGTCTATAGCCAGCAGGACTTCTAGGTTACAAGGCTGTAAGCCCGAAGCTCGACTCCAGAAAAACCAAAGTCCTTAAGCCACAAAGACCCTTACCAAGCTAAGCCGTGATTTCAACATCACGCCGAAACCACAAACCGCTGCAAGAACCTCTAGCACTCGCCGCGAGCAGCAGAGCCCCAGCCAGTGGCCAGAGGTATTACTAAATTCACGGTTGTTGTAGCTTGGGTTTGGCGCATTTCCGAGTTCACGGATACGTTACATCTGCGCGTCGCGTTCCGTATCAGGTGGGAAGTGCCAAAAGCTCCGGCTTCAATGGTGACATTGGCGACGTGGAGATTCACGCGGGCTATGCCAACAAGCTGGTATCGGGCTCAGGCTACAACAACTCCACCATTCCAACTTTTCGATCCAGATTCTTCAACCAAAGCCCAATATCCAGTCAGCCCCTGATTGAGCTAGGATATGTTATTTGTTGGCTCTGTCGGCAGCCGGCTTGAAGCCGTAAGCGGGTACAGGGCTTCCAGATGTAGGAGCTTCGAGGCGGAGGCATGCAGCACATCGTGCCTGCCTACCATCAGAAACGGGCATTAAGAATTTAGGGTTCAGGTGAATTTTTCAGGGAGCCGTCAATACATCTTTCGCAAGCACGGCAGATATCCGCGGGTCGCATGGTTTGCAGAGGTTGGAAACAAGGACTTGCTGCAGCCTCCATAGAACTACGAAGAACAGCAAGGAAGCACGGTGTTTTCGAGATGCGGCAATCATGCAGTAGCTTTTGCACGGTCGGGAAACACCGAGCCGTAATTCAGAGCAGTCGTTGGCCTTCAGATGCATAGACATGCTGTGTTTCTACATTGGCAGGATTCGGAGGCACACAAATGCTGTGACAGCTCTAGTATGGCGCAGTGACAGTGCGAAAGCTCCGATATGTAGGTTGCAGCATACGCAGCATCCGAGAAGGAAGCAATGTGGCATCATAGAGATATGGATGTGCATGTTTTGGACGTACAGAAATGTGTGCGAAAATTGACACGCTAACGCTTTAACCCCTACCCTTTGAAAGGGTATATAGGGTTAGCTAAGCGTTAGCGTGACAATTTTCGGACAGTCACCCAAGCTTTGCTGGTTCGGCACATGGGTTCAGCTTTCAGCGGAGTTTAGCTCCAGTAGTGGTTCAGAGCCGCCTGGCTCTCAGTTCGTTTACTTCCAGGGTACCCGGCAGTCGCCATAGGCATGGATGCAAAAGAGTTTGGCTTTGTGGACTTGCGTTGTGTGCAGCATGGAAGAAGCTGTGTTGCAAGACTCTTCATCGCCATGAAGAGCCTCAACCTATCTTCCACATAAGCTCACATGGCGAAGTTCTGGTGACAAAGCATTTCGAACCGTTTAACTTGTGGGATTCGGTGCTGTCATGCAAGCTTCCGAACCAGAAGCCGTAGTGGAGAGCCCCCGAATCGTCAGATCCTTGTACTTTGCACACCCACCAAACGAGCCGTACCTCTAAAGCCCCCAAGACCCCGCAACAGTATGAAGATCAGAAGATCAATATAGAGTAGAAACCCTGAATCCAAAGAACCCCAAGCCTAAGCCTCTAAGCACCGAGATCTATTCGGACATCACCTGCAAGGGCGACGGTCTACCGGGCAAAGCGATGCTTGAATTGACTCGGGTTCGGGGTTAGTTAAGGTCTTAGGCCCTAAACTGGTCCTAAACTCGGAGAAGGCGGTAGCCTTCAGGGTTCATCGAAGGCTTACGGTTTACAGGGCTGTGTACTTCACATGAGGGGGCAGGTCGAAGTTTGGGACTACCGGGAACTACATTACGTGACGGCCCCACACAAGACAGAAGCCCCACGTCAGCGACAGGGCAGAGGGTTTGTCCTTTTTTGGGTAGACTTGTTTGTTTTTTTTGATGTTTGGCGGCTCTTCGGTCTGGGGGATTTTCCTCGGGAGCTGGAACCTTCCCCCGCGCTCCCAATCCAAATCTGCAAGCGGTTGTCTCTTTAACAGTTGTTGACTTGCATTGCTTGAGTCTGTCTTTAACCCTATGACCTATGAAGGCCTTGCCTTTGCGAACTAGTGTTCGTGTGTCTTTATATGGAGCCCCAAGTATATTTTCCTAGCAGGATTTTGGCCGAAGGGGGCTATGGAGTTTTCTGTCTATAGGTCCAGGTCATGGGGAAACACACGCACATGTTTGAATACACGCAAACATACATACATGCAGTTCTTAGGTTAAATATTTATGCTGTTGTTGATTTGTTTGGTTGGTTACTTATTCATCTGCTTATGGGTTTTAGTTCATTCGTTAATCCGATGCACTATACATCCTAACCCCCTACTCTTTATGCCCTACATTCCTACATCCCAGGTTTATATAGAGCCAATATAGAGCTCACCAAGTCTGCCCAAGGACTTGCGACGAGCAAGATGTCACGGCCTGCGACGGGAAGTACACCAAGGCCCTCGGGTTGCAAAGACGTCTCGTAAGCGCAGAAGTCCCTGTTTGTTTACATTGGAGGTTGCAGGGGGTCATCGGGGCACGTGGTCATGGCAGCAACGTGTGCAGTAATAAATGGCTTGAGTCAGTTCTTGAGCGTGGCTGTCAAGGTCAGGCAAGTCGGCCTAGTTACAACGACTAATTCGGTTGCAGCGAACAGAGCCTGGCTGGCCTTCTGCATGCCAGCAGATTGTTGATTTGTCGTCGGACTTATTGAGACCAACCAGCTCCACTTCCTACAACTCCAGCTGCTCATTTGTTGGCCCGGTGGTTTGTTCAAACCATGCATGAGGCCTAAACGGTCGAAGTTTAGATACTTCAACCGTCGTCTTGAGACATTCTTTCGGATGGGAAGGTAACCCCAGGTAGTCCTCAATACTCAGAGCTTTTCTTCGGCTTGGGTTTTCATAACTGCTGAACGAAAGGTTATGACCCCATAATTCTAAGGTGTATGGCCCTCTTTGTAAGCATCCACATAATTACAAGCTTACGGCCCAAGGTTCGGGTGTTTGGGGTGCTGGGCCGTGAGCCTTGAGTTAACGGGCTAGGGTCTCTCGAGATCCCCATTATCAAGACCGCTATATTGCTTGTGTAGCGTTGTTACTCCTGCATACTCTATGTGAAGCCCAGCTATATAAGGGATCCCTGCGCCTATAGGTCACGACCTACTCCGGCTCCTACTGCAAAGTCACGACGAGTGAGACGAAGAAGCAATGTCTAGCTGTGGGCCCTGTCTGCTCCATCCCCAGTTGAGCCGGTTCATAGATGGCATTCGTTTAGGGCCGAAGGTTAGTGAAGGTGTTTGTTTCTGATTGACAGAGACATGAGAGTTTGTCTTCAAAGCAGTGGCCCTTAGCCCCAGCACCCGAACGCCCGCCGACAGGCATAATTCATGTAATCGGCTGTACCTTTCTTAAATGAGGGGAGTTTTTCCGGTTGCCGGGTTTCGGGTTGTGACTGAAGTCTTTACTGTTTAGGGTTCGGGTGTTTTGTCATCTGTTTAGCATATAGCGGTAGAGTTGCAACTGAAGACTTTCGTCTTTAGGGTTCGGGTTTTTGCGCTTCATGTGTTTAGCATATTAGGGATGTTGCTGTTTACAGGGTTAGGGTGTAGGCCTCTTGGCTGTCAAGGCATGTTTTGTCAAGTTTGCCGCATTGTCGTGTCGTTTTGGGTCTGATCAAGATGATTGCAGGTCGTAGAGTGGCTATGACTGGCTGGACTTGAAACCAGTAGCCAAAAGGGCGGTTTCTGATTTATAGGCTGCTACCAGCGTGTGTTCAATGAGTTGTTCCAGGCTCTGCGGGTTTAATTGGATGCTCTGAGCATTTCGCATCTTGCATGAAGTCTGAAATTTCCTGTCTAGTAACTGAGTCGAGTATCTCTAAGAACTGGGTTTCCATGAAGTTACTGCGTTCTCCTCAGCGGCGTGTTGTAGAGTTATGTGCCCAATATACCGCATTCAACATGTTCTTGTGTTTCCTAGGGGCTGTGTCTTAAGCATCCTCTCCAACTATTGGCTGGCTGCTATTGGCCGTCAGTCTTCTAGGCACGGGAAACCCCACTCCTAAACCCAGGAATGTAAGAGCACTCCATTCTACAGCCCGGCTGGGGGTGAAGAGAAAGACGTTTGTTGATCGAACACAGACGCGACCGATTCAAAAGCTGTGCGAGTTGGGCTTGCGGGGTTAGGGGTTTAGGTCTTAGGGGTTTCAGGTTTAGGGCTTGTCCGGTTTTGGTCCGAACCGTAAACCTTGAAATTACGTGGTACTTGCAACAACTTCTTTCAAGGAACGTCTGTAGGAACAGTATTGGAAGCCCTTGTTGTGATTTCTACACCTGGTGAAAAGACCCTTTCCTGGGTGCCGATTTGGGTTAAGTTTCATTTCTCCTTCTTGCTTTGTGTAGATTTGGATCCCCCAGGCTTTCATTACGAGGTAAGTTTGAAGATATCGGCATTCGGCTTGAGATTCTGGATGACACAGGGCTCTGTTGGGGGCTGAATTATTCAAGGCTTCTTCATCAGCAACCCCAGAATGTGCGGCTTGCAAGCTTCCACACGAAACCTGGGTATCGAGGGTCTAGATAGAGTCTAGTGTAGGATTCCTCGTCATAGCGAGGTCAAACAGGTATGTCGACTGGACCTTACTCTTTAGTTAATCCATAGACGCTCTGTAGGGTTCGGGTGGCATGCCCGGGAAGAGGTTCCGTGAGGGTCGCGGGGTTCTTGCCAGAGGACATAACGTGCCACTTCTGGCCGTTAGCTTTAGGTATTGTGAGAACCCTGAAGCTTGTTTGTGTTTACACCACATCATCGCGGTTTTTGCGGTATAGATTGCGGCTCTCGGCATGTAGAGTTTCTTAGCGACAGTTAATGTAGACGTGGATCGAAGAAGAAGAGTGGAGGGAGGAGTACAGTCGCTTCCATTGCCACGCCTGCAAGGCTTCCCGTTCTTGTTCCCCATCCCGGGAACGAGCTCGGCAAGACAGCATGAGTCCAGCGCACCCGAGTTGGCTTTGCTGTTCCTGCTCTTGGGTGCCGTGTTCTGCCACCATCTCCAGGACGCGACTGGGGGGGGGGGGTCTTGCAACCCTGCAAGTTGTGAACTTTCATGGTCATGCTGCCTTGGGACCGCCGGAGGAGGATCACAACTTGCAAGGAGCCTTCAATCACTGCGGTTGTTTGAGAGTGAACGCAGGCTTCAACTCTTTAGAAGTTCATGGCACGTTTACTCTGTGGGCTTTTGGCAGAAAGCTGGAAAGTGCTGTTCTGCACCCAAGTAGGCTTGCCTGTGCTCTGAACAATACAGTCCTACTGTAGAAGCATGCAAGAGAGTTGGAACATCACTGTCCGCAACAGCCAAAACCGGAAAAACGCAGGAGAGCAAGCAGGAGACATATTGGTTCCATGTTCCAGCTGTTTGGCTCTACGCCTGTGGGTGTGGCCGAAGGTTTGGGCTTCGAGATTGGGGTTTTGGGGTTGAGGACCTCAGATGTCTAGACTGAGCTTCGGGAGTTGAGTGGAGGGCATGCCATATCTTGGCAGACAGCAGGATGAATCCCGGCACATTCACCTGAAATGTCAATATGGGCTTACGTACGCTTTGCATGGCCAATCCTTGAACCGAAAGCCGACATGAAGCATTCTCTGAATGACCCATAAAGAAGAACAGTTGTATGGCCTTTCACAGATCGATGACATCGTATACAATCCTGTTCACGGTGGCTCAGGGTTTCGACTGCAGGCCCACGGATTCAGGTTCAGAGATTTTAGATTGTAGGTCCCATAGTTGGTTCCATTTTTAAATCTTAAGGTGACCCTAAACCCCGAAACCCCTGAATCCCTAAGAAAGTGGATCAGGATCTCGTCGTCCAGGCTGGCGCGCCCGACACTCTTCTGGACGACTTCGCAGTACATTCGGCTTTGGCAGCGGCAGCACTACTAGGATGGTACACCGACCGCCGGTTCGGGTTCGGGTTTGAGTTACATTGATGCAGTCTGGCCTCGTCAATTTAGCAATGAGCGGCAGCTCAGACATTGCCTTTCATGGGAAACGCATCACAAACGTTGCGATGCATTTACAAATCACCGCATTTTCCCGCAAAATGTGCCGAAGATTACAAACTGAGCTTTACAATTCCCCGCAAATCCCCGCATTTTACCGCAACACGGCTTCGCGTTTTGCAGGAATTTATAAATCACCGCATTTTCCCGCAAAATGCCCCGGACATCTTTTGCAGCAAAACACATCCCCTGATGCATTGATCGTTTGCAGGTACCGCGAGCACCGAATTGTCCAAACTTTTGCAACAGGATATTCATTTACAGCCATCCCCAATCTTCGTATTGTTGCTCAGTACTGTATACCGATAAGTGTTTCTTTTCTTCGCTGAGTTGCTTTCTGAATCCCGAAGCATTTGATATTCGTCACATTGAGATTCACACGGGTTTCTTCCTTCCTGGCCACCCGTGGCCGCTATGCTCTTGTCACGCTTGGCCGGGCGGTCGGACGCACTGGCAATCTTCTGTCCCAAGTCCCTGAGCCGTCCTGCAGTGTTGCCATTGTTCAGCCCAAGAGCAGCCTTGTCCAAGCATTTGTGTTTCAATGCCAGTTGCATGATTGAGTATTTGCAAAGCATCCCCCTTGAGCTGCTACTTCGATCGGCTTGACCTTGTGCTGGTAGATGTCCGATTCCACCAACCCTATTGTAGTTGTCGGGCAGCCTGAATCCCGAAAAGGCCCCCTTTGATAAAAGCCCCCTTTGGCTTTTGCCGAGAGTAGTTTCCAGAGAAACCCGACACTCGAATGCCCTACCCTTCAGAATCTGAAAGCCCTTATATATAGCTGTGAGAGGAGGGGAAAAAGACTCATCCAGCTGCCACCCTCATACGTCTGACTGTTGGCTTGGAGTTTGGGGCTTTCGGGTTCCTTGGTTGGGGGCCCAAAGTCTCCGCTTCTACAGAGAACCCTAACACCCGAAGCCCACAGCCCCGGTGCCTCGGAGCTGCAGTAGCGACAAATTCTGGGCAAGCGATAGCTACCAGTGGCCAAAATCCCCAGTTCCAAGAGAGAGAGAGCAAAGATATTGCTAGCAACAAGCGTTTGAGAGGTGGAATGCTTCGCGAGGTCCTGGATACCTGAAGTTGGTACATCCTCAACGAACCAGAAGTTACGTAGTAAGCACTTGTGCAGGTTTAGGGCGGTCTGGCTTGCGTTGTAGGCAAAGGTGTGACTTGGGCTACCATATGACAGGGTGCGATTGAGGCGTTTACGGTTGCAGCTAGGCTGATGGATCATCTTGATTTGTTTTCTCTCTCTCCCTCTCCTCTCTCCCCCTCTCTCTCTCTCTCTCTCTCTCTCTCTCTCTCTCTCTCTCTTTCTCTCTCTTTCTCTCTCTCTCTCTCTCTCTCTCTCTCTCACTCTCTCTCTCTCTCTCTCTCTCTCTCTCTTTCTCTCTCTTTCTCTCTCTTTCTCTCTCTTTCTCTCTCTCTCTCTCTCTCTCTCTCTTTCTCTCTCTTTCTCTCTCTCTCTCTCTTTCTCTTCTTGCTTGTCTTCTGTTACACCCACACCTTCTTTCGAAGCTACCATGCGGGGCTCAAGCTCAACTTAGGATTGACTACCCGAGCTACCCCTCAATGCACCCAAAGTCCGAAAGCCCCAATTACACTAAACCTATACCCCGGGGGTTGACATGGTTTACTTTCTGGAGTTATGTTAGAAGCAGGGCAGCTGTCCCGAGATATCGGGATCCCTTGCTTTCTCGCTTGCTATCAAAGCCGTGCGAATTCAGCCACAAATTTATAAGAGGCAGGAGACCCTCTTCGGAGAAATGAGATGTTATCTCCAAAGCTTACCAGAAGGCACCAAGCTCTTGAACCGCTACCGAAACCCAAAGGACAGCCCAGAAATAAAGCCACAAATTCAAGCAGCAACAAACTCGGTGTCAAAAGCCACCCTAACAGCATGGGTATCAGAGCATGGATAGGAACAACTATATGAGCTAAGCGCGAAGTCGCAACCGCGAGCATGCTGCAAACACACTTGCTCCCGAAACCACTAAGTTGAACCTTACTTAGTAGCTGAGTGGATACACTTTACACTTTTTGGGAAAATATTACCCACTATAAAACTGAAGTGTACGCTGTTTGGGTTTGGGCCTTATGAACTCAGCAACAAAGCTTAGAAGGCAGACAAAGCTCCAGGACCGGGACTATTCGTGTGGCTGATGGACCGATTGGCCAGAGGTCCCTGGGATCTAGCTGGACCTCGGAAATCCGGATCACGGGAAAAGGGTGAAGTAGGGGCACGAAGATCATGATGTGCCAACTTTCCGGCTCCTACTTTATGTGCAGGAGGGAGGAATGAGGATGAAGCACCCGAGGTCAGACGTTCGTTTTCAGTCTCAGGGTTGCGAGCAGTTTTCGCAGGAGTGAGTAGAAGTCCACCCCTAGAGTGCGAGGTGCGTGGAAGAGGGTTTCGGGTCTGGTTTGGCATGGCGGTTGAGGATTTAGGGTTCGAGCCTTCGAGATGTTTCGATTATGTTGCTATGCAAGCTCTCAGAGCTTATCGGGTTCCGGGTTTGCCGAGTCTACAAACATTCGCTAGGGCTGCGGGTAGTTTTGAAAAGCTGGGTTCGAGCACCAGAAACTTGACACACCTTGGAAGAGGCCCCCACCCTGTAATAGTGACTATAAGGATTGTATTAGGGCCCCATTATATTCCTATTATACCACTACTACAGGGTGGGGGGCCCCTTCTAAGACACACCGTGATTTCTCTGGCGAGCCTGAGGGACTTTATCTCGAGGTTTGTGTTTGCTTCGGATACAGGAGCGTGGTTCTGCGTGGGCAATTTGTTGACGATAAGTTTTGTGAAGCTGCTGTTCTCTCCGAGGAGCCGTTTACCCCCTTCCATTGTTCATTTTGTCTCGAAGCTTCGCTAGTCGCTAGTATTCTAATAATAACAACAACAACAACAACAACAACAACAACAACAACAACAACAACAACAACAACAAGATGACAATGGTACAGTAGCATAATACGAGCCCTGGGTTTCAGGGTTCCCTTATGAAAACTGAATAACTAAAAATTACGGGAAACGAGGGTACCCTTATTCTTATACGGCGACCCTGGGGAACCTAGAGCCCCTGAATGCCCTTTCCAAAAAGAAAGCCGGGACCAAGGCTTGAGCACTTTCTTCTATCCGGACCAGCAGCTGGTCAGAGCGCTGTTCAAGACAACGGTTTGACTCATTTCTGTTCGTGGGATAGAATCCCAAAGCCTAAGCCCAAACCGGGATTCAACACCAGCCTAGGAAGCTCTTGAATGATTTCTTGGACTTGGGCTACGCCTACCTGCCTCTCACATGGCTCGCATCTTTGGCTCACTACCTGAAGCTTGCCCTTAACTCAGGAAGATGTTGGGGATCTGGGTTAAGGTTGTAGCGATGACAAGTCGGAGGCCTCGAAGAATGAGAGCCATCTGACGTCCTACGTTTGAGCTCTTTAGTTTTGCGCAGATATTGTCCACTGCACCCCAAACCAAGCTCCCGAGCAGCACCGCAAAATCGCGGCAGATATTCGCAACTCTTTCGGCCGCCTTTCTCCAGGAAGCTTGGTCTGGTGGATGCCGGGCAGGTTCTCCCGACCGCCGCGCGCACCGCGAGCTTCTTCGTGGCGGGCCTGGCAGAGCTCCTTGGAACCCTTATCTTACCTTTGGTTAGTAAGGAATGGAAGAATGGTAGTAATAGTAGTTATAATTGTAACCAAATTACCCAAATTGTACCCCATTCCTCCATTCCCTACTAACCAAAGGTGAGTTATGGAGTCGGAGTTGCTTTGGGGATCGGGTTGCAAGGGTTTGGCGCCAAGAGAATTCAGGTAATTACTGGCATCCTTGCGGGGTTTAGCTGCGGCAAAGACTTCCTTCTTTCCACCGCTCTTCAAGGAGCTCTGAAATGTAATCTGCCAACCACCGATTGTGTCGAATTAGTAGCTATCAGTGCTGATGTCCAACATCCGATCCCTTACCTATATCAATCCCAGACCTGGGATGATAATTCGCGGGCCAACAGTTAGACTTTTCAGTTGCTATTTTGGTCAACGGGTTGGTCTTGGACAAAGCTATCGACTGTCGAACACAGGTGGGCCCCGTGGGCACCAGGCACGTCATTCGTGACGGAGCAGCTGAAGTTCTTGGAGGCCACCCCATCAACAACCCTGGGCCTAGGGGTTTGGAGTTATACGGCATTGAGGATTTCAGTTTGAGGCTTTCCCGGTTCGTGCTCGACAAGCGCATGTTGGTGTATATGTCCATATCTACCACAGGTTCGGACGCTTTGCCGCCTAGCACAAAGCTCTGCAATGATCTGGCATGTTTATGCTTCAGGAAACAGTCCAAGCTGTATAATTTTGATGTTAAGAAGCGACACCACTGGCGAGGTCGGAAGTTATAGTACCCACTTGTTGGTCTCACTATATAACCTGCGTTTCTTCTATAAAAATTGTACAACACATTATAAGATACTGCGATAATGTACTATAATAGGATCAATGAACTAGTCCACATACCAGGAGGCGCTGCCCCACGGCTCAGCTCCTCCAGATGTGGTGGCTTTCCTCCAAGGCGTCGTGTTGCTGCTGGCGCCGTGGCAGCATCGAACATGCAATCCCCTTGTGGAGCGTTTCAAATAAAGTTTTGTATTCTATCCCCAAACCACAACCGCTTGTCGTGTTGGCACCATGGCTTCCTGTCGTGCCGCTCGCTCTTCCGAAATATGGCCCCGGTGTCTTGCGCACTAAGCTGCCCCAATATTGTACAATAAATGTAAGCTTCTGCACGGTATGACACTCGGACCCAAAACTACTTGTCCTGAAATGTTGCTCTTGTGAACCCTTCTGCCATCTACTGCGACAACTTGGCTAGCTGCGAAGGAGTGCACGCTCTCGGGCCCGTCCACGAATGCCCCGCCTATACCCAGAACCACCAATCCATAAGCCACAACAGTTCAAACGCCCGAAACGTAAACCGCAAAGCCCCGGCCCTCAAGCTGTAAACCCCCCCCAAGCTGAAACCACGAGACCTCTGACGGACGAGTTGCGAGAGCAGGCCCCGAGCCCTAGAACCCTCAAAAGCCCTAACACAAAAAGGCAAGGCTATGCCAGAAGCCTACCGAATCCCTCGAGGCTGCGCTATTCGCCCTTCTAAAGCTAGGGAAGCTTGGATCCTTGGCTTGTGCTCTGCAGGGTTAGGAAGGGGCTTACGTTTTTGGTTCGTGGCTTTTTTCGCTGCGGGGGTTCAGGGTATCGGTATCAGAGTTTTGGGTTTCGAGGGTCTGGGGCTTCAGGGTTAGTGAGGCCACTGCTGTTTGCTTTGTTTCTTTTGGCTTCAGTTTGTTTTGCTGCTTTATTGCTGCTGTTGGGTTACTTGTGTAGATGGTATGCTTTTTCTGTTTCCTTGCTTATAATATAGAGGCATTTAGCTGGGTTCGGTGGTTGCGGCTTGTGGTTGGGACGTCCTTCGAGGGAGGATGGAGAGGTGGTAATTAGCAGGCCTTATGTAACTTATGTATCGAGTTTTAGAAAGCAGGCTTTGGGCGTCTGAGTTTGCATGCAGGGGTTCTGGGGGGGGGTCACCGCAAGAACAGGAGAAGGAGCAAGAGCAAGAGCCGCAGAGGGAGGAGGAGCAGGAGCAAGATCACCCCTTGTGAAGCAGAGGAGATAACCTACCACCTAGTGAGACAAGCACTTTTCGAGTTTTCATATGAGGCGGCCCCGGATAATATTAGGGAATGAGATTATCTGCCGAAAACCCTGACCCCCCGTTAGCACACCGTAAGAAGCAGGTCGTTCACCGCTGAGCCCCAAATCCAGGTGGCAGAGCTCCTTTTGCTTGGATCCATCAAGCTGTGATCCTTCTGCTGACCTACGAGCTTTGGCAGCTGATCCTTTGAACGCTGCCAGTGGTTCAACATTTCGGGTCTCTTTGACAGGGCTGGAGTCCGGCTGGAGATGCCTAAGGATTGAAAAGGTTTAGAGCGTCGGGTTTATACAGCAGCTCAAGGTGTAGGAATGAAGTACAATTTAGGTCTGAGGAGGGTAAGTACAAGAGGGTTCAGGACTTTGGAGGGTTTTTTTTCTAGGCCTGGCCTCGACGACTTGAACTTTCAGGCCCGCGACCCTAGCCCGTAGCCCTGCTGCCCAGACGAACCTCCAGGCCCTTGGGCTTAGACCTCTGTGAGTTGGCAGCTTTCTCTGGGCCGCTGTTCAGAAGCAGGGGTCTTTGCAGGGTTGCTATATATCCACGGATTTACATCTAGAAGATTCTAGAAGGAAGTCTTCCATAACGGGCCCACATTCAATGCAACTTTGACAAGATTCTTGCGGAACTGCGTCTTGATTATTGCCAACCTGGTTTCAGGGACCCACAGAACAGCGGTGCCATGCCGAGCCACCAAGACCACATGCTGTCATCGCCGGTGTTGGAGGTTGAACGTGGTAAGCGCAGTGTTGAAGCTGGGGTATGTCGCGCTTAGAAGAAGCCGGATTTGCCTCCTATCGAGAACCCTACTACTGACCCCTAGACTAGTAACTACCCCACCCAACTGCCTCGTTCCGCTGTTTCTGGATCCCTCCGGTAGCAAAGTCTGCCTTGGTTTCAGTTCCAGATTTACAGCACAGATCCGAAGCGAAGGCGGCCAGCTGCAAAAAAAACGCACCCTAGCTTACAAGCAGAATGCGGGACCAAGATCCCAAGAGACACCCTAGGCCCGAAAACCCGTGCAGGTGATTCGAGGATCTGAGAAATATAGTGCTTCGAAGCAGAAGTTTAACTTCAATAGACAGATGCGCTGAGCAACCAGGACGACGATGGTGACAGACTGGTGAGAACCTGATAAACGAATACTTCTGTTTGCACAGGCTTACCAATATCAAGGTCATAGTCGGAAGTGAAGCAGCCAGAATTCCAATGATATCGAAGGGACGACCATGACAATGTCACTGCCAAAGATACCGTGCGTCTCTCGAAGCCCGCGATCATAACCTTTCGAAAGCAGGCGTCGCTTGACCGCGAGGGAACTGCAGCAGGCCAGCGGGCCCCGCCTTGTTCCTTGTATCCACGTCTCCTTGTGTCTCTCGTTGAAATAGGAGCTCTAGGGCCAAGGGACGCTCGATCTGGTTTTCCCTGACTTAGGGGCACTTAGAAATATTTCTTTATTTTTGGTTATAACAATCCCTAAAAAACAGCTAAAATTATTAATTTTTGCTAGGGTTCTAAGTTCAGTATAGTTGAAAGTCCTTGCACTCTTTGAAGGTCTAGAGAGGAGGGCCTTCCGGGTCTTCCAAATCCCAGACCAAGTTCCCGAGCCAGGCCGCAATCGTATCATGCGCCAGTGGCTCACGAAGCATAAGGCAGAGGCCGGAGGAGTAGGGAGGATTCTTGCCAACTTATGGAGCTTGTGCAGGCTTAGAATGGTTAATTGGGCTGCCTGGCTAGAGTGCAGGGTGATAGTTGTTGGGGCTTTAATTGGTCGCATTGTTGTAAGGGGAGCTAGCAGGATGCTGGCTCCTGAATTCTTGAAGTGGAGCTTTCTGCGTATTCGGGAGACTGAAAAAGAAGGAGCTCAACCCACGGCCGGATCAAGGGGCAACCGGTTGCTAGATATGTGCTAGCGAAACAGGAAATGCCCCGAAACGCCCCGAATTCCAAACCGCCGAACCTGAAGTACGGAGGAACGCCAAACACAGACCAACTGACTACGGAAGGTGCCAAGTGCCTGGACCACTCTTGGCTTTCCTCGCCCCCCTGTGCCGACACCCGGTCCGGGCCTAAGGCTTCTAGCGGGCAAGGTTCCAAAGGTGGTGCTTTGCAAAAGGCTTTCAAGTTCCAGACAGCCCCAAGTAAGCACTCTATGCATGCCGTTAACGCAAAGATTACAAGTTACTAACTCCTGACACGGAGGCAAGTAACTTGAAAGCATCCTTAAACCGAAGGCCGCAGAATCGTGTTGCCCCGAGTCTCAGGATTTACCCGAAATTCGATGGAACACGAAGCCAAAGGCCCAGAGTTTAAATTTTTTGTAGACTCCTTGGGTTCATGATTCAAGGATGGTGCTTAGGATGGTGCAAGGCAACTACAGGGGGGCGAGAAGATGTTGTTGTTGTGACTGGGAGTGTGTGAGACAAGGGAAGTAAGGACATATAGTACACCGAATATCGGAGGACAACTAAATTTCGCGCAACCTTCATCTGAGTCTGATACGCTTAGTTGAAAAAAGACCCCGTAATTGGGTTGAGGGTTGCGATTTAGGGCTTCAGGGTTTACGGTGTCAGGGTTGAGGGTTGAGGGTTCGTGGTAGCCCGGCGAAGCAAGAAGCCCGTTGCAAAAAAAGGGTTGGTGGTATACCAGATCCCGAAGAAGGAATAGAGCCAACAACCCTTCGGTTCGTTTTTTGACTCCAGAGCAGTCCACAGTCCAGACACGATGGAGGGCTTCAGGCTGTTGCGGTGTAGGGTCGAGTTGTCTAAATAATGTGACGTATGATCTCAACCAGGCAGCGTTTTTCCTTGAACCTCAATGATTGAGAACCCCAAACCTCAACGATCCCCTCGAACTCATTCACCAACCTTCAAAACCATAAAACTCTGACCCTTCCCGTAAGTTGGGAACGCTTCCTTGAGAGTTCGAATGCGGAATCTTGATCTTCACAACTTCAACCTGGAACCATCTAAACCCTGACCTTACTCCCTATATCCTACATCCGAAACCACTCAGGTCCAATCAGCCACCCACCGGACTCCTTGGTCCCGACGCCTGCGGGAGCGCCGCGGAAGTCTGGCGGACGGCTCGGGAATGCGTCGGCTTCTGCTTTGTAGGATTCAGGGCCAGGATGGTTTAGATATGTCTATGCTGCAAGGCTTAGTAGATTCTCAACAGCCTTCTCTTCTCGGGAATTCATAGGACTCCCCCAGGCTGGCATACAGAGGAGGTGTTTTGTGTTCAGAGACTGGCTCCTCTTGCGGAGTTCGGCTTTGGCTGGCCGAGCACGCACCGTGTAGGTGAAGACCGCATGTACGAGCCCAAGATGTGCGTAGGATTGGTCCTTTAGTCCATGCGTCCATATAACGAGATAACACAAGGCGATTAGATTTCTCTCCTGGGACTCTTCATTTGTTCACCCAAATTCCGAAGCCCAAGCCACGAGAGCGTGACCTCAAACCCGAAGCCCAAGTAAGAGCTAAACCCAAAGCAGAGGGAGTTCTGTTCGGGTTTAGGGTTCAAAGTTCCAGTAGAAGCTCATGAGGGTTTAGTGGGACTAACAAGAGTTTAGGGTTTGCTGTAGGGGGATTCAGAATGTCTCAGGGTTCAGGTTTAGGGTCGATGCTATGGAGGTCATATTTCGCTGACACAAATGCCATCCGTGGAGAAACGCTAAACCATTGTCGCAAGCTCGTCTAGATTGTCCTTGTCGCCTTCATCCTTAGCTGTGCGAGTGGGCGAGTCGACCTCCCTCATCGCAAAATCCAGATTGCTGGAAGTATGTACTCCAAGGCATGCATGAAGCCCAGTCTTTCTGAGAACAAGAAGCTTTGTGTGTGGGCGGAGGCCTAAACTCCTAAGCTTTACACGGCCATACGCCCTCAACCCGACCCGAAGGCCCTTTGCCCTTATTCGGTTTAGGCTTCCGGAAAGTCCCAGCGAACTGACACAAAACCCCATGCCGACCCCCAAGGCCCTGAGACATCAGCTTCGCCGGCGGGGGTGGTTGTGCCACTGCCTTAGATGCCGTTAGGGTTTGGTACTGGTAACACGCCGCACTCTGAATGGAGCAACTTTCCAGACCCCTGGATTTCAAAAGCCAGGCTTCCCGGCATAGTATAGATACATTTGTCGGATCCTCATTAGAAGGGCCATGCTGTCAACGACCGGAACTTCTGCCTCGCGGCATGAAGCCCAAATCTTCAAGCGTCTTGGACTTTTGACTGCTAGGCCAGGGCAGGGTGCAGGCGATCTGGGTCTTGCGCAAACTTGCCTGGGAAGTTGTGATGTCAGATTCAGCATCTTAGAGCCAACAACAGCTGTTGGCTGTAGGTCTCGACGAAGTATGATCCGGTACGCATGTGCCTATGGAAATAATTGCACGATCTGCCCCTTGTTTAGAGGTGGCAAAGCACACCTCAGCTCATGCACTCATACCAAAGGCATCAATGAGAGTATGCATGCCAACCCATGGTTCTCAGTGCAAAATTATTTCGCTTCCTCGGCCCCGACACCCTGCAACACGTGCCATAGGCTTGCCGTTGCTAGTCACTGTAAACCTGTCTCCCATGTGTTCGGGGCTCCACAGGCTGCGAGTCTCCATGTCGGCCCTCACTTGGAATGCCTGTGCCCGGCGCTTCAACTGAAGGTTAGACTTCGATCAAACGCTCACCACAAGGCTCGGACATGTGCAGCTCTTGGGCTACGGATGTTTCGGCATGCCGCATCAGGGTTATGTTAATAAAGCTCTTACTGCGACGCAGAGTAGCTTCAGCAAAGGCATCCTCGGCAATTACACAAGAATAATGTGTTTTGTAACATGATGTCGGAACTTAAATCCCATACCACCTGTTCTCTCCGGGGTTCGTGCAGGGACTACTCCACCCGAGTTGGTCGATAGCTCGGGTTCACAGACTCGGGACCAAAATGCAGGGACGGGGTTGAGCACAGAGATTAAACTAAGCAAGAATCCCTCAATCGTAAGCAAGCTTGCAAGCTGTAAACAGTTAGTCATAGAATCACGCGGCCGTACTTCGGATTAGGTTAAAGCTAGAGACAGACTGGCGGTCATTCCTTTCGATATTATCAAGCCGGGCTGTTTTCTGCACGGCTTTCTACGGCATCTTGATATGGGGTGGAGAAGCGGCTGTGTTTGATATTCCATGAGATCTTTGAGAAGTGCCGACTGCCTATAGGCAGGACCTTCAGGCTCCTAACCCTAATGTCGGAGGGGAGGATCTGTTATCGCTTCGTGCAGGCATGTGGGAGTCTTCGAGGACGGGCATGATTCCGTCTACTGTCGAAGCTGTATTCAGAGGTCGAGGCAAGACTTCGTGCTAAGGGGGTAAAGCTATCATAGATGTCATGGTCACTATTGTGATTACACGTATTACTGTAGTATTCTCAGTAGTGTGCCGGCGTCCGCTTCTTCCGAGTGCACGCCGGGTTTGTGTCGGTTTATGCGCAGAGCCGCTGACTGGCAAGAGTTCGGTCGGTCATATTTACCAATACTATTTCGGAGTTCTTTACAACGATTATAGTATAAAGGGCCCCAAAACCCTCTTCTAATTATGAAGGCCCCTATAGTAGATAGTTTTTTGGCTACGGCTGGGATACATTTCCAAGAACGACTTCTAGACTACAGGCGCAAGGGCGCGGAAATTGAACACATAAGGCAGCAAGGCGCGCAGAGATGGCAGTCGATATGCACAGCATCACAAATCACAAGCCTGCACACATCCATTTTACAGTTTCCCGTTCTGCTGACAAACATGTCCGACCGTAACGTGAAGCTCAACAATACCAGGCCTCCACGCTCGAAATCCGGGTCATGGTCGTGCGTACTACTCATGCTGCCGAGATGCTGATGCGGACGCAAGCTACTTCCTGCCCCCTCTGCTCTCGGTTTGGTTGGCTCTTAGGGTTTCGGGGCGACAGGTCATGGAAGCCAAGAGAAAGAAGGTGTGGCAAGATGCTCGATGATGATCATGTCCTCAACTTGGTCAAGCCATTAGTACACTCGACACTCGCTTCGATAGGGAGAGAATCAAGCCTGGGACATCTCCGCAGCATTTTCTCAGCAGGCTTAGACCAGGCAGGAAAAAAAGCGGCGCATTGGCATAATCGTAACTCTCTAGCATACGTAGCCTGGCCCACATCCTGCAACCTCCCCTTCCCCACCAGATCCTTAAACCTTACGCAACAGCAGTAGCGGTACTGTCAACAGCAGTCATAAGAGTGATAGATTAGTAACGTCCTGCAAAGCAAGCGGTCACCAGCCCCCAGAATAGAAGCTGAGCTGAATGGTTTGTTCGACTTCTGGCCGGGTCTTTCGGGCTGTGGGGCCTACGGCAGTGCGATTGAGAGTCGGGTGCTGGTCTCAGGTAGACGGTATGAGGCATGAGGGCGTATTTCGTCAGGGGTTTAGTGGCTTTAGGTGTTTAGGATTCAGGTTTGAAGCTTGTGTAGGCGGGGAATTGTTTGGTTCTTTAGACTTCAGTCTAGAATCCCAGTTCAATTGCGTTTGCCCGCGGCGCTAGGCAGTCTGGGATCTTTTGGCTTCGAGGTCGACCAGTATAAAGCTGTGATGTGTAGGAACCCTTTGTTGCAAATGCTCGTGCAGCCTGCATTCCTCGCAATAGGGTCCTATTTGTTTTCGGTTTCTGGAACAAGGCCTTTTTGCGATTCTACGATGCAGGGTCACGGCTTCGATGCTACAACGTGCCTTTTATTGCAAGCCCTCTATGTGGAGCCTTGCCTGCTGCGTGCGAGTGTGAGCGTCGAAAACCCTACATTGAGCCCTACACCCTACATTAAATCTAAGCCGTAACTTTTCACTAGCCGACCAGCCCTTTGCCGAAGCCTGCTAAGTGGACTCTCCGTCAGCACCTGCAGTCGGAAAAGGTGTGAACAAAAAACCTGGGCGAAGTTCAGGGCTTTTGCCCTTGAAGGCTCTCAAAGAAGGGACCGAGACAGAAGGCGTTTGGAGTTAGGAAGGGGCCATTCATGCTTCTGCTCAAGAAAAGCCGACAATTGCTAAACCTATAAGCGGTGGGCAGATTGGGAGTTAGATGCAGTGCGAATAACTCAGCGAATCTCTATCGGTGATAGCTGAGGACACCTGGAGAGATGGAGCCAGGCAGCTGTGTATTTGTGACTGGCTGGGGTTTCGTGTGGTGTTTGTAGATTGAAGCACGGACGTTTGGCTGTTCATATGCAACCCCCCTTTGCAGCATCTGCTCGCAATTGCACATCCACGAGCACCCCAAGAGCGAGCACCCTAAAGTGAAGATCCTTCCGGCATCTACATGGAACAAAACGCGTGAAGTCGAAACCAGGATATTCAGATCAACTCACATTCACCGGGTTCAGGCTTTCGAAAAGCATCGGAGGCGACATTTTCATCCGATTCCGCAATGCCACATGGACCCAGCCCCGCCCCAACAACATCATCAAGCGAATATCACCAAGCGACAGGATTCTTGTGCATGTAGTGTAGTTCATCCCGCACGAAACATTTCTTCTTCAGCCGTGCGTATAGAGCCTGGCAAAGTGGTACGTCCTTAGCCTCGGACCGGAACCATCCCAAACTATCCCGAGCGCTGACCGTTCCCCAGTACGCCAAGAGCCCGCTAAACCCTGTAAGAAATCTATCTAGGAAAACATCCACACAGGTGGCGTGAGCTTTCCTGAATTTGTGTCTCAAAGTCTGGACAAGCTCAAGGACGTCCGGCTGTTGATTTGGTGAAGCATTGTGGGAGTCATGGTTTTAGGGAGAGTGGTTTGGGACGGGCTTGAAGCTTCTAATTAGACTACTGTACGTTCCGGCTTAAAGTTTAGACCGCCGTTTCCTCGCCGACAATTAGACTGATGATGACCATACTCGTTATGATAAAGGTCATGGTGATGATGATGGTGATGATCGAAGCCTGATTATACCAAGGCTTTTGAAGCTCATGGTAATGATGTTGGTGTCGATGAGAGCCCCCCCCCCCCACCGCCCCCAATTGCTCACGCTGCTGTGCATTATTATGCTACATGCACAGCACCGATCAGCTGTGTAAGTTTCTCCCACGAGAGGCAGCTGGGTTTCCCTTCTGCCTTGGCTAACCAACTAACCATCCCCGCGACCTGCCCTCATGCCTGCGCGCGACCAATCCTGAGCATTAGACCCAAACCTTCAAGCGGGGATCCTACGTAGTGTGTTTCGAGCTTAGTGCCAAGGGTATGTGAGAAGATATTCGTTCAGTGATTCAGGATTGAGAATGCAAGTTTCAAGGGTTCCCTCGCAGTATTGGTTGTTAGGAACATCCAAAGTCCAAAGCGCTTAGGCCCAAAGCACCTTGGCCAAACTCCGTAATCGGAGAGTTCGGAACCCCCTGTAACCCCCTGCCAGGAAACTCTTCTGGCAGCTTACACCGAGAGCCACAATCCGAACGATGGGGCGGTGCCGAGGCTAAGGGCTCAGGATTCAGGTTTGGGTTCTTCAGGTACGGTTCAGATTTCAGAGAGTGCAGCTCAGGGTGTGCAGGGTGCAGCGTCTGTAGTCGTCTAGTGTCAGAGGCTGAGGTTTTAGGGCGAAGGATTCAGGGTTCACAGTGCGGGTCTCCGCTCTCGTTCTGGGTTCATTGGGATGCAGAGGCGTGCCGTCTCAGTCCCTGCACAGGGATAGGCAACTAGGGCTGGTAGGGTTTGCGCATGCTGCGTTCGGCATTGCAGCTCGAGATTTGGTGTGGAGGGGCCATTTGGTTTGTGCACCACTATAAGCAGAAGGACCATACCTTAAAACTCGCCAGTATTCCCAGCCCACATCGAATCTAGGGTTCAAAGGCTCTTGCCCTAAAACGGGGCTACGAGTTTCGTGGGAGCTGGCCGGCACCTCGGTCCGTGCTGAAAGGGTTCAAAGGTTTGGGATTTAGGGCTTCGGGGGCGGGGGGAGAGCCAAAGCCTCAAATGCTTTGTCAGGAAATCCGCCGCCAGTGCCAGGCCGGCTCGCGTAAGCCCCTGGGCCTGAACAGTGTTAACTGTTAACTAGACGGGGGCCTTGCTAATCAGAAAAGGTTGTCGAGGTTTAGTTATACTACAATAGATTGAAAGGAGACTATAAGGGGATACTGGGGATACAGTTGGGATTGGATTTGCAGCCTATACTGTGTGTTCCTCAGGAAGCACGACTGAATCGCTTTGGCGAATGAGCCAAGGAGTACCTAGAGATAATGTTGCTGTTGTGGATAAACGCTTATTGGCTGTAAACTCAACTTTTCAAGTTTTGGGGGTTCTTATAAGGCAGTCGACTCTGAAAGTTTCAACTCTTGTTTCCTTGAGTTTTGGGCCAGTGAGAAAGAGCTTCGACTATAAGCTGATGTCTAAACCTGAAATCACATGCCCTTCCTTGCTACCGACCTTCTCTTGGAGCCCCCGCCTGGCGTGCCACCGCTCACAGCTCGGATGTCGGGTGGTGGTTGAAGGCGTTTTGGGTTCGGGGATCTTGACAGCTTGGGGGTCAGGGAGTTTCTCAAACTTACTTGTTAACCTACTCCATATCGGGCTTATTGGTATGATTCCGAGTCCTTCATTCAGGCTTGGTCAATTGTAAGCTGGACCTAGGCTTCTTGATAGTGTTGTGTCTGGCCTTTCGGGTCAGTGGCTCAGGGTTTGGTGACAGCTGGGATAGGGGTGAGATCTCTGGCCCACGACAACGAAGACTCCATCATCCGAAACACGAAAAGCCTAAACCTAAACTCGACTCCAGACCCACGCGCCTCAAACGGCGAAACCCAAGCCGCTTTCCGAGGTGTCCACCACGCAGACGAAGAAGCAGGCGTGCCTTCTTCCCGACCCTGGCCCTAGCTTTGGGTGGCTTACGGGGTTTATAGCCGCCATTATAGAGCATGTAAAGGCTCATGGGGCTTGTGCGTGTTTTGGGTTTGGGAGTTGTGGGATTCCGGGTCAAGGGCTGCTCGAGGACGGGCTCACGGCATAATTTGCCTCCCACCACAGGAAGCACTGTTTGAGGACCCGTTTTGCAAACGGTTTCATCCTCCGTTCTGCTTTGCGGCGCTTCAGAGGTTTCCACGCTCCAATAGTCAAAGCCCTCTAGACGAAAGAAAGGACCGCAAAGCGTGTATAGTGTAGAGACCTCAACGTCTGGAAGGCAGGCTTTCGGATGTTGGCCAGGGTTTAGAACTGAGGTTTCTACGGACCCGAATAACGATATTACAACCCGACGTGCCATTGTGTTTTCCGTGGCCCGTGGGCTACTCCTCGAGAAACTCTTGGTGCATGGTAAGTTTCTGGTTTTGGTCGGTCAGCCATCTGAATGCAAGGTGAAGGACAGCGAACGGTTTGGAGTCTAGCGGGCACTGTGTACGGATCGTCTTTCCTGTTGAGGCCGTGATCACGACTAGCATTACACTAGCATTTCTCTGAGTCGAGCAAGCCCGAAAAGTTTCCAGTCTTGCTATATATATATACATGAATCCAGAGCAGTCATACAGGAGCAGTCGTACCAAGATGCGGGTCCGAAATAGCTGTGCTGTTGTTACGGCCCCGTCTAAGTCCTTAAACTTTCGGGGCTGGGCTGCAGGCTTGTACAATCGATTCCGATACCTTGGTTCCTTCCACGGAGGTTTCTGCTGCAGCCGAACACGATCCCGAGGCAAGGAGTCATTCTTTTCTGTTTCTGCAGGTGGTCTAGATTTCAGGCTTGAACCAATACAGTAAAAGCCAGAAAGTTGGAATATGATTATCCTAACCCTTCTATGGTAATTTATATGGTATCCTACCATTAATCCATATTCCAACTTTCTGGAGTTCCCTGTAGGGTGTAGTGACAGTGTTTGAGACTTCAAGGCTTCCGTGTCCAAAGTCTTAGAACCCGAGTCAGATTCATCACAGTTTGACTCTGTGACTTCTATAGTGGGTCATGGCTAGGTGCCCTTCGACTGACGACGGTTTCCTGACAAGATGGAGCTTGTACCCTCTACTAGACCTATCTATGTATATATATATATATATATATACACACACTCACATATATATGTATATGTATATGTATATGTATATGTATATGTATATGTATATGTAGGTTGTTGTCAATATTAGGGTCTTGTTTGGGTCCCTTATATAGTACAGCACCCAATATCTAAGGTACCCAGAAAGGGAGCATAATTTTGTCAACCACCCACATGTACATATAGCTATCTATGTATATGTATGTAGATATACATACATATGTGTATATATATATATATATACACATGTATATGTACATATAGCTATGTAAACATATATACATATATATATATATATATATGTGGTCCCCCCCCCCCCAGTTACCAATACATTCCTGTGTTTTCCTTCTGCAGGCAGCACCATGAGACAAAAACATAGCATTCGAGCACCCTCTTGGCTGAGACTTGTGACAAGACTCTCCATGAACGTTTTGTGGCCTTAGAGGGCGCTTGCACCACTTAGAAAAAGCGCTGTACTGTCCCAAAAAAACCAATCCTTTTTTGCAAAAGTGCTGTACTGTCCCAAAAAAACCAATCTTCTACAGTCTTGGAGCAGCTGCCGTGTAGGGGCCTCCAATAGATTGGTTTTTTTTTGGGACAGTACAGCACTTTTGCAAAAAAGGATTGGTTTTTTTGGGACAGTACAGCACTTTTGCAAGAAAAGCAACAAAACACTGTACTGTCCCAAAAAAACCAATCCTTTTTTGCAAAAGTGCTGTACTGTCCCAAAAAAACCAATCTTCTACAGTCTTGGAGCAGCTGCCGTGTAGGGGCCTCCAATAGATCCAAGACTGTAGAAGATTGTTTTCTTGGGACAGTACAGCACTTTTGCAAAAAAAGATTGGTTTTTTTGGGACAGTACAGCACTTTTGCAAGAAAAGCAACAAAAAACACTGTACTGTCCCAAAAAAACAAATCCTTTTTTGCAAAAAAAGATTGGTTTTTTTGGGACAGTACAGCACTTTTACAATAAAATTAACGAAACCATTGTACTGTCTCAATCAAACGATCTTTTGGAAGGTTTCCGTCACGCGCGCGGCGCCCGCGCAAAACGCACTGCAGATTTTCTTCTCGCGCTCTGTTAGTTTTGACTTACAGCAGATTTTGGTTTTGCCGTCAACTTGAGATCTGGTTTCATTGTAAATTATTCTACAGTGAACTCCAGAAAGTTGAAACATCAGTATCCTAATGCCCTTATACTAAAGGCAAAGTAAATCAAACACTAATCACCCTAAATCAATGTTCCAACTTTCTGGGGTTCACTATGATTAGTTAATGTACCCTTATTTTTGTAAGTGTTTGTTGGAGATGGTAGAAGGGTGTGTTTTGTTTCTGGTTGCCAGTCTCACTGAGGTTTTATGTTTAGGGTGATATTTGATTACTTCAGTGAGCACTGTTTACGTGTGTTAGGTAAATGAGATAGACTGATGTAAGTGAATGATATGTTAATACTGTGTCCTTAATTACATCTAAACCCATAAATATGGGTAGCTTTTTGATTTATGATAGGATGGAAAAGCTTGCTTAAGGCATTGTGGCAGGAATATGATGATTAGCATAAGGGTATGGCGGTAGTAGTATAACAGGATAAAGGTACAGTGTAATCGTGTTTAATACTATGGATTGACTAGTAGTGGTAGTATTGCATTGCCATCGTCTTGCGGTCCAGCGCATCCGACGTAGGGACAGATATTATCCGGCCATTCAATTCAGCACCATCTGGGCCGAAAGGATGGCACCGAACTGTTGTCGGCTCCCACAAACCAAGCTCTTGGAGACATCTAATCCATCTCCTCAAAACACACAATCTTTGCTCTGCTACTGGGGCCGGAGTGGTCACCACCACGTTGACTGCTACTTTGGAGAGCAGAGAGCGCTCTCTGCCGAGCTTCACAGCTTTTCTTATGCTCAGCTCCTAGCGTGAGGCTGCAAACTGAGCAACAGTGCACATGCGATTTAGATGCAAGCCGTCCGCACTGCAAAGTGACGCACAGGGAGATAGCACGTCTAGCTGCTGCATTCGCCTTCCTCTCACATCGCCTAGAGTGGTAGCCATCGCGGCAAGTCGAGCAGCAGGTGTCCCTATGCGGTGTGGCAATGCGAGTACAACCAGCCACCGCACATAGCGCCATGAAGCAACCTCAGTGCACATGTGAGCGCTAGACATGTTGCATCAGGCATGCCGCGCTTCACCTTGCACCAATCGGTTCAAGTGAAAAGAGCAATCCTTTGCTGACCTCTCGGCGGTGCCATTCGGCCGTTCCAAGCTGTACAAACGCCTTATTAGCGACAGGAAACTAGCCTAGTGAAGGCAGGTGGCAGCAGGATTATACCGCTAAAGTAGACCAGTCCTCGTTACAGGGTTCAGTCTCGAAGAACACACGGCAGGCAGTCCAAGTGTAGATCCCGAGTAATGCGAACCGTCCGTTCCGGGAGATGAAAACCCAGCTCGCTTAGCTGGGTGTGGACCCTGTCGCCCAGGCTCTCCCACCGCTGCACAGTGTACGCAACGAGAGTAACCCTGTCAAAGGTGTCCCAAGCACACGTGTAGTGCAGAAGCTGGTGGGCCTGAAAGCGGACTGCATGTAGTTGCAATGCATATCGGATGCCCCATACTTCCATTCCTTGAAACAGAATCGCCTCGTCACCCTCAGGGGTCTCTATCCACAGCTCACCATCATCATGTAAAGACAATGCAATCACCAAGTTGTGGTGACTGTTCTGCTTGTCACGATGAGGAGGGGTACCATAGTTGAAATGGAGAGCAAGTGTTGTCCAGGTGTGCCTCGGACATACCCTCATGATCAAGCTGTTGAGGATCATCGCAACATTCGGATGTGTGAGGGTTTTCCTGCAGAGGCCATGAAAGGGTCCTTTGGCATACGCCCCAAAGCTAACACTGGAGGCCTCACCATTCCGCAGTGCCATGGAGTGTCGAGGTTGCTCATGATCGAGCAAAATAGCAAGCTGCCGTGCCGCGCTCCAAATGGGGGCGCTACCTGCCTCAAGCATGTGCATAGCCAATCTTTCCGCAGCTCCAATGGAGCCAGGGTCCTGCCAGTGAGGGACCGGTAAAGTGGCATGCATCTGCACTGAGAAGGTGCTGGAGAGCTCACTGGCATAGGCCACCAGCTCTCGGCGCCACGGGTCACGCAGAGCTGTGCACGCCCATTGGAGAACATCATTGCGAGCCAGCATCCCAAGTTGGCGCGGCGGAAGTTCCCCAAAACATAGGACATGTAAGTGCCGCACAGCACTCAGAAGCAAATGGGCCTCCAAGAAATCATGATAAATGTCCGCTGGCACTTCTATGCATTCAACAGTCATGCTGGAAAAACTGGGCTGCGGTGTGCTGGCATGAACAGAGTGAAGCTGCTGCCGAAGGCATGAGAGTGAGCAGCAGGCCCTGTAAGCTGCATCATTGTAAGCTGGAAGGGGAATGTTGAGGCCCCGACCGCGGCCCACAGTCCGAAGATTACAGAAGCGATCACCCAAAATTGAGTAGCAGTCTCGCGGCAGGCGAGCAGTGAGCAAGCAGCGCAAAGTGCGCATATGCAATATGGAGACAGAAGATCGAAAAACGTGCAAATCAGTCACATAGGGGTTCTTTTCATCCAGTGTGCCGGGACGCTTCGGAGTGGCACATGAATTATGGAACATGGGAGTGTGGACACGGCTGTCCGGAGCCGCTCTCCCTAGTACAGATGCTACGCTCTTATCAAACCCACCAGGTAGGAGTTACGGGTAATCAGCGCAAGTTCTTGCCTAGTCGCAGGTCGGGGACTACGTCTATCATCACATATATGAAAGGTCCATGTGGGTCCATCGGCATGTGCGTCCGGAAAGCACAACGCAGCTTGATAATGCCCACTGCTGGGTGTGGGCCCGATGTGATAAACCACGAACCCTACCTGGTATGACAGAGAAACTACATCAGTTCCCTCGTCCGGATCGAGGAAGTGAGGCAGACTCACACGCAAGCCTGGCGGAATGTTCAGGGCAGTCTGATTCTTGCCACGGCGCTCACCGTACCGACATATCTGCAGGCAGACTAGCCCAAGACCATCGACTATGCCATGCACGGAATACTGATTACGCCATCTGTTGATAACATTCTGCAAGGTTCCACCCTCAGGTCTGACATGTATGGGCGAGGAGCAGCGACCGCAATCTACAACCTGATGTGGCAGGGAGAGACGAGCTTCCCACCTGCCTGCAAGAGCATCCAGAGGCAGCGTAGGGCCCAGGTGCTGCCAAAATTCGCCTATGTCGTGCTGTCGAGTGATTTCAGGCCAGGCGTGAAATATGTGCCGAAAAGCGATGCTCTCTATCAGCGAGCAAGCATGCGGCTGTCGGAGGAATGAAAAACCAGCCTGAGCGGTCCCCGCAACGGTAGGAGTGAGCCCGGCAAGCTCATGCTGCCAGTAGAGAGCCTGAATAGCAGCATTAGCATAGCAAACATTCGTGCCCACAGGATTAGCAAGCTTGATCATCGGCAAGCGGGGGCCTGGCATATGTAAGTGTGGGCGTGGCACTGCCTGAAGTGCCACACCTCCAGAACCCGGCCGACCTAGGCCGAGCTCTGCTGCGTCGCGTAGCCCCTGGGACGCCATTCGCTGAAGTCCAGGGCCTGGTAGGCTTGCTC